TTCCCAAAGCCGTCGTCCACACAAATCGAAGTCTCAAGGCTCTCGTTGAACCACACGCCATCGTCCAAGAGCAGGACAAGCCTAGCTACGCAGCCCGAGTTCTTCAACAGAGCGCTTTCAGCTTTGATCTCTCAATTGACCAGACGATGCTTGCGCTCTGCAACGGCGGTTGTGTCTTTGTCGTTCCCAACTCGAAGCGTGGCGACCCTCTTGGTACAGTCGACATGATCGCCCGACACAGCATTACGTATACAATGTGCACGCCGTCTGAGTATAGCATCTGGCATCGCTTCGCTCGAGACCGCCTTCTCGATTGCACCGCATGGGAGAATGCTTCCTCGTCGGGTGGGCCTCTGTCAACCGCGCTCGTTCGTGCTTTCGCTGGTCTTCAACTTCCTCATCTCAGAGTCTTCAATCACTGCGGTCCGACCGAGACAACTGTTACCAACAGGATTGAGCTCAACTTCGATGAATACGCTGAGGGTGAGAAGGCGCAGATGCGATACGTCACTGACGTTGGCTTCCCTTGCGCCAATTACTCTACCTACATCGTTGACGAGAACATGAAACTGGTTCCACGTGGTTATCCTGGCGAGATTGTGGTAGGAGGTGCTGGTGTCGCAGATGGCTATCTTGGACGTCCGGATCTTACCAGGGAGAAGTTCATTCCGGATCCATGGACTTGGTCGAAGGAGTGGAAGATCATGTATCGCACCGGCGACCGTGGTAAGCTTCGCGCGAATGGTATGGTCGATATCTTGGGTCGCATTGAGGGCGGTACCCAGGTCAAGCTGCGAGGCTATCGTATTGAGTTGGGCGACGTTGAGAGCGCTATCTTGAGCGCGGCCCAGGGCGTTCTGTCAGATGCTGTTGTGACTCTACGATACCCTGAGGATCGCCATGAGGATCACGATGATGACGGCTTCCTTGTCGCGCATGTCGTTGTCGCTGACAAGAGTCTTCGTCGACCTGAAGTAGAGTCCTTCTTGCGCAAGATTGTCTCGAAGCTCCCTCTTCCTCACTACATGCTTCCCGCTTTGATGCTGCCAATTGATCGCTTCCCATTGACAGCGCACCAGAAGCCTGATCGTAACGCGATCGCAGCGCTTCCTCTCCCCGCCTTCACCCCAGCTACAGCCAATGATGCCACTGCTGAAGAGGGCAGTCTCGAGTCTGAGACACAGAAAAAGATCGCCAAGATGTGGAGGACTTTGGTCCCAGCGAGTGCCTCTGCTACCATCGCAGCAGACACCGACTTCTTCCACGTCGGCGGAAGCTCATTGCTTCTTATCAAGCTTCAGGGCATGATCAGGAAGGAGTTCAACGTGTCGCTAAGACTTTTGAACCTCATGGCTGCTAGTAAGCTTCGGGAGATGGCAGCTCTGGTGAATGATGAGGTCAGTGGTGGTGATATCGATTGGGAGAGGGAGACCAAGATTCCCGATGAATGGTTGAGCTTGCCGCAAGTCGCGTCGCAGAAGATTGATGGTTCTCTACGCGTTCTTTTCACTGGCGCGACTGGGTTCTTGGGGCGAAACTTGATGTCCCATCTTGCCGAGTCTCCTCAAGTGTCCGAGATACACTGTCTTGTCCGCGGCGCGTCAATTATTGAGGCCAGCGACAAAGTAACTCTCTGGCACGGAGATCTCAGCCAACCCAACCTCGGCCTATCCGACACTGAATTCACGCGTCTCAGCAACAGTGTCGACGCGATCATCCACTGCGGTGCCAATCGTTCTTTCTGGGATGATTACCGTTCCCTCCGCGCCGTCAACGTTACCAGCGTCGCGGAACTCATTCGCCTCGCGCTTCCCCGCCGTCTGCCAGTTCACGTGTTATCTAGTGGAGCTGTCAAACGGTATGGAGATGGACATCCACCTGTCGATGGCAGCGATGGATACGTCGCGTCAAAGTGGGCTGCTGAAGGGTTGTTGCGTGACGCTGCGAAGCGAGCTGGAGTGCCTGTGTTTATTCACCGCCCAGCACCGGTCTTCGGGGATACAGAGACTGCTGATGAGGATACCATCACGTCAGATGAGCTTCTTCGTCTCGCAAAAGCCATATCTCTGCGCCCCGATCCGACAGGTCTCAATGGCACGGGTCATTTCGCGCCTATTGATCAAATCTCAGACCGCATCGCCGGCGCGCTTCTACAGTCTTCTGCTCAATCACAAGGCGGAGTCAATGTCATTAAACACGCGGGTACCAAAACATTAAGCATGGGTGAATTTGCGAACCTTTGCGAGCAATTGCCAGAGTTGAAGGAGCTTCCCACTGCAAAAGTTCTCCAATGGTTTGGTCAGGCAAAGAAGCAGGGATTAAAGCAATTTTTAACCGCGCTGGAGGTGGAGTTTAGCGATGTCAAGGGTGATACTGCTGTGATGAGCAGATGAAGGATGTTTTGTCGTTAGGAGCAATATGACCGGAATACAAGGACGGATAGAGGTACCTGGAGTTTGTGGATCTTTTTTGCATGTAATTTTTCTCTCTTTTTTCTTTTACTAAATAAAATACTGATATTTCTCATCATGTGAGCATTTTTGTCTTTCCGCGTATCCCGGTGCAATGTTACAGCCATCACCAACCCGGTAGTCAACTCCACCAACTACCTACCCTGCATCTCAATGCCTCTTCGACCGTTCATCCTCCAGAAACGCTCAATTGATCAAGCCATAGTGATAATTACATGCTCATATTCACTCTATTGCACGATTAATCACCTGCCGGCAATAAATCGCTTCATCTCGGAATGTCTCACCTCACTTAAACATTCCCCATGATTCGACTCCCCCAATAAACTTCTGTCATCTCGACTGTCGGGCCGTTGATGTGGAGTAGCAAACTCCAACTGTTGCACCGTTCAAGACAAGATCTACACGCAAAACTTGAGCTTCGTCTTCCATTCGATGACGATTATTTGTCGGAGCGACACTACTTCGCCGAGTCGGCCCATCTCCCATGTCTTTCCCCACAACCACCAGATTAACCTATTGCTCTGACATCACCTCTTCTCCAGATCGGCGTGTTTCTTGCCTGGAGATGGATGCGGGGAAGAAAAACGCTAACCGTTGGATCGGTGCCGATGTCGTTGGGACGGTATGGGCTGATGAGGGTGTATAGGTATATAAGCGTCATATAATCCTCAAAAACTTGACTCGCACAGCAAGATACAGTTTGCATCTTGATCATCATGAGAGGTCTTTTGTTCTCGACCGTCGCTGGCCTCGTCCAGCTCAGCACCGCTCAGTCTTCCACTACGGTTTCTGTACCTACAGGAACACCCATCCCTGGCGATTACAATGGCACATACCGTCCTCAGATTCACTTTTCTCCTCCCCAGCATTTCATGAATGACCCCAATGGCATGTTCCGCGATGCTGATGGTCTCTGGCATTTATACTATCAGTATAATCCCACTGATGTAGTCGCGGGTAACCAGCATTGGGGCCATGCAACTTCAAAGGACTTGTACCACTGGGTAAATCAGCCCATTGCGCTTTTCCCACCGGAGAAAGACACTTATGTATTCTCTGGAAGTGCTGTTGTTGATGTCAATAACACATCTGGATTCTTCCCTGACCAGGACAATGGTGTCGTTGCGATCTACGTAAGTTGTCAACAGTAGTCGCAATATCACCACTAACGATACACAGACTCTGTCGTCGCCTACCGTTCAAGACCAGGCAATCGCCTATTCGCGAGATGGAGGTTACACCTTCACTCCATATGCCAACAACCCCGTCATCAACAGCACATCTACTCAGTTCCGCGATCCCAAAGTCATTCGATACGATGACTCATGGATCATGGTCGTTGCCTACCCCCAAGACTTCAAGATCGGCATCTTTGAGTCCGACAACCTCAAGGACTGGACGCCTACCAGCAACTTCTCCCACCACGGCCTTCTCGGTCTGCAGTACGAGTGCCCCAACATGATCCACATGCCTTACGTGGACGAGGACGGCAAGAAGCAAGATGATATGTGGCTCATGGCCATTAGCATCAATCCCGGTGCTCCACTGGGAGGTTCCATCACTGAGTACTTCCCTGGTACTTTCAACGGTACTCACTTTGAGGCTGTTGATGCTGCTGCACGGATCGCGGACTTTGGCAAGGACAACTATGCTGGACAGTGGTTTTATGGTCTTTCAGAGGACGAGTATCCTGTTTCTATTGCTTGGGCCTCCAACTGGCAGTACACCAGCGTTGTACCTACAGGTGATGAGGGCTGGAGAAGTGCCATGAGTCTTCCTCGCGAGAACTACCTTACCAAGGCCAAGCGCGTTGGTTGGAAGCTTGTTTCCAAGCCTTACGATCTCAGTCCTGTTCTGGGTCGTGAGCTTGCCTCCAACAGTAGCTTTGGCAACGGAACACTCATTGTTGACTACTCTGATGTTGAGTCTAACGCAATTTACTGGGAAGTCAACGTCACTGGCATTCCCGATGGTGGAATTCCTTCAACGTCTTCCATGAATTGGACCTTCTCTAGCCCTATCACCAACGAAGCCATCAAGAGCGGCTACTACCTCGGCGGCGATCCCGTGTTCTTCCTCGATCGCGGTGGCGTCAAGGGCTTTGATAACATCTTCTACACTGACAAGACCTCCCTTGGCAGCCTTGCTACCGACAACGGCACCTGGAGTCTTAGCGGTGTTATTGACAGGTCTATCTATGAGGCTTTCCTGAATAATGGTGTCGATAGTGTCACGAACACTTTCTTCTCTACAGAGCCTTTGACGCTCATGATTTTCAGCGCGACCGACTTGCCGGAGGATGTTAAGGTTAGTGTCAAGGTTCATGCTTTGGAGAGTGCATGGAAGGAGATGGAGAATGATGATGGACTTGTGGCGGGAAACAGAACATCGAGTTCATCGTAGTCACTAGTGTATAGCATTTAAAGTATATATGTAGACATATGGCATTGGTGCTTTGATAACTGATTCTGTGATGCTGATAACTTCGAGATACATTCTCTTCCATTTCTAACTCCAAATCTTTCCTCATTTCCTGTCCAACGTACTAAAAAGCTTGTGCTGTTTGATCGGCGAGATAGAGATCAAGGCTAGTACTGCCCAAGCCAGCATCATCAACCAAACATGTCCAAAAGCTTGCATGAGTGACTCCATTACTCCTCTGTACCAGCCGTCCGGCAAATGGTGAATCTCGGTCAGGTCATCCTTTATACGTCGAATCTCATCCGCCGCATTAGGCTGATGGCCGAACCGTGCCCACAAGCTCATATCTAGGCTTGATTGGTATAAGACAGAGGCAAGTGTTACTCCAATGGTACCACCCAGGCTTCGTGCAAGGTCTATAAGTTTGTTAGTAGCGTTCTTCTCAAGGACTGCTGCAAGTCTTACATGTGGTGGATGTGACAACGGCCTGTTGTGCGTGACCTACTGCCGCTACGCAAGCGACCTGTGTGATGCTAAAGACAGCATTGTAACCGAGACCAACAACAAAGAAGGCTAGGCAAGTCATCCAAGCTGGAGTAGTATCATTCTGGATTGCAAATATACCGCTGCCTATGATCAGAGCAAGAATACTGCTTACCACCAGTCCGACATACTTGCCCGTCTTCTTCATGAGGTAGCCGGGCACGAGTCCTCCGAGACATGTGCCAACTGACGCCGGTAATATCTTCAAACCCGATGTAGTGGCGGAATCTCCACGGGCTTGAAGATAGAGAGGCACATAAAAGATGCTGGTCAGAGCAATGGCTGAGCAAAAGACGCTAGCTAAGCAAGAAGCAAGCACTGTCGGGTTGAGAAGAAGCCGGACAGGGATAATCGGCTGGGAAGCTCTAAGCTCCCAGATGACGAAGGTTGAGAATAATAAGATCGAGAGTGAGATGGCTGCTATAGGCAAGGGATGTAGCCAAGGGACTATGTTTCCTCCAGAGCTCAAACCTAAAACGAGGGATGCCAGGAAAGAGGAAACCAAAAAAACGCCTCCAAAGTCAATACGCTTGACGTATGACTTGTCAGACTGTTTGGGTGGAACTTTGATCAAGCTGTATACGATGACAGCTGATATGAGAGAAGGAAGTACTTGAATGAGGAAAGCCATTCTCCATCCCCAGCTGGTATAGTCATTTAAGAAGCCACCAAATACAGCACCGACCATAGCACCGGAAGCATACCAGATATTGGCAATACCTCCCACCAATGCCCGCTTCCGAAGAGGGACAAGGTCTGAGCCTAAGAAGGTTGGTATACTCATAAGACCCCCACCGCCGATGCCAGAAATGACTCTTCCAAGTATCATTATCTTCTGGCTAGTAGCAAGGCCGCATATGAGATTTCCCACTGCAAAGGCAACATTACTAAATGCCAAACCAGGTCCACGACCAAAAATGTCAGTGAGACGGCCGGAGATTGGCTGACTGGCAGCATTGGCTATCAGATATGCAGTGGCAAGCCAGGACAGAAGACTCAGAGAGTTGAACTCGCTGGAGATCTGAGCAGACAGGGTAGCGATAACGGTCGTATCGGCTGCTCCGAGAAAAACGCCAAGCCAGGCTGTGCTCATGATCATAGCGAGTCTTGCGAAGGAGAGCTCTTTGCAAATGATGGCAACTTCTCCATCCTGGTCAGAAGTCTCAGCTGTATCACGAGACGAACATCCATAGGTTTGGTTCTCGTGATCCGACCTGAGAAGTGGTGTGCGTTCAGACATGGTGTATGGATGATAAGAAGAGGGCAAATTATGAAACGATGATACAAGAATAGACAATGAAAAAGATATAGGAAAGATAGTTATCGTAAGACTCTTCTTCTTCTTGTTATTAAGGACAAAGAATGAAAAGTGAAGGATTTATCGCAGTCTATGGTAGGCCCATACCAGGAAGAGAATCAACGGGGAGCAAACCGCGCTGCTGCATCAGCAAGGATTGTCCCTGGCACCACCAACTAAAAACTAATGCGGATGGAACTTTAGCAAAATCACAAGAAGAGATAAAGAAAGGAAAAACTTTAAGCTGCAGAAAGAAAAGCTGACCTGACCAAGGTACAAGCCCAATTCACCCTTGTGTTGGTGCGCGTAAGTCAACCGAGTGTAGTTCTATGATCGGCATTACTAAGAATCACAAGTTAATAGCATGCATACCTACTTCTCTCCCCCTCGCGGTCATCGCATTCCGGCATCCTGGTGCAGATACATAGCAATACTGATCATCCCGCGTGTCTCAGCCTCGCCGACTTCCGGGCGCTTACTCTGCGTCACTGACCCAGGCCTCAGCTATGACATGTCTTAGCAACCCTACCTGAAGATCTGCACTCGGTAAAAGTTGAGCCGTGTGCCTTCAACTGAGACATTGGAGTCACCGGTCTTACGTATGCTACATCCCAGGAGGCGAAGGGAACGCAAATGAGGTCAAGCGTCAATTGGTATTGTTGAGCATGTGAAGGTATGCGAGAAGCGACTGGTAGGTACACTTTTAGATGCATCAGTCGAAAACCGTCGAGGAAGGGCTCGACCTTGGGAGACAACATTCACAGCTTTCGAAACAAACCGTCAAGATGTGGCCCAAGTCTGTTTTCTTGCTCAACTTTGCTTTCATCCTGCACCAAGCTGCCTGTGCTCCGACTCCCGAGCTTTCATCTCTCACAACAGATTATGAAGTTATTGTCGTAGGTGGCGGGCCTTCGGGGCTCGGTGCTCTCAGTTCCCTTGGACGCATTTGCCGCAAGGCTTTAATGATCGACTCTGCCCAGTATCGCAATGCGCCAACGAGACTCATGCACGATGTTGCTGGTTTTGATGGTTGTTCGCCTCCTATAACAGTACTACTGAGCCATCTTCTGACTGAATGCAGGTGTAACGCCAGCGTATTATCGATGGTCTGCCATGCAGCAGATTGCTCATTACCCGACAGTCAGTGCAGTGAACGGAACAGTCACCAGAATTCAGCCTGAAGCGAACTACACATTCTTCAATGTATCGTGTACATCGGTAGATGGTATAACTTCTACGTATACCGCCAGGAAAGTCATCTTGGCGACTGGTCTGCGTGACCTTCTTCCGGAAACACCTGGGCTACAAGAGAACTTCGGGAAGGGTATATACTGGTGTCCTTACTGCGACGGGATCGAACATGCCGATCAGTCGATGGGTATTCTTGGTCCTCTTGACATGGTTATCGAGGCAGCTGCCGAGGCTATCACTCTAAACTCCGACATTGTGATTTTCGCCAATGGTACCGACACGCCCGAATACCGTTCCAAAGCTGACAAACAATTTGCTGAGAACTCGTCTGAATATCTTCGCAAAAGAAACATTAAAGTTGACAATCGTACCATAACTCGTATCACTAGATTACAAGATGGTGGAGCACATGAGAGGGATCCGAGCCTGCCAATGGTACCTGAACATGATCTCTTCAGAGTCGAATTCGACGACTTTGGGAGAATGGAACGTCAGGTACTCTTTACAGTCTTCGGTAGCGAGCAAAGGTCTCCGCTTGGAGAAATGCTTGGAGTCACCATGGCTAATGGCATGATGGAAGTGGATCGCATAAGCATGCGCACAAATGTGCCTGGCATCTATGCTGTTGGCGATGCGAGTACTGACAAAAGCACCAACGTCTTACATTCACTTTACACCGGGAAAATTGCAGTTGTAGATATTAACAGTAAGTCAACTGTCTCCAATGCGGTAGCCCTCAAGTCAATTGGTAGCTGACGATCTCTGAGCAGTGGAATTGGAAAGGGAGATTAGCAGGTCATTGAACTCCGAGACTCGGATTGATCTGGGAAGGAAAGCTGGCCACGATGAACGGACGAAGCTTTGGAGACAAATAAGCGGGCAAGCTGGAGACATCTTGGACTTGTAGATGTTTGGACCAATGACTGCAATTATGTACCATAGATTGAGATTATTGGATCAACTCGTCTCATTTTCTGCAGAATCTATCTTCCGGACATACTTGTGAGCAAATCTGGAGATTTTACTGAAGTGAAGCATCTTGTCTAAACAGAATAACCCTCAATGTCGACAATTCTCAGTAGTGTTGATGATCAACGTCGAACACGCACCCTACATGACCATGCATCCAGCGCCCTTGGGCTTCATCTCCCTCCGAACAGACACAACCTCCACGGCTTCCATATCATTCGAGGGTCTCCATGTGCGCTCTAAAGACATGGCCCTCTCTATGCGTCGCAGCCCTTCGAGCAATTGCTCACGAGGAAGTGTAAACGTGATTCGGAACCATCCTCTATCTGTAGCATGAAAGGGCACACCGCTAGCAACAGAAACCTTCTTAGATGCAAAGTTCTCCATAAGCTGTGCATCAGAAACCTCTGTTGCTGTCTCCCCACCGAGACGAGTCCATATAAAGACTCCTGCTACTGGGCGATAGAAGGCAAAGTGGTGGAAGGATAGGAAATCTCCAACGAGCTGTGCTGCATTGCGTAGAAGCATTCTGTTGCGAACGAGAATGTGCTCTAGGACTAAAAGATCTGAGAAAAGACTGGAGGCAATCACAGAGGTGGCATTGGATACTCGGTACCTGTTCAGAATGGCCATCGCATTGCGAAGCTCGGGGTTTTTCTGTGTCACAAGGAAGCCCTGTGAGAGGTTAGCCAAGATGCTGTGAGCTTGGGTAGATGTTCGTACAAGTCGGAGACCACTACTACCGAGGTCTTTGCTCAATGCGTAGACAACATGTACGCGGGCAGGGTTTACTTTAAGTCGCTCCATATCCAAAGATAAGACGGAGGTAAACTTTGTCTCTGGGGACTCAAAAACAATTGGCCCTTTTTCAGAAAGCTGCTTTGGGGTCTTTGTTTGTTGTGGTTCCCACGCTGACATGCCATAGATCTCGTCCGCGATGTACTGGATGTCTTGCTCTTCGCAGAACTGAAGGATTGCTTCCAGCCAACTGGTAGGATAGATGTGCCCAGAAGGGTTCATGGGGTTGCAAACGATGATACCGCGTATGCGACATGGCGCAGCATCCATAGCCTTGAGATAAAGCTTGATGAGCTGCTCCGGGGATGAGATCCCAACTGGTATCGTGACTGGTATCAACCGATCGTCATTTCGCAAATTACTTGCTATCCCAAAGCCCTCCCAGCATGGTGCGTTGATCAGCATGCCCTCGTCAAGCTCGCTGAGTGAAAAGTCAAGACAGTCCAGGATGGACCCAGCGCCAGCACCACAGACGATATGGCTGGGCAGGACAGGACTTCGTGGATTGAAGAACCTGTTGAAAAAAGAGGCTGCATTCTCGAGAAGATCCGGCGGCCCACCGAGATTCTTCGAGTAAGAGAGATGCGACGCTTCAAGGTTGTCCGATATGGCTTTCTTCATGAGCGGAATAAGATCTGGACGGCACAGCCAGTTCTCTGCTGAGTTCATGGCAAGCACATCCTTCGGCCATACTGGGACAGAGGGAATTTCATCGGCCAACCAGTTTAAGCTTTTCTGAGCGCGATGGGAAAGCATTGTGTTGGTGGTTTGGGGATGTTGGAGTGTGCTCAGTGTAGATGTTCTGGCATCCGCTGTATTTGGCAGTACAAATACTGACGGCGTCAAGCTCTTGGTTGAGAGATGAGAAAACAAGATACAATGATAACCGGACCTGGCTGGCCACCCATTGTACGCAGGAGTTACAACATACTTCTCAGTACAAGATCGATAGCTCTGTGGCCAGACAGACCGTCCGTGAGTGTTTGGGTAAAGGCCGATCCTCCCTCGTCCTGTCTCTACAGCCCCTGAATCCTAGCTCAGTGTGATAAGAAGATCATTGCCGGGGAGCATTTCTCATATCCCTGGATATGGTATTGGAATGGTGCATTGCCGCGTTTCGGCCTCCGAAGAGCAGGGAATATCCGTCAGCACTAAAGGCGGCATCAAAGCAACCGGCGCTATATTCAGTAGTTTCGCATTAGTTGTTAGCCACTAGTACAGTGTAAGAACTTTATTGAAACATTGTCTTTCCGTGTCTCAACTCAGCCAGCCCTATGAGCAAAGCCATAGTGATCATTTCCACATCAGGCACTGGGTCTGTTCCCGAGTAGATCTGTTGAGGTGAGGGATATCACCGAATGCTACACAAACTTTCCAATTATTGGTCAAAGGTCTGAAACAAAGGTGTCTCACTTCGGACCATCGGCCTCAATAATACTACTGCGGGCGGCCATACCCTTGTCATCCTAGTGAGACGGACACTATCGGCGTCGCCCGCCTCCCCGTAAGGTGGCAATTGTCTCAGCTGCTGGTTATCGGTAATCTGAGTCGGGTGTCGGTGTCTTGTGCTCCCCATTGGGCCAATCAGTTCTTGACAAGTTCGGCATGCAAGGTGCGTGTATGCAGGTTTGTCCAAGGAACAGTCTCAGCACCTCCTCCTCTTTCCTTTCGCATACCATTTGGGGTCTGACCGCAACTGCACGTCGGAAGGGATGGAACCGAGCACAGAGTAAATGCCAATGGTCACCGGGATCTCAGCTCAAATGAACGCGAATCAACTACTCAAGAAGTCTTAGTCTTGACAGACAGCGAAATGATAACCTGCATGACCGTCAGTGGCTTGGTATGCCATGAGAAACGAGGGCTCAGCTCCATGCACGTATGGAGGTGGTAAGATTTGGCTATATGAGCAAGTCACTCTTTTCTTTTTTCTGCCCTTACGTCTCGTAGAGCTGCGTCACTAGAGTTGGGATTGATGGGGGTTATGCATGAGGAACAAAAACGAACGATTATTGTTGCGTCCTTAACCGATATCCTTCTGATAGTTAAACAAACACAAGCCATCTATCTTTGAACCTGGCTTGCCGCAGTCAATCATGAATGACCAGACAAAATCTCTTGTTTCTACCACCGATCGATGTGCGGAAACTCTTTCGGAAACTATGTCAGCCCATCACCAAAGTTTCGGAGAGTGGCAGATTCAGAAGGACATCATTTACCTAGACAATGGTGCCTTCGGGTCCTGTCCAAAATCCGTCGTCGAGAAGCAGAAAAACATCCGGCAACGCATTGAAGAAAATCCCCATGAGTTCTTCGAAAGATCATATGTCTCTGGCTTGGAGGCCAGCAGACGCTCCCTGGCCGACTTCCTACACGTCGATTATCGAGACATCTTTCTGCTTCCTGGTGCAACCCACGCCATGAACGTTGTCATTCAGAGTCTGCGATTCAACACAGATGATGAGATACTGACTACGAACGTTGCGTACAGCTCTGTGCGGATGGTGCTTGACCATGTTGCCAAGAGAGATGGCGCTCATATCGTTGTCGTCGATGTACCCCTACTAGTCACAGGCCCCGGAGACGTGATGCAGCGCATCCTCGCGGGCGTCACGCATCGCACGCGCTTTGCAGTCATCGACCACATCCCAAGCCGGACTGGACTCGTGCTTCCCGCGAAACAAATCGTCAGGGAGCTTGAGTCCCGCGGTATTGACACCTTGGTTGATGGAGCACATGCGCCTGGCATGATTCACTTGGATCTCGATGATATCAACGCCGCATACTACGTCGCCAACTGTCACAAATGGATGTGCGCACCGCGAGGAATTGGCTTTCTCTACGTTCGGCGGGATAGCGCTCAGAACATCAAGCCGTTGGTGATTGCCAGGTCCCCCTATGTCGTCGGCAAGTCTAGACACTCTGTGCTTGAGCACAGCTTTGGATGGATGGGGACCTATTGCCCTTCGGCAATGCTCTCCCTTCCCTCCGCCATCGATCATCTCAACACGGTGACGCCAGGCGGGTACAGCGACTTGACGAGTCGTAACCATGACCTCGCAGTGTTAGCCCGCAGGATTGTCTGCAAAGCTATCGGCACAGATATTCCATGCCCGGACAGTATGATCGCTGCTATGGCGACTATACCGCTGCCAGACTCTCCAGGGCCTGAGCAGGAGGGCATGCTTCCCATTCAACAAGCTCTGTGGAAGGAACATGGAATTGTAATTCCGGTTTACTCCTGGCCTTCATACCCTAAGCGAGTTGTCCGTTTGTCGGTGCAGGCTTATAATACCTTGGATCAATATCTTAAGCTAGCCGACTGTTTACGCATCGTGCTGCGCAAAGAACGAAAGTCATACTCGCTTGACTCTGTTGGTTCAATTGAGTTTCCAGTCCCTCCATACACAAGGAGACAAAGTGACGACTCTGCGTACTCTTCATCCTCAGAGGGTCTCCTAGCATGTGGATGCTCCAGCTCTGGAACCAAGAGCTTGAGTGTGAGACATGATGTGCCTGGACCTCCGTACCATGAAATTGAGAAACCGTCCCTGGCCATGCTCAGAAACCTCGCTGAATCCAGATTGCTGAGGATCTTACATGGCACGTTCTCCTTCGATCCCGTTTCCTTGTTTCCCACCGCTGGAGCTTGTGAGGCCGCACTCACATTGACCAGTGAATTCCAGAAACATGCCAACATGGAGACTTCCAAAATGGCCTACATGCTGTCTTGCATTCCACGGCGCAGAATTCCACAAATAATGGCTTCTTCTGTATTGCAGCTGCTGGAGACTGAAGATGTGATTGAGGATTGGCCTCTGCGAATGAACACTTTTAAGAATCAGTCTCAGATACTCAGTCGAGCAATCATTTCTGAGATGAACGCTCCTAGAGCGCCTGCCAAGTTCACAGTCGATCCCAACGAGTTTGTCGGCCGAGTTGTGCCGTATGAGACAGAAACCCATGAGGAGAACCTCAGTCTGACGTTCTGGGGCCGTGCTCTGTCAGACTTCGCGACCAAGGCAAGATGGTCTCCAGGTCGAATTACATCGTTCTTGCAAATCCATGCGTTTTTGAGAGATCCAGTCTGTGGACTGCGCAACAAATTTGAATTCCGCAGAGATAACTTCCTGAAACTGCTCACCAACCTTGCGAAGGATCTAGAAGAGTCCAGTCGCACTGTACGAGAAGATGTCGCAGCCCAGTTGGCAGCCGAGTCCTGTTTCCTTTCTCAACCTCTCGTCAGTAATGCAAGCTGTGTTCATTTTTCGGCGGATCAGCAACTTGTATACTCATACGTTGACATTTGCGACATGGCGCGGTCCGAGTTCTCTTGCCCAGAAATTGTGATTGGCATGATTGACGATATCATCAGTTGCAGCTCCAGGGACAAGATCCATATTGCCCCGATTGCCGTAGCAAATATTCATCCCATTTGTTCGAGCCATGATTCTCGGCAAGTCATCATAGATGGTAACAACCGGATTACTACCCTGACCTTCCTCAAGTTCGTCTCCATCTACGGACTCGCAAAGCTTGAGGAAACCGAAGATAATCTTAGAGAATACTGCCAGGACAGCGGATTTGGACCAGTTTATTTTGTCGACTTCTGCGCTGTGCTACAGATGCTCCGGAAGAATGCGGTGCATGTATTGAGCCAGCTTCAAGCTGGTGTTGCTTTGGGGCACTTCAAGCATATTACGCAGGTGCCGTGCCTGATTACGGAGGAGGCATCTTTCATTACAAAGGTGCTGGTCAATGGAGAAGAGATCGCACAGCCGGTTCATCAATCTGTTTTTGCGACGGATGATTTGCTTGTAGCATTGCCGGCAAAGATGCAGTGTCATGGGCGGGCGAAGGGGTTCAAGGCGCTACCAGTTAGGTAGAAGAGACGTATTCTAGAAATATTTTACGCTTCACTTTATAATAAAGTTCTAAAGGCTCAACCGTGTCTCTATGACGTTTGCTTTACGTAGTTGCTACTCAGTCTTTCATGGCCCAGTCAGCAGCAGCGATAGCGTGAAGCTTTGCAGTGTCAAATACCGGCAGCTCACTTCCCGCCTCATCAACCAATAGACCAATCTCGGTACACCCCATGATCAAACATTCGGCACCCTCAGCTTTGAGTCTACGGATGACAGAGTGATAATCCTCGCGAGAGTTCTCTTGAATGATGCCATTGCAGAGTTCCTGGTAAATGACGTTGTGCACCGTATCTCTGTCGCTATCACCCGGGACAATGACCTTGAGCCCGAATTTCTCGACCAGGCGCTGTTTGTAAAAGTCTTTCTCCATGGTGAAACGCGTTCCGAGGAGGCCTACAGACTTGTAGCCTGCTTTGATGATGGCCTCGGCAGTTGGATCGACGATGTGGATGAGAGGTAGTTGCGAGGCAGGTTCGATACCGTGAGAAACGACGTGCATGGTGTTGGTGCAGAGAACCAGAGCATCTGCACCGGCGAGCTTGAGTTTGGCCGCTGCATCATTGAGCAGTTCGCCGGCTTCGTCCCATTTGCCCGCGTGTTGAAGGGCCTCGATGTTGGCAAAGTCGAAGGAAAACACGATGCACTGGGCAGAGTGCAGGCCGCCTTGGATTTCGCGAACGCGACGATTGATCTCTTGGTAGTAAGTTGTAGTCGACTCCCAGCTCATGCCGCCGATTAAACCGAGCGTCTTCATCGTGCTTGTTGTTGTTGTTTGGGCTTCTGGACTGGACACGTGTCTCCTGTGCGAGGTTGATCAAGCTGTGAATGCGGTGTAAGAGGAGGGTTCTGGTGCAGCCACTCAAAGCAGATTTGTTATCGCGGTGGCTGACTCATGGTTGGTACGTACTCGAGGCTTTGGTGACTTGCAAAAATGGAATGAATCAACTCCGCCACTGCGACCTACCTAATGGATTGAATTGAAACATGGCACTTGTTCCAGGTATGAAGCACCCCTTGAGGGCAATAGTTGAAACCCACTGAAAAAGACATGGTAGCTGAGACAGGCACCAGCCACTGTATGTACTGTACGACGGTAGCTACTATGTTTCCTCCCTATTGACTTGTCAGTGGCATTCGTTCCACGGACAGGTATGCAGGCGCATGACAGGAATTGCGAGCTGCAAGAATAGAGATGGTGCAGCGCCGAATTTGTTGTCTTGGATATATGTCATAACTTTTGTATCATCACTTTCGCTTCACGAGCAGCAAAGTGACTTTCAAGCTCATGGTGATCTCTTTTGGCAGCTCAGGCTGGAGACATGCAGTAACTTCAGATAGAGCGGCACTCTTGGATCTATGATTAATTAAAATTGGTGGTACAATCTCGCGCAAAATACTCAAACTGTCTACTGAGGTGCGAAAGAGTGAATTGAGTTGAACTATCGAATACGGCTGTGCAGACGGAAATGACTGACTGGAGCTAAACTAACAAGAACTCCTACTAACTTCGAATCTCCAACAGGTCAACGCGAAAGCAATGTGATTCCTATTCACCTCAACTTCCGAAAACAACAGGGACTCTAAGCACTGACGATCTCACCCATGACAGCCAGAACATTGGCGGATGCGCGAGAGTTCTCGGCGTTGATGGTGAGGACACCGGAGCTAGAGTCCCAAGTGTTCTCGTGGGACCCATTCTCCTCAGAAGAGGAACCAGACGCTCCAATGCGGAATCCGAAAACACTGATGCCACCGCCACCTTGGACTGTCTTCTTGTAGTCCTGATCAAATGCAGTCTTGGCGTCACCGCTGAAGCTGATCTCCATGCTGACACCCTGTGCAATGAGCATCTGCGTGGGACGGACCTTTTGGAACATGGCAGGCGGCTTAGCCCCCAGCTTAGCCATGAGGCTCTTGACATCGACGTTCCTGTACGGAGTTAGATAAGGGTGAACAAGTGGTGTAGGACTTACCAAGAACCGGGCTCAAACGGGACGGTCTTGTAGTGCTGGATCTTGAGAGCAACCTTGACGTCCTTTGCGTTGGAGCTCATGTTGAAGTTGGAGTGCTCAACACGTCCACCTCCACTGGCATAGAAGTCAAAGACGGGGAAGCGGCTGAAGGAGGCATTGCCCTGAGCTTCAGTGAAACCGATGTCCTTGAAGGAAGACTGCTGGCCGGTAGAAAGGCTGATACCGAACTCATCCGGCTTCTTGTTTGAGAAGCCGACCCATCCATCGAGCATGGCAGCGTAGCCTGAGATAGAATACTGAGGCACGTATTGGGTTTCGAGAGGGTCAGGAAGGATGGGTCTTCCAGCAGCATCATAAGTAACTGACTGAATACTAGCCTTCATGTTGTATCTGATAGTTGTTGATCAGTCAGATTAGAGGTACCAGGAGTTGAGTAGGGTGGACACGTACCCTTTCAGCTCAGTGAGAGTGTTGGATCCGTTGGCAGCACTCTTCATAGCTTCAGCAAGAAGAGCAGAGCCAGCGCCACCAATGGCATTGGTCTTCATTTGAACTTCATTCGTGGCAGCCTCCCTGTGGTATGGATGTTAGTGAGAAGTCCTCATTGCTCTGGATGTTGTAAGGTTACGTACCAGTTTTGGAAGGCGACCAAGTAGGCATTGGCGTTGAGAGGGGCCCACTGGGCGAATGACTTGGGTTTGTCAGGGTTGTCGTCGTCCTTGAAGTCCTGCATAGCCTGCTTCTTGGCATCATCCAGCTCGGAGCGAAGGATAGCCAATCTCTCCTTAGCCTTGTTGAGTCTGTCCCAGGCATCGGGAGAGTTGTCGCCACCAGCGCCCTTCAGTGATCACCATCAGTAAATACCTAGTGAGTTGGAGTGGAGAGGAAGCCTTACCGGCGTGAGGGTCTGCAGGGTCATATTGAGCGCCTCAGAGTAGCGCGAGACTTTGCTGGCGACAAGGTTGGGGTTGGTGGGATCCAACAGGAAGTCTGCATACTGGTAGATTCCCCAGTTGGTGCAGACAGCGGGAATGTCCTTGCCGCCAGAGATGCCAGCAGTGTTGGCGGCGGCGATGTAAACTCTGGTGTTGTCACCGACCGGCCCGCTGACCATGATGTTCTTGACGGTCGAGGCGTAGGCCTTCCAAAAGAGCTGGTTCTCTTCAGACATGGTGAGGGTAGAGACTTGCGATTGGGATAAGAAAGGGAAAGGATATTGTCTTTGTGTTTGCAGTTGGGTGTTCTTGTAGTGTTTCGTGAACTGTTGAGTGAGAGTCAGAACTAGAGGAAACCATCGACCTTTATATAAGAGAAGACTCTTCGTGAACGTAGGCTATGGTGGGTCTGCACGGAGTCCCAAGCTTGGCGAATGCTGTCAGACGGCTTGAAAACAGTCAGGATGATACGCTATGTGATCTACATGTTCAGTTTGCTATACCGCAACCTTCGCCAAGAAACAATTGTTGAAACTACAGACGTATGAAGGATGCTAGCGTACTGCCATCTGCCGTAGTGTGTCACAAGATAGACAGCAAAACTGAGAATGGTCTACGTTGACTCTAAGTGATGAGGTCACAACGGTAGAGAAACTATAGACTAGGCATTCCATGGCTAGCTGAGTCGTCCAAATAGGAATCATTATCAATGTTCTAATCGCTTGGCTTCTCGGAAGTGCTTCTTTCCGAGAGCTCGCTAATTGACAGCCTGGCTCAGTTCGGATTATCAATCAGCTGTTGGAGACTTACGAATAGTCTAAGGTGAATATGATGCTTCTACTATGGTTTCTTGATGGATCGAGCAGTAAGTCTGCGCGTCGACCTGGATGCTTTCTGGCGATGTTGAGCTGACTTGCTTTGATTTGTCAATAAACCTTGATGCAATGAAGCTCTCCTTTACATTGACGACAAAATACAATGACGTTAAAGTCCAGTCCGATCGCGTGTTTTGAACACTTTTTAGAGAGATGATAAATGACAGCCACAAGTGGTTACAGCTAGCCACTCTCAACGACAATAGTAAGCGAGCCGCCACTCATCACACACGGCACGTAGCTTCTCAGATAGATCACATAGTTCGTGCGATGGGAGGTGCCCAGCGCAGACGTTGCTCATAGGGTACAGTCTTCATTTCAAATTTACTGTGATTTGAGATATTATTGGGAAACCCAAATAGCATGATCAAGCCTCAACTTACACATAGATGCAGGCCTATAGTCACATCCTCCTTAGTGTTTTTGGGTTGCTTTTAGCAATTTCAAGAGAGATGGACTTGTTTAAGTTTTCATATTTGCAGTGACTAAATAAATAATGTAGCTTGCTCACCATTTCAACTCGTTGAAAATTTCCTTGAACTTTCACACAAAGCGACGGATTCACGCTCAGCGCTGTAGCCTACGATCGGCATTCTATCGGAACAGACAATATGCGGCTCACGGGAACTCTGGCCGCTAGCAAGCGGAACCTGACTCTCTTGGCAAACGGCGGATCAAAACTGATATGGAAGGCATATGCTATTGCGCTGCAGGCCCATATGACAACGCAAGACGACCTGGACAATTCTACCAAGGCGATCTTCGTCGCCTCTCCGGGCCTCTTTGATATCCCTGCAGGAGAGTTTGCCCCTCAACAGATCACCAACGACCACATATTCCGCCGAACCGATTGTCTGCAGAATACCCGATCTCCGTTCTACACATCTGATGGAGAAAGTTACTTTGATTCCCGTCGAAGTATGTGTCCCGCATTTAGCCTGTGATCGTGAGGCATCATGCACCTAACATCAAGCTAGGTACCTACAAGCTATACATGATGATGTAAGTTTATACCCCTCATATGCTCTAGCAAGATACTGACCACAAAGTAGGCCATGACTTCATCTGATGTCACTGGCTCAATCTCAAAGCTCCGCTCTGAAGTTGAGCAGGCACAAGACAGAAGTGCACAGGCCTACCTCCGGGACCTCAATCTGTACCAGAATCTCGCAGCTGTGGCTGAATCTGAGCTTACCGACTTTGAAACGTGGGGCGAGAGGTTCGGCATCTATTATGCGTGGGCCAAGAGCGAGCAGAAACGGCTCGAATCGGATTACACCCTTGCTGCTACTAAAACATCAAGCAGTGTTGGGTTGGTACTGGCTGCGTTTGATCTGGCACGGGATAACTCAACGCTAAGACTTGGGTAAGCAGCCCTTTCTTCAAGCCGTTCCATTTGATCCGCAATCTTGCGGTTACTAATGGCGCTGCTAAAGGAGCAACATGCCATGCTCGAATATGGACATTCCATCTGCAATAGGACGCGCACAGACTCCTTTCGTGATTCCTGCGGACCAGATCTATTATCGGCCGCTCTACTCAATTAACGGTATCGACCGCAGAGTTGACTCCTGGGTTGGTGCGCAAGAGGGCGGACGTGAAGAGGTTGAGTTAGATCTCGATCTTGCCAATGCCAAGTCAGCTTCTTGGGCAAGTCTTGGGTTTCCCAACCTCGATCACGATCCTCTCTACGACACCAAAGTGGTCGACGTTACCAGTCCAGATGTCACTCTCTCACTCAAGGCTGGGGGCATGCAAGCATTCGACGTTGACCGGGGTTTTTGGTGAGCTATCAGCACCTGCAAATTGAACTAGCTAACAGTGTTATCCTACACCAGGGATGTTAGCGCCGCTGCTCGATCACAGCTGGGCTCGGCTGTAGGCAACGAAGGAAGTTCCGGTAAGCTCATGAAGATCACCAGAGTGCTGCTGGGATACAAAGTGGAGATAAAAATGTCATGCGCGGACGGCAAGAAAAGTCAGCTGTCTGACGCTTTGGCCGGCTCAGGTGGAGAGAAGATATTGGGAATGACAACTGACAGGTGTACCGTTCATAACGATGATGGTCAGGTCGTCGTTGCTAGTGCCCCTAGTGGCTTTCCGACTGTTTTGGCCGTCCTGGGCCGTGAGATTTGAGTTGGAAAGAACCAGCACTGTACTGAATTAAAGGTACTCTCGATTATGATCAGAATAGGTAAAAGGCTCTAAGATGCAATGACCGTTCAAACTTTCAGATGCGCTTCAAACCAATATCTCGTTATACTGTTCTTGCTGCCTTCTTTCGGTGACCAGGATTTGCTTCGTGTGTTGTTTGTTGTCTGTCGCCTTCGTATCACGGAGCTATGACGTGGCAGGTTACGAACGGGGATGATGGGAATCCCTGGTTTATGAGAGATCAGACCCAAGAGAACCGTTGATACGACTATGTTTTCTTATTCCGTGTATGCGCGACCAGTGGAAGATGGCTTTCAAGTGAATAGAAAGCGAAACAATAGCGCGGCTTGGCAATCGTCCCGCCCCGTCACAACTAGCCCAATATCAACTAACTCATCGCCATGGCTTACTTCGGCTACCTCAGCGAATGAGCGATCGTTTTTTTCTGCATGGGCATGAAAGGACTTTTCTCGCTTACTGGGCATCTTGTGACTACTTGTTGACGAGTTACTATTGGCCACCACTGCGATAAACAACCTGCCCAGTCAACTGTCTCCTAGCCGCCAGTCATATCTAAGAGAAATTGTTCTTGAATCTCTATTATCTTCTACTTTTAGGAATATGATTGTATGTCGAATAGTTGGCAATAGCGTGTCAAAATGAGGATGTGCTGCCCTGCCACTTGGGCCTAGCTCTTGGCTGCAAGCTTAGCCTGTCGATGAAGTTCTCTCGGGGGCTGGCTTCCACTCTTTGAAATGGCTTTTGTCCTCGCACTTCTACTCAAATGCCTTCCGTCATCCTCATCTCTTACATAGTATGCTAAATCAGCCGTGGGATCCCACTCAGTCTGAGATAGCCCATTACCCAGCCAGGCAAACCGATTCCCACTGTACTCAAAGTCATAGTCCTCAAAGCGAGGTTCCCGCATCGCTTCCAAGTAGTGCAGCGTAGATCCAGGCCACGTGATTGAAGACTGACCCCAGTTCGGCTTGATGTTGTGTGAGTGTCGGCAGTTATCAGACCATACCATCTTCTGAGTAACCTGCGCCATGTAGCTCTTGAAGTCGTAGCATGCTGCTGCCTTGAGACTCATGCTATGCATGCCGGGTTCAGTTTGGTACTTGTCGATAAAAGCACAGACAAAGTCCGCCTGAGCTTCTATGGGAGCGATGACGGGGCCGTTGGAGATCGGTGACCATGGACCCGCAAGGGTGAATGAGTTGGGACACTCGGAGATGCCGACTCCCATGTATCCTGTAATAGAAGTACTCCAATCTTCTTGGAGGTTGTGCCCTTTGAAATGGATGGGATACCGAGGGATGAAGGATGTATCGAAGCCAGTGGCTGCAATGATGACATCGCCTTTGTAGTGCTGCCCATCATCACTTATACAGCCTGTCTCTGTAATTTCTTTGACTCCAGAGTAAATCGCTTGGACGTTGTCATTCTTGATCGCCTACATGTTCTATCAGACTTGAGCGACTTCGAAATTGGACCCCACTCACATAAAGAAACTGATCACCAGAAGGGAGAATGCGCTTGCATCCGACTGGAAAGTCAGGGACAAGCTTCTTCTGAACTTGTTCATCAATGACCACCTTCTTCATCTCGCTCTCCAAATGCTCGCGAGCTTGCTTCTGAAGGACGGTTCCCTTCATGTACATAGCTAACACGAAGTCAGAAAAACGCCTTTTAAGCCAGTCGGTGCGACTTACTGAAGAAGCTGTTCAGCGTTCGCTCATTTTCCAGCCGTAGCTTCATGACCGAATCTGGATCGCTGACGAATTTATCAATCTCTTCTGGGGAGAATTTGCCCTTCTTTGAATTGACAGAGGGTAGAGTCCATCGAGGTGTTCGAACAAAGACCTTCACGGACTTGACACGAGGTTGGATCGTGGGTAGAATCTGCACACTTGATGCGCCGGACCCTATCAACAGAACATCTTTGCCGTCAAGTGATACACTTTTATCCCACTTGGCGCTGTGAAGTTTTGGCCCCTTGAACTTCTCGAGTCCTGGCACGGACGGCCAGGCTGGTTTGTTCAAGTATCCGGTCGCATGAATAAGAATATGGCACCAGTCTTCTGTTGTCGTATCGGACTTCAGGTCTGTAACTTTGACGTTCCACTGGCCTTTTGCTTGGTCCCAAGATGTCTCAACAACTTGGTGCTCGGTCTTGATATGCTTGAGCAGACCATACTTGACAGCAAAGCCCTCGAAATATTCCTTGATCTCGTCGGAGCTAGCAAGAACCGAGGAGAAATCTGCCTTTGGTTCGAAGGAATATGTGTAATTGTGCGAGGGGACATCGCAAGCGCAGCCCGGGTAAGTATTCTCATACCAAGTCCCTCCGACCTCTGGATTCTTCTCATATATCTTATGACCTGTCAGCACCATCCTTCATTGCATTTGGTATACGCACGGTCAATGAATAGTTCTGAAATGATCTTTTCAGCTTGTAAGCTAAGCAAAGCCCACTAACGCCAGCGCCAACGCAGATGATCTTGACGAAGCGCTCATTGAAAATGGCCTCAGTCTTGGGAGGATCCATATTATTCGCATAAGCTTCAGTTATGAAGGAATACCTCGAAGATATTCGATTGATCTCTTTGAGGCCTGAAGTGGTTAACTATCGCAACGTATCAACCGCAAAGACATCTTCGTATGCCTCGGAATTTTCTTGGCAGACGTATTAGAGCTTCTTATAACGAGCGAAGAGAGGCAAATGAGTCATCATTCGGAGTCTTTCTATCAGTGTTGACCCTGGAACAATTAGTCATTCACTGTGGCATCTAAGGTATGAGCAAAATATGTTTTGCAGGCGAGACTGTTGGGTGAGAGCTTGTATTCACCGCAGAACTTAGCTGATGTACCACTTACCCTACGGGTCTTGGCATGCGTCGACGATTGAAATCTCCGAGGCTGCGAAATTCCCAAATAGGATACATCGTGCGCCGCTAAGCCGCTGCCGCTGTCACGAGGAAACATTGTCCAACGTCTCTAAGCATTGTGCAGCTGACAAACAATTTTACATTGCATATCACACACAATTATAACGCAAAATCGATATTGGAATCCTCCGTAGGCTAGTTTTCGTACGATGGATCGTCTATGACAATGCCAGCGCGCGTCAATGAAACGAGATTTGGTTGCTTTTTCTGCTGCATCATGCAAAGGTACCTTGACCCAGCAGCTTAAGCAGAACAGGAAACCGTTTCGCCGCTGTCTTCCCCTCCAATACCTAGCTGTCATGATATGTCACCCATGTTTAACCTTGTTTGCTTTTGCCAGTTGAGAAATCAGACGGGAATAGCTCCCACCTTCTAACTCGGGATAATCGTATTTCTTGGCTGGCACAAAATCGTACGCCAGGTTGCTATACCCTGTCGCTCATTACTCGCGTGGAAACGCTTCGGCGGGCCGCGGTATCCGATGACAGCACATGGGACTTGCAGAGATTTTCCATTGGAGGATGTATCCTTGCCCTGGCACCGAAGGAATCTCTTACCCCGGTTTGGGTATCACGCAAAAGGGGCACGGTTCAGGATGGATCGTTAGGAAGTCTCCCCGGAGGCAACGATCTCTTTAGTTCGCGGGGACTAATCGTAGTCTCGGGTATATCCGTTTAATTGACTCAGTAATTAGCCATGATGCGACAAGCAAGATTGGAAACTGTCAAGGTGCATTTTTAGATCTAAGAAAAATAGCTCAACCAACGCAGACTACCATCGAGGATCGCGCGGCTGCGTATACGTCCCCTGAACTGCCTCGACATCGATACGCTGCTCCACTCTAATACCACTCCGAAACTGACGTGGCTGTTCCGGTAAAGAAGGAAGGTCCTTTTGCACGATCTCCTCTTGGCTCTCGGACCGAGAAACCACGTTGGTTATTGAGTAAGGGTCATGCACTTTGCTGTTATTCGCGCGCCCAGACCGAAGTTCATGGCTCTCGAGCCGACTGCCGTTATAGTGCGGCGTCTGAGAGTTGCCAGTCTTGTCAGTAGCGTAGCCTGCCATGACCCAGAAGCGACGCTTGAGGAGAGGTGTGACCATCGGGGCTTGGCCGACGAAGATGCCGACGCAGTCTTCGCGCATTGACCACAGAGCTGAGACGCCTTTCTGGTTCAACTGACTCGTGTTAGTGTTTGATACTGTGAGAGATTGAGGTTGGGGTACTTGCGTTGAAGATGAGCACGAAGCGAAGAATGGCAGCGAACATGCAGAAGAAGCCCAAGCTGAAGAGAAGGAAGAGACCAAACTTCTTGAGGCGATTGGTTTGGATGCCGACCAATACCTATACTTTGTTAATAGACGTCGGAGAGGAAATAGTAATCGTCGTACCGGAATCGGTATCAGCATGATGCAGATATCCGTGACCAAATTGAAGACCAAAATCACGACAAAGAAGGTAAGATTCTGGGGAACGCATTGTCCTGTGAGAGGTTAGAGAACACTCGGACTATTCTCATGGCTCAACACTTACGTCCCGGGTCTGGCCAAACTTGCCAAAGGTGATGAAACGGTCGACACGTCGCGGCGAGTGTAATGATGATGACCACCACGGATAAAACTACCACGACCATCAACGGCTTCACAAACCTCTCCGTCCAAAGACCCCTCACAACGCGGCTGTAGAAGCACAGCATGTTGAACTTGAGCGTCCAGAGAATAACCACATATCCAGTCAACCCAAGCAGAAACATCTGCGAACCATACGCCCACTTCTTACGATCCTCCTCGCTCATGTTCTTCCTCTCCTCAAAGGTCAAATCGGAGGTATGGCGGCCCTCGGCGCCTTGGACGAACACTTGGCCAATGACGGGTGCAGCAGTCCACATTCCCTACCACGAAACGTTAATGATCGAACACGTCAGTAGCCACGGGAAGGAGACTCACAGCGACTGCAATAACGAGATAATCGTCCCAATCGTAGTTCCTAAAACCAACCATTTTCGTGCGACAAAAGATGCGCGCCCCGATCATGGCGGTGCCAATAACGTAGAGGATCCATATCTCTGCGATTTGACCAGCCAACGCAGTCATTGTAACGAACGGAAGAAATAAAACTTTGACAAAAAGAAAATGGTAACTGCAAGCAGCTGAACGAGCTAACAAATAAGCATATCAAGGCATGTAAATGAAGGAATGGCAGGCAACGTGGTCCTTTACAATTTCTTTTTACATCTAAAAAAGCAGGAATCGAAACCCCGCGGCATGTTTTCAATTAAGCTTTCTCCCTATAATTCGCCCCCGACGGAAGATAAAACAATTCATAGCCCGTCAATTAACTACAAGCAGTCAGATCTTTTCCCTTCCCTATTTCTTTATGCCTCGGGCGTACGACAAACAATTGTAGGTTCCTTTCTTCTATTGTTACATCTTGTCTTACGCTCTGGCGAGTCGGTGGATACGCCAAGGTTGCGAATGGAGGGATCCTGGGGTGAGCATCACATGTTTTTAGGCTTTGCTTTTTATGTAAGGGCCCGCTGGGATGTAACTGTTCTGGTGGGATTGAGATCCCTGGATTTGTGAGCTGCAGATGTCAGGGGCATTTCCAGATTCAGATGCTGGATTTGTTGGCTCTGTAATATCTCATGCTACTGATATTGCTTCAGTCATGTCGGCAGTTGCTTCGGGAAAAACAGCTCATGGCATGATTGTAACACTCACGACCGGACTTTGAGAAGTAATAGCTGCATGGCAGTATGATAGATCAGATATTCCGTTCCGAACATTGCCCAGATACAGTCATTGCGGGACATGGCCCGGCTGAAGCTGATGCCGTCGACAATGTAGGTGTTTAGCCCCCGTTGAGAGACCAACGCCCCTGCGCATGAAACGACAAACCAACACGCACCGGCCCAACAGTTCTCATTCCCCGTGAGCTCAATATAGAACCAACGCTGTTTCAATCCTCTTAACAAGGAAGGTGACTGCATCGCCGATACTATTTATTCGTCGGCCCGTTCAGACTCAAATCTCCCAATGCAATTCATCCTTCTTTTCTTATTTTCGGCATAGCACTTCCGAAAATGTCCGCCCCCATCCGAGTCGCTGTCACGCAGGCTGAGCCTGTCTACCTTGACCTGGCTGCATCTGTGAAAAAAGCATGTGGTCTCATTGCCGAGGCGGCGCAGAACGGGGCGAAGCTTGTTGCCTTCTCTGAGTGCTGGCTACCCGGATATCCTGCGTGGATCTGGTACGTTTATGTTTCGTTTACTGACTTGGCTTGTGCGTTTTGGCTAATCTCGGTAGGGCTCGATCTGTGGACTTTGAGCTGCAAACGAGATACATCTACAATTCGCTGCCAATTGAGTCTGAGGCTATGGATATGGTTAAAGCAGCGGCCAAGGAAAACTCCATCGCTGTTGTTCTTGGCTTCTCTGAGAAGAGTCCATCTCATAGCGTGTACATCTCCCAGGCTATCATCTCACCTCAGGGCGAGGTCTTGTTGCACAGAAGGAAGATCAAGCCCACTCACATGGAACGTACTGTCTTTGGTGACGGTACTGGTGCTGATCTGAACAATGTCGTGGAAGTGGACTTTGGAGCTGAACATGGTAAGATCAAGGTGGGATGCTTCGCATGCTGGGAGCACACGCAACCACTTCTCAAGTATCACAGTATCTCGCAGGGTGAAGTGATCCATATCTCCATGTGGCCGCCCATTGATCCCAGCATGGGTGTTGATCATCCTGGTCTGTGGAGCATGACCGCCGATGGGTCCCAGAACCTGTCCCAGACATATGCAATTGAGAGCACCACTTATGTGCTCCACTGCACGTCTGTATGCACGCAGAAGGGCATCGAAGTTCTCAAGACGCAGGATGGGTTAGCTTGTCGCCAGCCTGGTGGAGGCCACAGTTGCGTTATTGGACCGGATGGGCGACGCTTGACGGAGCCTTTGGGCGATGGAAAGGCTGATACGGAGGGTATTGTCTATGCTGACTTGGATCTGACCAAGGTTGTAGCGACTCGGGGATTTTTGGACATCGTGGGTCACTACAGTCGCCCAGATCTGCTGTGGCTTGGAGTGGATCGCCAGCCCAAGGAGAATGTCATTGCCAAGCAGTACAAGCCTGCGGTGCAAGAGGAGACAGAAAACACTGTCTATTGATAGACTGATCAGCGGTTGTAAATCGGAGCTAGAACCTCTACGTCTGCCAAATATTACCAAATCGAAGCTAGAGCACCGTACATCTGCATGAGCCTTACTCATCGCCCGCGCTTCATGAAACAATTACCTCATTGCACTTTTCCGAGCAGCTATCCAAAAGCGTCGGCTGTCTCTTAGTTTTTCTCTTGGCAGAATAAGGGTGGACTTGTTCTCATGCATGATGAGCTGTTTGTCTCACTGAGGCACCGATCTGTCTATCACGCTTGTTCCGAAAGGGAACCATGCCGCGATCGGGACAACCAAGTCAGAGCCGGGATACAGGCCAATCGTAGTAAATGACGGTAACAGTGATAGTATAAACCAAGTGGCCATCTCTTCGGCTATTGATAAACCCCTTTTTTTACGTATTCGTAAGTCGTTATTACTCTTCCCAAGATGCCTGGAAAAGTGAATCTCTCAGAGCTTGACTCTGGAACCTTGCATTCCCTCCACCATACCAAGAACAAGACTGGGACGGCGGTCGACATCCATCAGCAGCACTGGAACCAAACTGTCGGATCAACGCTAAGGAGATTCCTGGCCAGTGCCGGGTATGACTCTCAAAGTCAATCCCGCATCCTGGACCAGTTCTCGAACCTTGTCGCCCCATTTCTCGGTTCGTCCCCCGTGCGGGGAGAGCCAATATGGAAGAGCTTCATGACAGACAACAACTGTCCAGTGGAGCTGAGCTGGGACTTTCATACCGGTAACAGCCAGCCAACAATACGATATTCTATAGAGCCCATCGGTCTTGAGGCAGGGACAGCGACAGATCTACACAACGAAGAAGCTGCGGCAAAGTTCGTACGAAAAGCAACACGGGCTTTCCCTGATATCGATATAGCCCTCTTCAATCACTTTTATGAGTACTTCAATGGACGGTGGAACGCCGATCGGCCAGAGGGTCACCGAAGCACCATGTTCTGGGCATTCGACTTGAAGGAGTCCGTAACCACGAACAAGGCCTATTTCTTCCCAGGGCTTATCGCCCACGCAATGGACAAGTCAACGCTTGAAGTCATGGCGGATTCCATTACTTCTGCTCCAGGATGTCGACCACAAAACATCAGCTCTTTCGCAAGCTTTTCGAAATTCATCCATGAGCGCCAGCACTTGGGCTTCGAGATGGATATGCTGGCATTGGACTTGGTTCCCGTCGAGGAGTCAAGACTGAAGATCTACTTTAGAATAAGGCGAACAGATTTCCGGTCAGTGACCGAGATGATGTCACTGGGAGGCAGGATACATGGCCAAGAATTCGACGTTGGCATGAGAAATCTGAGAAATCTCTGGGACATGCTGTTAGGAACGAGTGGAGTACCTGATGATATTCCTCTACCGCACAATAACCATCGGACATCCGGGATACTCTACAATGTCGAGTTCCGCACGAACAGCACGACACCAAAGGTCAAGATCTATATACCAGTCCGACACTACGCCAAGAATGACTCACAGATCATTGAGGCCCTGGGAGACTTTCTGACAGATCAGACTAGCAAGCTGCCTGATCTTGCGATCGATTCGGCTTGGGCCAAGAGATATGCAAATTGCTTGGACAGTATTTTGTGAGTACTCTAGTCGCTAGCAGCTTTTCAAACTATCTCTTTACTAAAAACCCGCAGCGGAGAAGAGAAACTGTCGAATGGTCTAGGTGTTCATACCTACATCGGTTGTTCCATACAGACCAAGGGCGACCTTCGTATTGTGGCCTATGTCAACCCTCAGCAATAATTGTACCGCGAGGGATATCACACTTATCGGAATACGGCTGGGTGTATCATTAAGTATATAGAACAAAAACGACTGATCTTCAATTCCCGGTTCTCGCACCGAATCTTCGATACCGAAGTTTCCAAATCTGATCTTCCCCTGGCATCATCCTTTCAGGTCTCCTCACCCTTTTTTCGGCTTGATGAAATCTTTATCATACTTCGAAACCCAGGCCCAATCTCCAATTCGATCTTCCTGAACGCAGGTGAACAACGTATATGATATAAACTGGCTCAGGCCTAGTGACTGGGGTCCGCCAGCTGCCTGGACTATACTCGCTGCCCCGTGAATATGTCGTAATGCCATTGGAATGTTCCCGAGAAGCATCTAAACCTACATGTAAATAGCGTTCTTCACGCATCATGCGGAGGCTTGGAAAGGGAAGCTTACTTCATCAAATGATAAAACCAAAGCACTTGAGACCGACCGAGGACTTATTGACATCGGTTGCATCGCAACGTCCTTTCGGAGCTTTGCGAGATGTTCCAACTTATAACGAATAGCTATTTCTTCAAATGTATTATTCGACTCCACCATGGACAAATGGCGGGAAGCGGCCAAGAGAAATCCTCTGATGAATTCCGCATCGTGTGAGGATATGATGATCCAATTGTTTCTAAGATATTGGTGGTAGTGACGTATAGATCTCGCTATTGGGCAATGAGCGCTTAGATATGGCATCACAATCTTGATATCTGTGGTCAATTAGCTTCCCATTGGGGAGACACGAGGAGCCTTCAAGTCCGGGAACCCAGGAGATTGAGACTACCACTTACAATGGTCGAACATGAAACATTCTGCTTCTGTGAGAGTTGAAATGAAGTTGATGTATGGTGATAGCATCGGCTGATCGATGTGGAGATCCGCTGTAGATATCGTCGCTGCGTTGTATGGAAGCAAGGTCTGGCTTGGGGGCTGGCCTTTTGGGCTCAAGCCTTTCATAGTGTGCTTCTTTTCTGTTTTGAGACCATCTTCCACGGCAATCCTTTTCGCTTTTCCAGGTCCGCGCAGCTTCCGTGCTTTAGCGTGTGCCACCTGGGCAGAGTATGAACGAGCTTCGCGTTTTGACTCTCGGAGAGCCTCGGGTCCTGCGTTATGTACCACCTGGATGAACTTCATTTTCACAAGTTCAGATAACTTTCTCTTCCATGTGCGGCTTTTCGGCAGACCTTACAAGGAAGACATTTGTATAACTCTTTGTATTAGAGGTCTGTGTATTTCGGCATTTGTCAGCACGGACGATGCAGCTGAATATTGATCCTTCTTAATATGGACTAGCGACTGGCTGGATAACTAATCACAAAATCCATTATCCTTACACATGATATGGAAGATCATCCCCAATCTCCGCATAGATAGCTCCAAGGGCGTCTGCTACATCATCAGGCAATGGCCCGGCCTCGATCGCATCGATATTAGAGTTCAGCTGCTGCACGCTCGATGCACCAACGACGATAGAATCGCCATGTTCTTTGCTCAGAGCTCCATGGTGCGCTGTCCACCTAAGAGCCGCAGCATGACCGCTAATTCCGTGGCTAGAAGCTGCAGCCAACGCTTTCTCCGTGGCTTCCGAGATCAAGGGCTTAAGATAGCGTTCAGCGTATAGATTTCCAAGGAATAGCTTACAGAAACGTTAGTACATGGACAAATACATATATGATTACGTACGGATTGATCAAAGCGGCCGCCAGGTTGGACGTTCTTATGGTTGCCAGCAAAGAATCCAGCTCCAGCTGGACTATAAGCATAGAACGCGATACTATGTCGTCGCAAGATTGGAAAAAGTTCCTTTTCGGCAGACCTCACAATCGGATTATACTCTCCTTGATATACGCTAGGCTTAATGAAGCCATTTTCTTCACAAATCTTGACGATAGTCTCGACCTCTTGAGCTGTATGTTTGCTGATACCCCAGTACTTGATTTTTCCTTCTTTATTAGCCTGGTCCATGGCTTCACAGGCTTCTTTGAGGTCAGTCGCCCGGTCAGGCTGATGCAGATACTCAATATTGATTTGCTGGATTTTCAAGGCACTCAGGGAATCATTAATGTCTTTGAGAATGTTCTCCTTGGAGTGAGCCCCGTCGTGGAAAGAGTTGACCTTTGTGTCAATGATGAAGTTCTTCTCAGGAACGTCTCCAATCTTTGGCTCGCTTGTTCCTGGTGCATGAGGTGAATAGATGCGTGCTGTGTCAAGCTGGTTATACCCTCGCTTGGTGAAGGCATCGAGAAAGGCGATGACCTCGCTTGGCTCGTGGAAGCGGACCACGGGGTCCTCTTTGCCGTCTCCGACCTATTGGTGAGTGATCAGATGTGACACTTCAGGACAATGAACGAGGAGAGGTTATCCTACATTTGCTACTCCTAGGACAATGTTAATCTTTGAGATAGACATGGTAGCTCGGCTTGAGTGATTATGAATGACTTGATGATATAACAGAGGACGAAATAAGACGGTAATGGAACGTGTCGTAGTTCGTTGGTTTTTAAATTATTCCGCCTTGGATGTCCGCAGCCCCTTTATACTTCATTTTTCTGTACTGGAAGATCGCGAGAAATACCCCGTAGCCACTTCTTGATATATGATCCTTCTGAATTAGGAAGTACCAGCATACAATACATTTCTAAGCTGTTGACCAAATCATGCCCTTCGCTATCGAATCGCCCGTTGTCCGCCCAGCTCTTGACAAATTTTGCCCGTCAGTACTGAGAATGCGGGAGTGGGGGCTAGTTCCTATCACTACATAGACCATTGGCTTACTCACTGGCATTTGATCCTTCCTTTCCAGGCAAGACTTTCTTATCAGCAGAAAGAATCCACGTCAGCGCTAGTGAGCATTCTTCTTAGTATGCAAACCTTTCTTTGTATCATAAAGGTGCATTGTCAAACTCCGCTTTACTTAGCTTTCACCAACGCACGTCAAGGAAAGGAGTACCGTCGCAGAATGAATGTTGGCTTATAGGTGTATGCAAGGTGTATTCTATGCTAAGTCTAGTAATAATACAACAAGAAACGAATGTAGAGGTACGCAGTCATCTAATACATCGGAAAATACGAAACAAATAAACAATACATGATGGGATATCTCGATGCATGAAGGGATATAGAAGCAGAAACGACAGAGGCTAATAAAGGAGGTCGAAGTGATGGTGATGGTTATCAAACCAGGCTTAGTTAGAGTAATGGGCGACATAGCCGACTTCCATCATGCTACCATAGCCGTCGCAGGTGTTGCCGTTGGGATATCCAGGCTATTAGAATGTCAGTTTATCCTTCGAAGATATTGTGGACTCCTTGATGACTTACCCAAGTACCACCAACAGCGACATTGAGAATGAAATACATGGGGCTATGGCACAGGGTATTCCAAACTCCATCGTTGTTGATTCTCGCACCCGAGATCTGATGGAACTGCTGTCCATCCAAGAACCAGGTAATAGTCTCATCTCGCCAGCTGCTCTTGGCGCGGTTGAACTCGATCCTCCAGGTATGCCAGTCTTGGTTAGGGAGACCAATCGTGCCACCAATACCGGTGCCTTCGTTGCAGATGCCGCCAGGGTAAACATCGCAGTGCGCAGTTCCGTATCCGGTCAACTGGCCGTTAACCGTCTCCATGACATCAAGCTCGCCACAAGAAGGCCAGCTACCGCCGTTGCGCAAAATGTTTCCAAGCATCCAAAAAGCAGGCCAGATTCCTTGTTTGTTGCTGGTAGAGCATGAACCAAATCGCAGGTTGGCCTCGGCTCTTGTGATCTTGCCCGCCTGGGGAGTGAAGACATATTTGCTCTCAACGCGGCCAGAAGTCCAGCCCTTGAGAGCGGAAGCATCGCGCCAGGGGACAAGCTGGAGGGTATCGCCACCACTTCGTTGGACGTTGCGACTGGATGATGTGTAGACTTCGAGTTCCGCGTTGACGTTCAGATATCCCGTTATAATGTTCCATCGGCTAGTGTCAGGTAGGGTGCCGGCAGCGCCAGAGAAAGGATCCTGCCAGACACGTGTAAAGCCACTGTAGCTTGGGGCATCCCAAGCCAGAGCGGTCGCGGAAAGCGATAAGAGTGCTGTAATGGGTTGCTTGAAAAACATCTTGAAGGTAGTAGGAAGTACTGGTAAGTAATATTTGACTTTGACTGCTCGGTAGATTGCTTAGAATAAGAATGGTGGCGCTGAAACCGTGTACTCTTATAGGATAGGGGGGAGGATGGCATTTGGTACGTAGTAGGCTATACTCCCTATCTTATTATTCCAGTGCCATGGGTCATATCCATCATGCTAAGAGATGCAAGGGCCCGAGATCTCATGGCTCAATGCCGACGGACCTGCATTGACAGCCTCCCGCATGTCATGTTACTAGCGTGTCGATCTAGTGATCGCGTCACTTATAAGAAGTGAAAACTTCAAGACAAGGAACGACTTTGAAAAATTGCCATTCTATTAGAAGAAAACTTCTCGTGCTCAAGTATCTCAACACAATGATTCCCCATCTCCCAGACATGATCCAAAGTATAGTCACCACTCAACCCTCAATGACAAGAATTTTCGCATCCTCTCCCTATGATCAAGAAGCGTGACCTATCAGAGCGTTACATCAGTCGCTCGCAAATTTCATGCCCTACAACCCTGCTGGGAGGAATAGTTCCCGAGAAGGGAAACTAGCCCGTGCTGGTTAGAGTGATTGGCCCGAGGATCGGGGATGATGCACCCAAACCGGACTAGAACTCCAGTCATGACCTTCCAATTCCATTCAGGATAATCTGAATGGTCACTTGATTTGCTAGAGCATTTGTTTCAGCGCGTAGAGACGGTCCAGTTACTGGCAAGACAGGTGACCTTCTCATGAGCTTAAGATTAAAAGGCACGAGTCTGCGCGTTTCTCATTAGTACCGGTGGATGATCGCAACTGGCAGGTTGCATTGAAGTCATTTGTACAGTTGCTCATTTATGATATGTCTTGAGTTAAATTCATTATCGCTTTTGACGACACAGCCTTTACTCAACGGTTGAGGATAAAGTGACTACAAGCTCAACCTAATCTCAAAAGTCAATTCAAGATGAATGAAGTTTATTGCCTGGGTGCCATTTGCATGTGAGATAAATACTAGAATCACTGGTAGTTGGACTTGTCATAAATGTTACTACAGATCAACATCATCTAACCTGGTCCATGTCAGTTCAGTCGCCGGGGCTTGTTTTCACATCATTCATGGTAGATCGCGAGCTGTAGGGTATTTAAATCTAGAATCGTGGCGGGGTTGCTAAAGCAGTACTGGTCTTATCGCAGTGTATACTTCTTATCGGAAGTTGAAACGCTAAAGTCAGACCAAGATATGGCATCGACCTGTAGCTTTTCCCTTCATCTGTGTACAGCACTAACGCTACGACTCCGACACAACCAGGCAGATTCCAGGCTGACAACAACGCCCCAACCATCCTCGCTTATCGTTATCAATATCTTGAGAGCGTCATCTTACACTGAAACCGGTTTCTAGATATCTCTCTTTTTCGAAGTCATGCGAACATGTCCAGCGGCTCGCAATCGCCAGCAGAGGTCACCGGTCCAACAGCATTCTGGATCCTCGCCTCTCTAGCATCAGCAGCAGCAGCTCAACCGTCGGGCAATCGAAAAAGAGACAATGACATCTTCGGAGGCAATGTCGATATTGTTCGCTCCATCCCCGCCGTCTGTCTCATCGATTCCATATTTGACTTGTTTGTACTGGCCCGAGGTATTTCGAGATTTCTCTCGTCACATAATTCCACTCGACAGACTCGTCGCAACTCACCAAAAGCGACTGGTCTGGTCATCAGATTAGCCTTGACAATATTTACCGTCCTCCCACAGACTATCAAAGTATTTAGTCTCCAAGGCGTACCTGCGACGCAAGTTTGTGCTTTTATCTTCTTCTTTGCCAATATTACGAAGCTCCTGGTATCCATTTGTGGATGGGAGCCAGAAGGGATCCTCCGAGAACAGGATGATTCAACTTCAATCGATGTCTTCCTGTCGTCAGCACTTCAAGCGCCATTCGAGTTCTGGATATGGTTCAATATCAGCCGACAAGCCTCTTTCAAACTCTCTAGTGAGCTAGAAAATCTTTGCGACTGGGCCACGATCGTTGTTAGTTCCTCCATGGTATTGCAGGTTATCATATGGATTGCGTATTTGGTTGCGCGACGACGCATAGACCTCTCAAGATCACTTTATATCGTACCTATGCGAGGCTTTTACTTATTGATGGTGGTTCTTGGGCTTACAAGGCACCCATCTGGAAGGAATGCATCGCAAGCGACGATTAAGCCGCCACCGGGGTGGATGGACCTATTCAATTATAGTTCGGGCTTAATCATCTGTACCGCCATTGTCAGCATAGCTATTGCGAAGCTACTGGAATCGATAGGAACTCTCTTAACAGTTTTATTGTCCCGTGGCAGCGCAGAAGAAGAACAGAACGGGGAATTGGAGGTGCAGTCCATCTCGGGTGAAGATAGTGCAGAGGAGCAGGAAGAGACTAGGGATCGTCTGTTTGCGGGTCAACCAGGGGCTTGGATGGGAAGGATAGGCGTTGCTCCAGATCAATTGGTTGTACGGGGCCTCACTTTGAACACGACAACCAGTACGAGCATTACACTGACAGTGTTCAACCTTATCACTACCATCTTCTACTATCTCGTGTACTTTGATGGGACTGGGACAGTAAACCCCAGTTGGACAAGTGTCTTAGGGTAGTGATTGAGACGGCGAAAACTTTGACTATTTCATATCAAAGCTCTGGGCCGGCAGTTTTAGGATAGGACCAGAAGGTATTGCGATATCTAAACGAAGCGATGGCAGTCGAACTACAGCCGCGATGTACACATATGTCTCTAGAACAACTATGATTTACATATATAAAGACAAGACCCATTGCTAATAGAACGGTACACAGGAGAAACTTCCATAACACCAAATGGCGACCGCCACTGGTATAACCCTCACTCTTTCCTGCGATATCCTCTCATTACTCTGGTGTCTAATTGCTGTGACATCTCCATGAGATCAGTAGTCGGAGGGCTCACGTCGATGCTCTCGTCGAGGTTCGTATCGGCCTGAGGGTGATCTACACGATCTATTCGAAGGTGACCTGTGTGATCTGCTGGAATGTCCTCTCCGTGATCTATCCGAAGGAGCTCTGCCAGAATCATCTCGAGATGCACTTGATTCGAGATCCATCAGTCTGACTGACTTGGATCGATGGTCTGCACGGCCATGAATAGCGGTGGCGTAGATACCGGGGTGGATGACGGAGAGCAGAATGACGGAAATGGCGATCATACTGGCAAAGGTCTAATGTTAGACAAGGGGTCACTTGATAGAAGGAGATGAAGTGAACTTACCATCCATCGAGGATCATGAACTCAACCTCTTGGCGCATCATGTGTCCACCAACACCGCCAGCCAGCTCGGGAATACTAAAACTGTTGAGCAAGTGTGTGCTGACAAGAGGATAGGATGATAACACTTACCGGTAGATACAGCGGGTGAGAACGAGAAAGAATACAACCGTCAGAGAGATCAGAAATATGTTGAGGTCTTTGGGTAGATGTCGAAAGACACTTCCACGTTCACGGCGCATACGCAAAGCAAAGTCGGCAGCAAGAATGCCCGCAATAGCCATGACGACAGCCTGGAATGATACACCAAACACCATGACTACCCTACCAACAGTTCCAAGAGAAGGATACTTCTCCGTCATCGACGCCAAAACACCACCAACACACTGCGAGAAGAACCCCAGCATATCAGCAGTAACGAACGGCCACGTCCAAAGTCTCGCCGGAAGCTTGGTATAGTGCTCCCCAAAATACTGCACCAAAGCTCGAAGTGTCATGTACAATGCTGCAGCGATGAATGATGGGCCGACCATGAGAAGTACAAACTGGATGGATGTAGCGGCACCGTCCCATGGGTTCTTCGACATGAGAATTCGGCCGGCGTAGCCGCAGCATTCGAGCAGGCTGCCAAGGAGGACGAGGATGGTGTAACCTTTCCAGAGACGCCAGTAGCGGATGAGGAAGTAGACTTGAACGAGGGTGCAGATACCAAAGACGACGCCGAAGAAGGCGTTGCCGCCCATGTTGGGGACATAGCCGTATATGGTGTCCTCTAGGGGACAGTCGGGAGAGATTTCCTCACATCGTTCTCTCTGCTCGTTGCTCATTTTGTTCGTCCGATGATGTAAGGTGAAGATAACAAATGATTGGAAGTCGAGGTTCGAGATTTGTGATATAGTAATAGTGCTGGCTTATTATGAAGATAGATTTTGTTCTAAGATTGGAGTACCATAGCTCTTTTATGTTCGGCCGTGCATTAAAAATCGGCAACGGAAATCCCGTTTACTTCACCAAAGTGGCAATGAAAACAAGCAAACCGCGTCTCCCTGGAAGGCTGTGCGATTCAACCTTATATCAAACCATCAGACGGCGGCATCGGGATCCCGGATCGTCAACATTATGCTTAAACTTAGACATAAAGCCGCTTGTGCAGGCCGGGCGGCAATTCTAAAGGTCCGTGATTGGTTTGTTGGTCGAGCGCCAAGGGTAAGCCATTGGTCAGACGCTTTTTCGGGATTCCGAGAGCCATATCAGGGATGATGGCTACGCGTCCTCATTTTACAAAAATATGATTCGATATATCATTTTGTGACTCAAAAATAGAAGATCAATGCTGATATTGTTGCGTTAACTATTTGATCGGTTTCGGCGAAGGACGTCGAAGTTGGTGCAATGTATGGGGTTGCAGTTAAGCGACTGGCTTATAGAGTGTTCACATCCTTGGAACAGCCAAGAGAGGATCCAGAAGGGAGCCAACGAAGAATTCAACAAGAAGGTGGGAAAACCCATGTAAACAGAGGGAAGCGCATGGATTGGCAATCTTGTCCGCTCGCCTGGTGCTTTAACCAACATATGGAATCCCATTACCTTATAAGACAAAAGAGAGGGTCGCATTTTGATTCACAGTGCTCAAGGAGTTTCCCGAGTAACGTAAGTTCTTTGCTCCAGCTAGTTACACAGTGAATCACCGGTATGTATGGTATGCCACTACCAATCAGAAGTAATCGACGGCTTACATGTATACCATTCTCATGCGGCTAAGATCAATCAATGAGGCCCCCCAAGTATATAAATCGCAATTACTTCTCATATTCACGAAAAAAGAAATCTTCTACTTCTAATTAAAGTTTTAAACGTAGGTAAACATAATTGATGTGCCACATGATAGCCGTGACATACATCTGCGCTAAATGCAGAGGAGTATTAGACACCGAGCGAGATATCAGGCGATGTAGACACGCCAGAGCAAGATCACGACGACACAGATGTGCCAGTCGTTACTCCACACATAGTTCGGAAGACAGAGTCCTGAATTGGTGGTATTGCGAAACTTGTGTTGCAGCGTACTACGCAGCGGAGGAAACAAATGATGCGTACCAAATTTGGTAATGCTGGGATGCAATGTCGATACTGGTCTAGGCCTTGGTAGTAACCTCGAACCTTTTGCTAGAAAAAGACGCACATGATGGCTGTAACACAAAGGACTTCAATGATGCAGTGATCATATTGGGCTCAGACCCTGTCAAACTGCATATGCTGAGTGATATTGACGTGGATACAAACACTAACACATTCACTCATCATTAGATTTGGAAACAATACTCTTTGGCCATATTCAATATCAACTGTTTGTTATTCACCATATTCCTCTAAGTATATATAGCTATAGTACTAGCACTCAGAAGAACCTTTGCTCTCCCATCAATTTCCTCAAGACACAAATCTAAATATCCAAATTAAAACACCAGACTTAACAGAAAGTACCAACCACTAGATAACACAATGTGTCATATCGTTAACGTCACTTTCCGTTGCTGCCGCTGTCGTGCCATCACGAGAGCGAAGCAGGATTATGCAAAATGTGCACAAAATCCTGACCCCAATCAACCCCTTTGCCCTCCGAGCAATTGCACGTCAAGTGAAGTCACACGACCAGTCTTTTGGATGGAATGTGACGCGTGCGCTACAGAATACCAAGCATGGTATACGGCCCAGCAAGCCGGATTTTACTACGAGCCTAACCCGCCCTTTGAGATGATCAACATTTGAAGCTGAATCATAGATTTCGGGAAATGAGAGTTAGTCACGGCCTCTCTTTGTGTATAAAGTCTGGCTAGCTGAGCAAGATAGTTGTTTCCTTTTCTTGAAAATAAACTCCGACCAACAGAGCTTTTCAAAGTCTACAAACCGTACTATCACAAGACAACAGCGTGAAAATCCGTATTAAGAATGTGTGTTCTTGTTAAATATACTTATACGTGCGCCCGGTGTGGCAGAATCACACTGGAAGAGGAGCGTCGTCATTGTTGTGCGCGGGCTATATCGCACGGGAGAGATTGCTCCAGGAGCAATTGCGAACGACGGAGCGCGAACTCGGTAACCCCTTGGCAGCAGTGTAGATCCTGCATGGCAGAGTACAACGCATGGTTGGCTGCTCAGCGACAGGGACATTACTATCAGCCTAATCCACCATTCATGTAGTTGAAGAGGTAGAATCTGGATCGTAAACCATTCACTGTTTATCATTTGTTCTGTGAACACGGCCGATCTGTCTTTCGAAGAGTTCTATAAGTACAGTGATTGTAAAAGGATCTCGTAAGATCTAATCTAGTGATGCGTAGACGTTGCTCCGTCGTGATTAAGTGAAGATTGAGGCTTATATATAAAAGCTCCATATGTTCTCGGTATCCAATCTAAGACTCCACAGCACTTTACCCTCATTCATTAGGAATCCCAGAAGACAATTGTTCTCTTCTCAAACTACAGCCGGAGCATATTCGAGACCTTCGGCTTACCTCAAAGAACTTGATAATGTGCTACAGGACAGCCATATTCTATAAGTGTGAACGCTGCGATAAAGACCTCGGTTCCGAAGTTGACATTACAAGATGCACGACAGCCCTGCAGCAAGGCGTCAGCAGCTGCACAAATACTACCTCGACTGCACCCGTCTGGAGAACAAAGCCTTGGACCAGTTGCTCATCATGTACAAGAGAGTTCAGCCAATGGCAGGAAGATTTGAGACGAGGATGGCCCGTTCCCGACCCTCATCCCCCATTTCGACGTTACTAGATAGGCATTTACAGGAAAGCATGAATACTTCAATAGAAAAGAGGCTCTAAATCAAATTATATAACCCATGCTTATCAACACCAATAACCCGGTGAAATATTAATTGTGTAGTCAGCGTTTTCTGTAAATGATGAAGTGCTCTGGTATCTGAGACGATAAAGTGTTAAAAACACTTTTGGTGATGAGTAATTTTCAGCGGGAGCTGAGACATGAATTGCATACTGGGCGCACTGTCACGTAGTAGAGTCACCTGTATGGCATGTCTTATTATTCTAGCACATTGATCGTCCCAGAACAGCCGATAGCTAACTGATACTTAGACTAGCGAATCACTGGCCTTCTGAATATATATAAATCCTATCATCATTCTTGGAAGATCTTTTCACATTTGCAACAAAGAAGAATCCCCCTTCTTAAATCACCTAGGACGCTATAACTATCTGATCTTGATTCTCATCAAACTAAAGAATCCCTCCTATCTCAAAAGTTAAGCCCCAATATGTGCCAAGTCACAGACACGCTCCACCTCTGCGAACGCTGCAAATGTCAACTCAAATCTAATGTCCAAGTCAGACAGTGTCCCAAAGCCAGGGCCAAAGGCATTCATGTTTGCCTGAATGCGAAGTGGAAAACCCCCTAGGAGATTTGGGAGCCGTTTGAACGGTGTATAACATGTTCTCAGGCTTTCGCTTCTTGGAAGTTACGTGTAGATGAGGGTGACGATGTTACAACACCCGATCCACCTTTCCCTGGGTTTGAGCACTATGTGAAATAATATACTTGATAGCCTGGAAGAAGAAACTGCCTTGATATAGTAGCCTTCAGTTTACCATAAATACTCTGGACACATTCTGCTCATTCATGATGCCTGATCAATGGATGGGTATTTATGAAGAGGCTGATTAACTGACCTGGATTAAATTGTTCGGGAGTAAATATTGTGTAACATGCGTTAATATTGCCCAGTCGGTAAATCATCCTATTGAAGGTATACAATATGGCGCGCCTCTATGCTAGCCAATCCGTCATGTTACACTTTTGATACAATCTTGATTTCATCAGCGTGATTGTGAAATTTGAGTTACATATATAAAGAAAGGTAACGCTTGCTGCATTCAGTGGAACATAAATTCTTCCACCATGCAAACTCCTCGTTGCGAATCACTGATGATCTCCAAGTACATCTACTTCGTCAATCTCACAGCCTGGAACGTATTTTTCTTTTCTTTCGCCAACACTCCCATCACGTTCAATATTACTTTGAATAAATACAATATCGCTAGCATATCAACGCGCTGATATGTGTGTCTGTGTCACCACTTATTTCCGGTGTTTACGGTGTGGCCAGGTGATATGTAGCGAGTACAGCACCCAGAAATGCGCGAGAGCGACCGCGGAGGGCAAATGGCGTTGCAGTCTGGAGGATTGCACTGACGGGACATTAAACCGAATTTTGAGGTGGCGTGAATGTTCTGTATGTGAGAGGGAGTACGATCGGTGGCAGGCAGCTCTGCGGGCGGGAAGACCCTACTATCCCCAACCACCTTTTGCCTAGAGTAGCAAGCCTAGATTGAGCACTATCGGAGTCTGGGCTGTCAGCCTCGGGTAGTAGCCTTTGTCTCTTATGGTAGAGGTCAGGCGTATCTCTTATGGCCTTGATGTTATGTTAGCTAGGTGTTAGCTGACTTAAGAGAGATCTTCTCCCATATTGCTGACACGAAAGATATGCGATGTGTTGTTCGCCGTGTGACGAGGACCATTCACTATATGAGGCCTGCTTTAAGAGCCCCGACGTTCGAGAGTCAAAAATAATGTACGGCTGTTGTCTGCAGCTGCAACCGCAACCTGAAGTTCAACGATTTACTGCTGACCTTGATGCCATGGTTCCAGATTCATGAACTCCCCGAACAGTAGTATGCTAGATACTCTAAGCAGTTACAAATATAGAACTAATCTTTTCTGAACGTGTTGTCGTAGCAAAGACCCGAAGGTTTATATATTCATCCGGAACGTCCCAGGGGCTCTGAAGGTGAGAGATTGAGCCCGATGTGCTGTTACAAAACCAGGCTTTGAATTATCAGATTTAATGCACTGTAAGACTAAGACATTTGAAACCCATGTATTGTGCTTGTGAATCACTGGCCTTTCCCAAGTATAAAAACCCGCCATCCTAGCCCCAGGAAGATTTCTCCCTCAAACATCAACATCAAAACTACACTCTATTATTCTACACAACTATACCTACCAGAAACATTTTTTTAAAGATTCTCATAAACTACTAGCTCACCATGTGCTGGCTCACAAACATCACTTACCGCTGCAGACGGTGCCACATGTCGACAGGTGTCGACCTTGAAATCCGTCGATGTGAAAAGGCTCGCAAGGATAACAAGGAACGCTGTGACTTGAGCAATTGCTCCGAGGTTGATCAGGACAGAAGTTCCTCGTTCGATCATTGCGTTACATGCGTGGCTCAATATAACGACTGGATTGCTTCAGGCAGATCATATATCCCAGAACCTCCTTTCTTCTAGCGGCCTGGAGGTTCAATGTCATGTATGGAATGAAAGCATTGAAACGTACGGACTAGTCCCGTACCGCTTGTTGAAAGGGGGGCCATAATGAAGGCAGTCGATATCAGATAGCTGAAATAAAGAACCTGGTGTTGTGATAACCTTCGAGAACAGTGATATGTAGAAGGAATTTGATCAGCAAAACATCGTGACTATGACTATGACTAAACTCAGAACAGCACTTGGCTTTCAGAAGACTTGTTCTCGTTATGATGTGTTGAAGAGCCGAAACACTAAGTCGGTCAGGGGGGACGTGATGACTTCGCTTCGTGTATGTGGCTATATTATGGAGCCCTAGCTATGGGATACCCCTTTGGAGTGCTCACGGCTAGGCATGGCGATGCTTCAGCTTCCCTAACTATTGGCTAAACGTCGACTTTGCTGTAGGAATATTGTATGCTGTCTATTCACTTAGTCCAGAGTCTGGCTGTACAAACCGATTCACTGTATCGCGCTTCATTTGTCACGAGGTCTTTAATTTCGGTCAAGTCAGGATACATCTCATGTTCCAGATCACATGATGTCTCCCAAAATGGCGCCTATAAAATACAACAATCAGTGTCAACTTGAACCTCTACCAACACCCTTTTAAAAGGAAGATATTCTATTTAAGAACATTAACTACACCACCGACAACATGTGTATCCGAGAGATAATATACTGTACTGCCTGCGAGCATACCGAGACTTTGAAGTGGTTATACTGCCCATCATATTTAGGGCTGACTACTTCAACGACCTTCCACTCTCCGTCATTGGTGATCAATGGGGAAATGAGGACTACCGTAGGCGGCGCCTTTACGCCCGAGACCTGCCCAAATCCAGAATGCCCTAGCAAGAAAAAGGCTGGGAAGGGGGACGCAACGGAGATGGAGGAGACAGTAATAGAGAAACAGCCTGAAGATGACAAGGCGAGTGAGAACGATCATGGGAAAGACACTGAGGCCAAATGCACCTCACCGGTAGATAGGTGGCATCGAGTTCGTGAGTCGGTAGCCCGATGTAAAGCTAAGCTCACCCATTCTGGATGACTGTGCATTCTCACGCTAATCCTCTCTCCATGTATATAATTTAAAGCCTTTATACTTTATATCTTGACTTGGCACAAGATTCATGGCAAGTCTTGGCTTGGCACAAGATTCATGGCAAGTCTTGGCATAAATCCGAGTCTTCACTCTCAAGCTCATGAACTGAATATTGCATGTATTGAATAGCGAGTTCTATATCGTTCATTGAATATCGAAGTTAACAAGGGACATTATAGTACAGAGCCAAGCTACATACTGGTTATAGACGGTTGTTTGTGGGCAGTAGCAAGGTGAGCTTTGTGGGCATACACTTATGGCATCGCGCCCTCCAGATCCGGCTCCAGCCCCATAAATGCTGATCAACCGGACATACGGAGTTCATTGTGCGTTGTGAGCGGAATTCCGTATGTGAATTGAAGACCTTGTCCGACGGTGCTCTCGACGCCGGAATGTAGAGGATGTCATTGATTCATTGTAACTGCTCGGCAACTATATCCTTTTACGCTTGGTCAGAAGAACCATTGCATTCCGTACTAGTAATCAATTCTATTGCCGTTCAACATCGTGCACTGGCTCAACTGGCAACCCTCCGCCTCCAAGCTTGCCTCTCATGGCATCATGGTGACATATGCTGACAAGCCTCAAAGGTGAAGGCTTCTTTAGACTGCGCATCTCAATCTATCTCTGCTTGAATTATCCCCAATCAGAGCTAAGTTATAAGTTGGGGTTAGAAGGGAATTACCACTGTTGGTGAGCTTTATCAGAGTGTGATACTAGAGATGAGAGGCAATCGATGGGATGCCAAGGCTTAACTATGTTTGCGGCCTATAAGGTTAAGCTTTAGGCTGCAAACACAGGTAATGAATGACAACACGATATTTTTTCCCCCGATGATGCCAAGGCTTAGATCGTGTAACCCCGCGTTGAAGCTGAATTAGGGAAGAGTTTATCGGCGGTGAAAGACAGCCTAACTTGACTAGGAAGATGGTCATCCATGCCCAAGATACAGGCAGGTTGAATGCCGTCACTGCTTATGCTTATGTGCGCGCCCTTCAGGTCTGCCATGCCCTGTACGTGCGCCCTTCATGTGATGGCGATGCTACTGCTCTCTGTGCCAATCGACTTTTACCTATGTATATAGTTCTCGCCTCTTAGAATGGAAGCCACCCATCTCTACTCTGTAGTCGTCCACCATCATCAAAATGGCCACAAACACAGTCGCAGAATCCGCCACAACTTCCATCATGGATCCGTCACGCCAAGGAAATGCTATGGCGATGTCTTCCTTGGGCCAAAGTCCACTCAACACAACTGAAGATACAGTGAGAAACGAGGAAGAACCACCAGAGAACGCCACGAGCGCAATTCTAGATGGTGGATATGGCTGGACTATTGTCGCATCATGCTTCATTCTAATCTTTTAGATAAATGGGTACACTACAGCTTGGGGTGTCGTGCAAGCTGCCATCGTGCAGTCGCCTCGACTGCATACTAACATTCGAACCATTACATTTGTTGGGAGTTTGTACATGGCATGCACGGTCGCGTTCGGCTTGATATCAGTCAGATTGTCGAGAGAATATGGTATCCGGATCACCAGCCTCGTAGCGACAATCTTCTTCGGGTCAGGTTTGATCATCACGAGTTTCACTCTTGAGCATCTCGCGGGTCTTTTCTGCATTGCCGGACTACTCGTGGGGTTGTCAACATCGCTGCTCTTCACGGCGACAAACACGATGCCTACGCAATGGTTTAGTCGAAAACTCGGTACAGCCAATGGGATCGTCAAAGCTGGAGGGGGTGTCGGCGCAACTGTGCTTCCTTTGGCAACGCAAGCCATGATCGATAAGGTTGGACTTCAGTGGACGTTTCGAATCCTTGGTGCTTCGATTCTTGTGACAGGAATTCCGTGTGCCTTTCTTCTCAAAGAACTTAGGCGTGGCGGAACGACATCGAGATTTGACTGGTCACAGCTGAAGAGCATGCCTTTCCTGACTCTCACCATGTCAGGTGCTGTCGGAGTTTTCGCTCTCCTTGTGCCACCATTCTTCTTGCCCGTCTTTGCAAGATCAATCGGCCTCTCGGCTTCGACAGGCGCCGGCCTTGTCGCAGGCTTCGGTGCATCCACAGCCGTTGGTCGTCTCTTCGGAGGCTGGATCTGCGACCGCATGGGTGCTTTCAACTCTCTGGCCCTTGCAGCTCTTATCAACAGCGTGTCCATGCTAGCAATCTGGCCTGTGAGTTCATCACTTCCGCCACTCTTCGCCTTCGCCATCATCAACGGGTGCGCGAACGGAAGCTTCTTCGTTGCACTGCCGACAGCTGTAGCTGCACTCGCGCCTGGATCAGCTGCTGCGTCTATTAGCCTGATGACGTCATTCTGGACACCGGGATACCTGATGGGCGCGCCTTTGGCGGGCATTTTGATTGATGCCGCGGGCGCGTCGGAGGCTTCGTCCATTGAGCCGTATAGAGCAGCTATCTTTTATGCGGCTGGTGTTGGGTCTGCTGCGACGTTTTTGATTGTTATATCAAGGCTTATGTTGAGTAAGAAGTTGATCAAGAGGTTGTAGTTCTTGAGAGACTCCTGTAAATAATGACAGTTACTGAATGAGACCTCCTCAATTGAAGGGCGATTGCATTCTTTTTCATGGGAGTGGCGCGGTCCCTCCGAGCAGCGCTTGAGTATTTTGTTCAGCAAAGTTTTGACCCGCTCGAGGCCTCTGAATCACTACCTGCACCGCGCTCCACAGCTTCCGCATATATGTTCCATCTCCCATTTTCTCCTCTTCCCTTCATCTTCTCACTTTTACAACACAAATTCTCTTTAACAACCTATCTACTACCATTTTTGAATCCTTTGCATCTCGGTTATTCAAGATGTCGCCCAAGGGCCAGCGGGCAATGAAGCCTAGCAACATCAATTTGGACCGCGAGAATGACCCCACGACTATCCTATGCAAAGAGATCAACGAGATGGTTGGAGAGTGGCCCTGGCTTTAGTTGGGTACAGCGGCTCCCTCTACCATGGACTTTTCTTGGCTCCAGAATCTCAACCTCCTTCTTGGCCGAGCTGTCATCGCCGCTACTGCAGGGGGCTGGCCAGCTCAGATGATAAAGGAAGTCAAATACATTCTCTTGTGTCTTGCCAATCGACGCGAACGCTATGGAGGAAAGGGTGTGGTTACCAACGAGCACCTCACCAAGGCAATTCACTACTTTGACATCCGTAATCTTATTCACGATGCGAACCAGGTCGAGTCAGATGACCCAACCAATACTCCGAATGGCTTCACTCGCCATTGGTGGGTTAGTTAGAGCAGCGACGATGAAACTAACGCTACTTCTCCGTCATCTAAGAATCAACAATGAAGCGAGCTCGCCGACAAAAAAGCGCAAGACCTCAAATGATCCATATAGCCTCCGTGTCTCAGATTGGAAAGGCATGAAAGCCATCTTGAAGTAAGTATCCAACTACATAAAGCTTAAATCACTTCTCTGACAATGATCAGTGAAATGAGATCGGGTTGATAGGGCGGCTGGTGTCTTTGGTTCCGGGTTTGAGCTCGTCGCTGGGTATGTTGGCAAGGTTTAGCTATTAATACACCAAGAGCGTGGTCACATACTGAGTTCCGAATTTCGAAATTCTAATACACTACTGGTCTTACACCATTCGCGCTGTCGTGGCATACTCTCAGAGTCTTGTTGAAGCCACCGCATACCACGCCGCACATTCATCTCTGACCCATCCGCCGGGCGTCCTTGTCAACGCTCACATTCGAACGCGTCATGATACATTAACCTCTGCTCAGTCCTGCCCTCATGCTAAGTCCGGGTCAAACACCCAATGATTAAACCAGGGCCAAGTCGAACAATAAATATTTCAATCAGTCTGAACAACTATGGGGAAGTTTCAATATAAATTCTTAATTACAATATAACAATGTAATCAATAATCCTTCTTACAATCATAGCATCAACTGCCAAGGTACACGTGACTCGGCGTAACTCACCCCTCTTTTCTTTGTTTATTGCTGACTTTCAATCACAATGTCAACTTCTTAATCCTATTCTCTTCTAACGCTCACTTTTCTGTTCTGATCTAATCTCTCAGCTGCAAGTCTCAGTTTTAAAACAGCACCTCTGGCTCACAACTCTCTGTTCTTGACAACATCGTCAAGATGGCCAGCAAGTACAATGCCATCTTATCAGGCGGCACATCAACCTGGGAAGAAATCTTCAATCTTGCCGAGGCAGATATTGAGCAAGCTTGCTTGACGTCTGGCACCCCAGGCCTTGCGATCGGGGTAATGGACCGCGATGGGAAGGTATTCGACAAGTATCTCGGTTCTCGTGATGTGAAGCAAGGACTTAGACCAGACGCCGATACTGTTTTCAACATTGGGTCTCTGTGCAAAGGGTTTACAGCACTAGCCATTGCTTGTCTCGTAACAGATGGGGCAGCTCACTGGGATGACCATGTTGACACTTTTCTCGATGAGCTTCGTCACACCAATGTTGGCAGTTCAACTATCCGGGACTTACTATGCCATCGGGCGGGCCTTTGCAGGTCTGATGCACTCTTCATTGGATTAAACAACAACCTGCTTCTTACCAAAACCCAAGGCACTACTGTACTTGCGTCACTCGATATAAGCCGCCCACCACGCCAAGAGTTCGTCTACAATAACTTTGGTTATCATGCGGTGGGATGTATCATCGAGAAAGTGTCAGGCATGAGCTATGGTGAGTTTCTCGCGAGCCGTATCCTCAAACCTTTGAACATGACCCGGACATTTACGGAGCAACCGTCAAACACGGATCAAAACATCTCAGGAGCTTATCTTGCCTATCACGATTTGAAGTTACGCGGGGTTCCAACTCCTAGTATCTCAAGCGATACCGTTGCATTTTCTGCCGGCGGCATTCGAAGTTGCATGCGAGATCTCCTTCTGTTTTATGGTTCTCTTTTACAAGCAATTGCTACATCAACCAAAGTTGAGGAACTCAACGTCAATGCTGAAGAGCTTCGTACTATTTTCGACGCTGCTATCCCTCTTAAAGATCCCAAGGCTCTACGCGAGCAGTCCTACGGTATGGGCTGGGCACGTACACAACTCCCGAACCAGATCAGTGAAATCACTGGCAACTCGGGGTTGTTGGACACATATCCTACGATTGGAGACTTGGCAAACGGGCCTTTGTTACTTCATCACGCTGGCAATAATCTGGGCTGCTCTTCGACTGTGTACCTGATGCCCGAGCTGAGAACCGGGATCATTGTTCTTGGTAATTCTCTGGGCCACTGCGACGCTACGGATTGGACTGCTCAGATCCTGACTCAAGCATTCCTTTCAGGCAAAATCAATAGCACCTTCAGCCAGTTCTTTACCGCTGCAGCTTTGCAAGGGCGATCTGCCATGGAGCGTGTACAGACAATTTTGGACAGCGAAAGACATCCCACTGAGCCTCCTGGTCCCTTGACGAAGTATCAGGGTTGTTTCTGGCATAAGTCTCATCAATTCTCTATCAGTATCGTGTTGGAAAGCCATGGCGATCTTACCATGTCACTTCAGAATCGGGATGACGAGAAATACAGCCTTCGTCACTACGAACAGCAGACCTTTGTATTTAATGAGAGCTTTGATCACATCATCGAGCGGGGTCAGTGGTGCAGACCATATTGGTTTTATAAGATCCAATTTATTTGCGAGGATCAAGAAGTTGTTGCTATTCGATGGAGGATTGATGAGACACAGGAAGATGGAGAACTTTTCAGCAAGGCTAGGTAGAGTAGCAGTTCCCATTTAGACTTTGCTGTTTCCGAAGCCCCGAAATAACTGTCATGCAGATCAACGGGGCTGTAATTAACGGAAGCGGGGCAACCCCAGTAACTAACGAAGCTTGCAAAGTTCTCTGCATATGCCAATTTGTTTCAAACGCGGCAGATGCTTAGATAGCGCCTAGATAAAACCTTACGCCCCCAAGCTCCAGCTCATTAATCCGGCTAAGCCATGCACTGGCTCAAAATGGTCACACGCAGCGCCCAAAAACCGGTGAGAACTCCGACGATCTTGAATTCGTAACCAATTATCGAGGCGCCTCTGCTTACTGCCTCGCTAGCTTCTTCCTTCATTATTCGTATTTGGTTGGCTATTACCAAATCGCACCGCTTGTTGACACTATCACAGACGTCATTGCGTACCGTGCCACGCTGGCTTTGGAAAGTCGCTAGGCTCCTTTCTTCAGGTGATACTTTAGTGCTCACGCCGTGTCATCCGGGCTGAAAGCTTGTTGGGTGACAATGCACCTCGGGGGGCCTGGATTCCCTGGCCCCTGATGCGACGTGCCGAGTCATCCTGAAATATATATAGTAATTGAGCTTTACCTTGGATCTCGTTCTTATGATTTGAGGTACGGTCTGCAATATGAAGTTCAATCTTTTGGCTGTGTTGCCATTGTTGGCTTTGGCAGCGGCCAAATGCAAAGTGCACGATCAGACGTTTACCCCAGATTATGTGCTTGAGGCTACGCTAGAGGACATCAAAATCAATTGCAACTCTCGTCAATCGGTCGTTTTCAACGGGACTTTTCCGGGGCCTACGCTGCACCTCAAGGAAGAACAAACAGTCTGGATCCGAGTCTACAATCGCGTGCCAGGCCAGAACCTCACTGTTGTAAGTTCTATGGCACCAATTGGCACTTGATGAAGCGTCAGCTAACAGAGTCAGCACTGGCATGGATTAAGCCAGCGCGCCGCACCATTTTCCGACGGTACACCTCTTGTCAGCCAATGGCCCATCCCCGCGAATAATTTCTTCGATTATGAAATTCGACCTGAGCGTGGAGATGCGGGAACGTACTTTTATCACTCGCACGTTGGGATCCAGAGCCTGACGGCGCATGGAGTCTTGATCGTCAAGGATGCCGATAAACCGGAATACAAGTACGATGGAGATCTCGCATTTATTGTTGCTGATAACTACGCTGCGTCAGATGAGACAATTGAGGCGGGTCTTCTTGGAGATCCGTTCAAATGGTCTGGTGAACCTCAAGCGATTACTATCAACGGCAATTCTGGAAATCAGAGCTTCGATACTGCTGCTGACGTTAGCTGCACGCCTCATGTCATTCAAGTTGACCCTGGCAAGACGTATCGCATGCGATTTATCAGCGCGACTGCTTTGTCGATGATCAAGCTTGGAATTGACGGGCACGACAAGCTGACTGTCATTGAAGCTGATGGTTCGTACACCAAGCCCGCCAAGATAGATCACGTCCAAGTTTCATCCGGCCAGCGCTTCAGCTATCTGTTGAAGACCAAGTCTGCAAAGGATGTCTGCCATGGAGAAGATTCGCAGTTTTGGGTCAGGTATGAAAGCCGTGACCGACCGAAGCAGATCAGTGGTTATGCTATTCTGAGGTATAAGTGTCCTAAAGGACCAAAGCTACCGAGGACCCTGCCACCCTCGTCACCTGTTGTCTTGCCCAACGTGACGTACGACTACCTTGAATACAAGCTCGAGGGGCTTTCGAAGTATAACAACGAGGCCTTCCCTCGCTTGAGCGAGGTTACCAGGACGGTGACTATTCAGATCAATCAGGTCCTGACCACTGGACAATATGAGAACGGAACATTGAACGGCACACTTGTCTGGGCGTGAGTATCCTCTTGCATATTTTACCCTCTTACTGACCAATCTGTCCAGTCAAAATGGTCTTCCTTGGAAGGAAAGTGTCCAAGCAGAACACAACCAGGTCCCATATCTCATCCAAGTCTACGAAACCGGCCAGACACCTAACTATACCCTTGCTGTGGAGCACGGCGGTTTCGACCCCAACACGAAAGTCTTCCCAGCCAAGGTGGGCGAAGTCTTGGATATTGTGTGGCAGAACAACAACGGTCTTACAGGAGGCTGGGACTTCCACCCAATGCATGTGCACGGCTACCATGTCTATGACTTAGGCTCGGGAAATGGCACTTACGATGCGCGTGAGAACGAGAAGCACTTCAAGAACTTCACGCCTGTTCTTCGAGACTCGACTAATCTGTATCGCTACGCCGTCAAGGGCGTGCCTCATCATACAGCTGGTTGGAGAGCCTGGAGGATCAAGATCACCGAGGAGAACATCGGAGCTTGGATGATGCACTGCCATATTTCTCAGCATCAGGTCATGGGTATGGCGACGGTTTGGGTGTTTGGCGATGCACAGGAGATCAAGGGCAAGTTCCCTGCTCTGCCGTACTCGCAGGGTTATCTGAACTATGGCGGTAGTGCGTATGGTACTGGTTCTAAGGCTCCAGTTGTCAACCACTATTATAGTGATGATAACTAGGGGATAGACTGGAGGATTGGTTTGTGGTTCTTGTCACTAGTTGACACGATAGAGCTAGACTCGACTTTTTAGAGTAGAAGCATGTAATAAGAGATTCATACGAGGCTTATTTTTTGCCGTTCTAGTATCAAATATTAGGCCTAATTGAAGTCGTTCTTCGTTTCATCATGTTAGTCCTGCCAGATAATCTTCAAACATAATGGTTGTCAGGAGGATAAAAAATAGCATCGCCATATTGAATGGACGAATAAACCGACCGACTCGCATTCGCTTGTTAGCCCGAAAAAGGAAATCAAATCACGAGTCTAACCTGAAATGTGCTAGCACGTCTCAAGCTAAGCCTTGCCCCGCCTGGAGCCCTCCATCTTTTCGCACTCGCACGGCGATCTTTCAGCTATCAGTTTCACCATGATTGAGTTGCTCCGTGTCGATCCATGTATGTAGAAATGTCAGCCCGGATGCCGTCTCTGCGCAAGAGAATGCGAATAGTCACACTATATAAATACAAATGGTTTCGCAAACTTGAAGGACATCTCATCTAAACAATACACTGACAATCTTACTACGATAATCCAACATTTACATTCAAGCTTTACTCTACTACAAGAATCAACATGTCGACATTCAACACACAAAAGACCGTGTTGATCTTTGGCGCCACCGGCAAGCAAGGCGGCGCTGTCATTGACAACATCCTCTCAAACTCCCCTGACTCTTCCTTCCATCTCATCGCAGTCACCCGTGACACCACCAGCCGCAAAGCTGGAGCACTTGCGACTAATCCCAAGATATCTGTTGTGGAGGGTGATTTGGACAACGTCCGAGCAATTTTCGCCAAAGCTGGACCAGTATGGGGCGTCTACAGTGTACAGATCAATTCGGACGCAGAAGAACAGCAAGGCAAGGCTGTCATCGACGCCGCTGTACAGCATGGTGTCCGCCACTTTGTCTACTCCTCTGGAGATCGCGGTGGGCCTGAGCGATCACCCAGTAACCCGACCTACGTCAAGAACTTTGCCGCAAAATACGCCATTGAAAAACATCTCGAACAGCAGGCGCGTGAAAGCGTACAGCAAATGACATACACTATTCTCCGACCGGTAACCTTCTTCGAGAACATCACGACTGATATCCATGGAAAGGGCTTCGCCCGAATGTGGGGGCAGATGGGAAGTAAGAAGCTTCAGATGGTGTCGACTAAAGACATTGGCTGGTTTGCGGCTCAGAGTCTCATCTGGCCGGATATGTATAGGAATAAGGCGCTGACCCTTGTGGGTGATGAGCTCACACAGCGTGAGGCGGATGCAATTTATTTTGAAATCATCGGCCAGGGGATGGCTCTGGCGCCTTGTCCGGTTGCGAGCGCGGTCAAGTTTGTGTTGAAGGGGTCTGTTGGTGATATGTTCAAGTGGTTTGCAGATGAGGGATATCGTGGGGATGTGAAAGAGTGCCTTAGTTATAATCCTGGGATGCAGGATTTTAGGGCCTGGTTGAAAGAGAACAAGAAGAATTTTGAGAAGAATAGGTCTTAGCTGGTATCTTGGTTTCATATTGTTATTCTCTATCTTTTGTAATCTGAAGCTAGAAAATTCAACGGTTGTTGTATGAGATATAGGGCCTATTCTTTTATTGCTTCATGAACGGAGCCCCCCGTTTCTTGGGCTGATTTGATCCAACATATGGTTCGTGGCAGCCTAGCTAGTATCTCACCATAACTTACGAAGCTGTCAACTAAAAGACTAGTTCTCCTTGGCATCAGATTAGTAACTCATTTATCAAATACCTTTAGAGATTGAAAGCCTGAGATACTAATACTAACCTCGAGAAGTCCGATAGGAACTGGATAGATCAACTTACCCTACATAAGGCCTAAAAATAGATCACAAAGTCTGCCAATCACCAGTAAGGAGTGACTGTACCCTGTCGATCTTGGATCATTCCCGGCTAAATCCTGAAGCCGCCAAGCCTTCCCGCTTCAGTATCTAAAGTCCGCGGCTTACAACGCTATCGATAAGCTTGTAGCACGAACGGTCCATCTACCTAACGGCTAGCAATGTCGGCAATTTCCTTAAAGTTCCCAGCGCCCGCATGTTTGTGTAGCCAACAAACATCTAATTAATAACATATTTATTTAATGCCGCAGAGTCACTTAGCTTCGAGGCCGGTCAAGGCCTGTACGGAGTGTAAACAGGCAAAGGTACGAGCTTCTGTCTTCAGTATGGGACAGATAAGTGCTGATTAGCAAGTTGCGATGTGATTCCAAGGAGAAGTTCCCTGATCCGTGCTCTCGATGCAATGCAAGACACTTGTTCTGCACGGTGGACGCCACTTTCAAGAGGACACCGGCGAGAAAGTACGTATCAAGACCGCTTTATCCGGATTTATCACTGATCTGATGACGACATAGGCGTTTGGAGGCTATGAGCAAGGAACTTCAAGAACTACGCAATCAGACTCATCGTACGGAGGATCAATTGGTGGCTGGATCTAGCTCTACTTCCGAGAGCAGATCGCCGGCATCTCAGGATGAAGGTGTAGATGACTTTGAGCTTACATCGTTTACTGTGAGCTTGGCTGGGGTAGTCCTCGACTCTTCTACTGCGACAGAGGCCTTCATGGTGTAAGACCCCCCTCTGTCCCCTCTGCATGTGCTCATAGATTTCAGTTTCGCAGAGTACATGCGTCCTCGACTTCCGGTGGTCGCATCCCTCTCCGCTCAAGCAACTTATGAGAACCAGCCCTTCCTCTTCTGGACGATTGTTACAATTGTGCTCTGCCGTTTACCTGAAGCAGAGAACATTGCATTGTTTCAGTTGCTTCGGGCGCCATATGAGAGATTGGTTCAGGAGACTGTAACTGACGCGCCACTACCACTGTATAAAGTCCAAGCTTTGTTACTTCTATGCAACTGGCCATTGCCTACAGACAAACAATGGAAAGAGCCCAGCTGGCTGTACTGTGGTGTTGCTATCCAAGCTGCTCGATATTTGAGTCTTGATCGTCAGCAAACTATTCCATCTCTTCGAGTCATCGGAGTCACATCGGGGAGTATTCGGTCAAGAATTAACACGTGGCTGTCTTGTTTCAGTGTATCGACATCGTGAGTTGCAAAAAGAACGAGAATTTGGTAGTATTTACTAACGGAGACAGACTGAGCTTACACCTGGGCCTTCCCTGTCCTATTGAATCAGAACTGGACTTTGCCGCGATTCATGGATTTCTGAAACGACAAACCGTTCCGCCAGCCTTTGCAATTGAAGTACGCATTCAACTCGTTGTCGCAAAATTCACAGCGCTACTCAATCATGAGCTGGCAGACGGCACGAGCTCATCATTCCTTCGCTTGTTTGACACTGAACTTGATGCGATAAAGAACGAGATTCTCCCAGGTGAAGAAACGAAAAGCATAGTTGAATACGCAATCCTAGACGCCAAGATGCACATATACACACTCGTAATAACAAAATCCCCGGCAAATTCATCCTCCCGCCAGATCCTTCTACGAACAGCACGCGACATAGCCTTACGAATCGTCGAAATTGGGACCCGCGCCATTCGTAACAATCCCGAAAACACCACCCTTATCCGACGCGAGAAATGCCAACCGAAGGACCGCCACAGATGTCTGGGTTTCTCAACAATCTTTCTCCTCAAATTCTTTATCCGCCAAAGTTCAGACAGCCCCGAAGAGCGACAGTTAGTAGCCAATCATGTCGCTATGGCACAAACGCTGTGCAGAGCATGTACTATTGACCCAAAAGATGAGTTCAGTCGGATTGTGAGTGTGTTCGAAGCACTGGGGCGTGATAGTCCCGGGGAGGAGGATAAGACAAAGCTGGTGCTTAATCATAGAATGGGGGTGTCATTGATGTTTGATGCTGTTAATACAGCGGGGAAAATACGAGGAAAGCCCGTTGAGGTAGAAGAAGGTGAAAGCGGGACAGTGGAGGAAACATCGACAGAGACGGTGCAGGATCATGGGGATATGATGAGTCAGGTGGATGGAAATCCGGAGTTTTTGAAGAACTTTTGGAGTGACCCATACACGAGCTTGCTCCAATTTGACCCAGCATCACTGGAGGGTGATTACCCAAGCACCTGGTAGAGGACCTAAAAGTTGAATCCTTCCGGGAGCTTGAGGCTTGCAAGGCCCATGTGCTCCTGCGACCCATGAATATCGTTCTCCATAAACCCGCCAGCAGATTTCTTCTTCCCTGATCGGATTCTGGGGATGGTTACCTTGAAAGAGATAGCAGGGTCAAAGAAGCCAATCCATATGATATCTTCCTCTGAGATGCCGACGGCCTTCGCAATGTTGCTGATCGAAAGGAGATCAGAGGATTTGACAGCTTCATAAGCTTCTTTGGACGCGAACATCGCATCTATAGTGATCTCGTATGGACCAGCGTTCTTGGAACGGACAATGCGGCACAAGTCTGACAGTGTCTCGGGCTTCTGAATCGCTTGGCTTGGGGGACTAGGCGAACACTGGGGACTTGCGCTCGTCCGTCTAGGAGGCTTGATATCGACCACAGGCACAGTAATTTGCCCGTTGGTGCCATTGGTCTCGTTCAAGGCCCCTTTGCCAACTCGGGAGATCTTGCCTCTCAGCAATGGCCCCTCAAGCACAGACCCATCACCACCCAGAGCCAACCTCTCTTCACCAGGCTCAAGGTCCATGAGATGGTACAGCGAGAACTCAGCACAAGGACCAAGTTCAATCTCCATGAGCCCACCAAGGCCGAAGCCAAAGTTGCCTGCAGTCGCTTTCTGCCCAGGATACGGTGCATGCTATTACACATTAGCTTAACCTAATGGTAGATAGGAAGACTTACAATCATTCCCACTCGAGCCTTAGAGGCAATACTGTTGGCCAGTTGCTGTGTCGGTGCGAGTGCTTCAGCAACGATGAAAAGTTGACCTGGTCCGGCTTGCGTGTACTGGTCTTTGCCGTAGACATGGAAGTCGAGGTTCCATTGGCCAGTGATCTCGGGATGTTGTTGGTCGACGTAGACCCTAACGCGGGCCAGCAATTTGTCGATCTGGGAAACAAGGATATCTATTAACGTTAGAACAATGTCATAGCTTGGAGGGAGGGGCGTTTACGGTCCGTGATACTGCCCATGAACATAGAGCGGTAACCAACAATACGTGCAGCTTCGAGCTTGAGTTGATAAGGCATGCCATCTGACTCCGACGAGCGATAGACACTGCCACTCACCCTCACAGACTTTCCGTCAGAGAGCTGTTCATAGTTTGAGTTCTCAAGGTGAAGTGACCCTCCCGGCCCTCGTAAAACATCTGGTCTTGTATTCTCATACAGCGTATGCGCAGCGACAGATAACGGCGTACACTTCGACTCAGGATTTGTCGGTCGTACATCGAATAAACCGTTCTCATAGACAGTAGCAACAGCACCATGGGACTTTGGGAATGAACACTGTCCTCCGCATTCCAAGATCTTACCCATGTGATAGAAACCACCAAGCCTGGAGTGAAGGTCTTCTGTGCTGAGTTGGTTTGACTGGCGTGTGAGCTGATAAACACAAAAGGCGACGTATGGGGATGGATCGTAGGCTCGTCCACCGACTATGATGTCGAAGTCGGGATTGGCGGTCATGGCGTCGAAGAATGGTTCGTAACCCATTTGAGCGACGACACGGAGGGATTCATTGATCTCGTATTCTGTTGCTGGTGGAACGCAGGGCCCGCAACCGGTAAGACGGCCTTCTTTGAAGCGCTCGAGGATCGTTGCCTTATTGATATTGGAGAATAGCGATATCGTGTTGAAAGCATAGCCCCTGCAAAGCATCAGCAAGATAGCATCGGCATCGCTACCATACTTACTTGTTCTCATCCTCTGCTGCAATCTCTTCTATAATCTCAACCATAGCCTTGACATGCTCATCCGTCCCATCACCACCCGCAGATCCAAATATCAGTGGCACACGAAACGTATGAACAAGCCGGAGCAGCTTGGCAAGATCCTTCGCATAAGCCGACCTCGGGCACGACATAGATCCCAGAGCCAGTTTCTGCGGCCCACTGTCTGTCGATCCCGAGTCCAAGATAATAGCTGTCGGGATGCCGCTTGGTACGAGGCGAGAGAGTTCGTAGTGCGTGAGAGCTTCGTCAAAGCCGTAGCCTAGCATCCCCACTGGGGTGATGATTTGGCAAATCGGCTTGAGTTCCGGGTTTTCGGTGTTGTCGAGTTGCATTGTTGAGTCGGAGGGTATTGACTGATACGAGATATGCAGTGATACGTTAGGGATCGACGTAATATTGGCGCGAAGTTCGGTGATAATGCGGGCGTTGAGGAACTGGTGATGGTGACTTCAAGTCAGTGGCGAGCCAGGAAATAATGCACAAAACGGGTCAAGACGACCTTGAACTCTTTAAATCAATGATTTGTTGAGATATTGACGCCATGTCAAGTGAAATCATCGCTTTTACATATCAACACAAAATCGCCAAGCGTCCTTTCAACGAAGCGGACTTCGCTCGATCATGCGGATTTCGCAAGATCCCACAAGGTGGATGCATGTCAGATTCATCGTTCAGAGTCCGACGGGGATAAGGTCCTACGGATCTCGACGGTACCACACTAACGAGCGGCAATTGGTAGTAGTGCCGGAGGTTAATTGAGCAGTTTATGCTTGATTGTCATCTCTAAAAATGGTGTTGTACGGAGTAATGCATGCATCCTGAATCCTCATCTTACGTGGCCATTGTCCCTCTACGGCACAGCAACTTCACGAGGGCATCACAACTGCAAAACTGCATCTCTTCCCCATCGTAATCAACACTACCTTCCCCAAATGATCAAAACTTCTTTGTAAAGAACTAATGCCTCACCTTCAATAACACCTCTAGCTCAGCCTCATCCTCGCACGCAAGGACTGTCCCGTCCTAAGCCTTGCTAGTCCGAGTCCGTAGGGCCATGCTGACTGCGCCCTGTAAGTAAGCACTGTTTCATCCTCGTTCTGGCGCCATCGTAATTGGTCCACAGACAGAATTAGCGTATCATCGCCCACTGAAGGATTTGTCCTATGCGAGAACTGCTACTCCACGATTTGACATCCGTAGGGCAGATCACCATGAGTCCGATGGACCCCCCACCAGAAATGCGAGGTCTGAGCTGGATTGCTCTTCTTTATAGATGCTGATTACCACCTTTGCCATTGTCTTTTCGCATTCGCACCGTTCACTATCTTGACCCATCGCTAAACGATATCACAGTTCGGTAGAGTCAATATGAGTTACCACGACCGCAAAAATAGCGATCCCCAAGAGGGCAGTATCGCACCAAGCTACCACGAACTCGAAACAACAAGAAGATGGCAGACAATTCCACAAGAAGGCGAGGACATCACAGCTTACGACCCCTACACTTCCCAAACTACTACCCAGGACTCAACCACAAAACAAGACCCGCCACCTCAACATGACGATGAGGAAGCTCAAATGCCACTTCGCCAAGCACTAAAGAAATACCCCAAAATCGCATGGTACTGCCTCGCCATGACAATTCCCGTCATCGGCTGGGGCTACGATCTTGTCATCGTCGGCGCCGTCGCAAGCGTGGATACCTTCAAAGCAGACTACGGATCGAAAATCGACGGCGAAATGGACATTCCCGGTAACTGGCTCTCCCTCTGGCTTGGTCTCCCGCCCGCCGGTGCAGCGCTCGGTGGCTTGTTGGGCGGATGGCTACAGAATCGCATTGGACGAAAACTCACGCTGTTATTTGGAACGATTATTTCTGTTATTGCCATCGCTTGTATTTTCTTCTCGCATATGCCTGAGCCGCTTGACATGAAACGCACGCTTCTCACTGCTGGCTTGACGATCCAGGGCTTTTCGGTCGGTGTTATCAAGACGACTTGTGTGACGTGGGTGTCTGAAAATACACCGACGGCACTGCGAGGTTCGGCCATGGCTTTGTTTCCGGTCTTCACATTGCTTGGTCAACTCATTGGTCTTATTGTTATCAAGTTGATCAATGACATTGACAACAGCAGTGGCTATCTTGGTGCTTTCGGATCACAATGGATTCTCTCCCTCGGCCCTTTCATTCTTTCCATCGTCATGCCTGAAAGTCCCGCTCATTTAATCAGAACTGGCCAAGAACAGAGAGCTATAAAATCTGCTACTCGCCTATTCGCACCCAAAGTTAGCCCATACGGGGCACTTGAGCGAATCAGGGCAACCATCGAGGAAGAGAAGGCTATCACAGCTTCAGTCAACTACTGGTCTTGTCTCAAGGGCACGAACCGTCGAAGGACTCTAATCGTTGTACTGGCTTCTATCATGCCTGCCCTCTTCGGTTTGGAACTACTTTCCAACGCCAGCGTTTTCTTGACATCTATGGGCATGAAGTCAGGATATGCCATCATGTTCACACTCGCCGGTATAGTTGCTGGAATGCTCGCCAACGGTATAGGCTTTTGGCTTCTTTCCCGCGCTGGCCGTCGCAGCTTGACCTTGTTCTCGTTGGCTGCTTCGACCCTTCTCTATGGAGCCATGGGTGTGACTGGCTTTTGGAGGAGTGAGACTCTCACTTGGGCAACTGGAGGCATCATGACAGCTGTCATTGTCGTCTGTGGCATGGGTGCATGGCCTGCCGGATATGCCATTCTAGGAGAAACCAGTTCCCTTCAGCTCCGGTCTCTCACACAGGGTCTGGCTGGTATCGCTGAGAAGGGTTTTTCCATCATGTTAGCTGTCGTTTTGCCCATGCTGTTTAGTAGGGACAAGGCTGCTCTTGGTGGAAAGACTGGTTTCCTGTTCTGTGGACTCTGTCTGATTGGTACTCTTCTGACTTGGTTCTTTATTCCTGAGATGAAGGGAAGAAGCGCGATTGAGATTGATCGCATGTTTGAGATGAGATTACCGGCCAGAAGATTCAAGGGCTTCAAGATGGAGGTGCATGAAATCCAAGAGGCTTCTCCTCTCGCATCACATGCTAGTTTGTAGAATATCTCGTGAATGGATATCGTCATGGATTTGGATGAATGAGATAGAGTAGGATCTGATTTGTTTGTTATGATATATAGACGAGCTCGATTGCTTCAAAACTCTTTTTTCGCCTATTTACTACCATGATTGGAATGTTCAAGTGCCACCATCTAACTTCTCACTGCTTGACTACCACTCGCAGTACAAAGCATACGTGTAAGACCCAAACCTACATTTCTGCGTCTTCCCAAACTTCTCATCCTCGTAGCACCTAATCCCACTGACACCATCACAAACAAGCTTTCCGACTCTGTCGGTACTACCCTCATAAAAACACGTATTGCCATAAAGCTTCTCCATGGTATCACCACTCTTCAGAGCAGCGGGAAACTTGTCCTCAGCTGTTGTATTTAAAATCGGAGTACCACGCGTGTCTCCGCCCTTTCCTGTCTTGACACAAGTATCGGAAGAGAAGTCCTCGTTCACAGGCTTTTCCGCGATGAGCCATACCGTGGTGAGATATCGGGCGATAGTGATTCTGTGCTTCTTCTTGGAAGTATCAGGGTCGCCGCACCCATTGAGCCATGCAGCGATAGCTCCCGTCTTGGGATCGACGGCGACGTAATCGTATCGGCCCGTCTTCTGTAGCTTCGCGTATCGGATGTTTGCGCCAGATGTCCCGACGCCGCCTGCGACTTCTCCTGCTTCTCGCCAGGTAGGTTTCTTAGGGTAGTCATTGTACCAAACCTTGACGCTGCCATCGAGTCTGGATGTCCAGACATAGTCCGCTTTTCCATCGCCGTTCATGTCTATGAAGTCAATCTCGTCCGGTGATTGGTTGATGCCCGAAGCATCTGCGTCTGACATCGGGGCATACTTGTCGCCGTCGTTATCGGGCCCATAGATGTTGCGGTAGATGGTTGTGCCACCGTTGTCTTTGAGAAAGATGTAGTCGTCGCGCTAGAAAGGCCATTAATAAAAGAGCCGCTCAGTGAATCACGGCCTGAGTCTTACCCCATCACCATCAATATCGGCAATGCGCACTCGCTTCCCTGGCCCGAGGCCTGATGCGATCGTGCCTATAGGCCGAAACTTCCAGTCTGACTCCCGCCCCAAATTGAGATACGCTTTCAACAAGCCGGTTTTAGGGTCCAGATTCAGGTAATCATCCAACCCGTCACTGCTACTGGTCAGTCAAGTGCTCCGCCTACCAGAGTCTGGAGCTACTCACCCATTGATGTCACCAAAAACGACCTGGTTTGCAGGTGCAGCACCAGAAGCGATTGGCTTGCCGCCATTGATCGGGCTCCATGCCCATCCAAGAGAGTCTCCATCTTTGACTCCAGAGTTGAGGCTAACTTGTCAGCGAGTCAATCGCAAAGTCCATATGGGAGCATGACTTACTAAACCGTTGGAGCTCCCGTCTTGGGATCAAGCCAGACATAATCATCCACTCCATCACCATCCATGTCAGCAAAACGAAGGCCGTCAATCGCCATAGAGTCATCGGTAGTCCCTCTGTTATACCAGACTGAAATTGCACCATGGTCGCCAACGTAGACGTAGTCGTCCTTCCCATCACCATCCATGTCTGCTAATCGAATAGTGCTTGGCTTCTTTTTGATACCATCTGCAATGGTCTTGGCTGGACCCTGGTTGACGAAGAGAGGAACACCCTCCCTGTTAGTAGGCTGGTTGAGAAATCCTGTTAGGCCGCCGTCTTCATCCCAGATCAAATAGTCTGCCATCCATTAGTAAGAGCCATGACGTGCGACAAGGCAGAACCTACCATCACGGCCATCTCCATTCATCTGTCACACATGCTTGTTAGCCTGGCATTGAAGTCTGGGTACCGTTGCACTTACATCAGCAAATACCAACTTCGAGATGTCACTGACGGCACCAGTAGCGATACCTCCCATGGCATGGAATAGAACATCTCGTCCTCCGACAGAACCAGTGTTCAGATGATGTTTCAGTGATCCACCTTCACCAATGTAGACATAGTCAGCTCGCCCATCACCGTTGATGTCTGGGAATCGCAAAGTCTCGAGGTTGGCATGCGGCACTCCCGAAGCGATCTCGCCGCCAGGAACAAATTTCCAGCCGTTGTCCCAGCTGTCATCGGGGCCATAGTTCCACCATACGCGAACAGAGCCGTTGTCTGGGTCTACCACGAGGTAATCATCCATCTACCGAGAGTCAGCACGGACGCCTATTATTAGACGAATTACTCACCCCGTCCCCATTCATATCCTGTCAGCGGGTTAGCCTTGGCTAATAGAGGGATTACATGGGAACTTACCGCCAGATAGATAGTCTTCGCGGGACCAACTCCGCTGCCGATGATACCATTGTTACTACCAGCCTTTGACCATGGTTTGGGGAGATTGTTGAGCCAGCAGGTGATCTCTCCGGTCTTGGGATGAATCCATACGTAGTCTGGGTCAGTCATTAGTCTCAGCCTCGACGCCAGATTCCGATACAGTGAAGGATCAATGCTTACCCGCTTTGCCATCGCCATTCATGTCATGCAATCTGACATATTGATTGTCCAAGCCAAGTCCCTCGGCAACTTGACCCTCGGCTTTCCAGTCCTTGTGATACTTCCAATCACCATTCTTACCAACGCCGCCCTGAGCAATTTTTCCGGTACCCTTGTACCAAGGGTTGCCATTACAAGTAACGTACTTGTCCTTTCCACCAGTTGCATACTTTGCTGCATCTGCGACTGTCTTCTTCGAAGTGACCTGAATAGGACTCTTTCCCCAATCCGGGGCAGGGATGTTCTTATCAATACCGCCATTAGTACCGTCACCGCCGCTGGGGTCTGGTCCAACTGGCTTCTTGATCCAGCTGCTGGGGATCTGGTGGATGAAGCTGTACCAATAGTCGCCCATAAGCTTGTACCCGTCGTTGGTAGGGTGGATGCAGTCTTGGAGATCGCTCGTCTTGAAGGTTGTGAAGTCCACGGCCAAAACGTGCTGACCGTCATCACGACGCGACCTAACAACACCAGGAACAAGCTTCTGGAACTCCTTTGTAGCAGGTGATTGTTTCTCATCACATGTGTTGATGATCATGGCTACTAAAATGGTTGCATCCGGGCATGCCTTGACCATCTTGTCAATGAGCTTGCCAAGTCGATCAGCAGCACCCTTTGGATCGTTCCCCTCTTTCGAGATGCCATGGTTGGGGTTCATGTCGTTGGTACCAGCTGCGAGTAAGATGATGTTGGGACGCTGCTTGAGGGATGGGTCGACGTGATCAGAAATGTACTGGATAGTCTTTCCAGACCATGCTGCCTAGCCTGGAGTCAGTCGCAACGTCCGAAGTGAGTCGGTGTACGTACATAGTTTCCATCGGTCATTGTACCCGATGACTCTGTACCAGCAAAGACGACCTTGTCTCCTGGTCAACGTTAGTGAGCATTCTCTCTATGGCAGTCTTGCCCACGTCTGTTCTCACCAGAAAGATCCTTCTTCAATTGCCCACGGTAGCCATTCCCATCGCCTCCCTTCCTGTCGCTCAGATAACCCACTGTGATAGAGTCACCGACCGGGAGGATCCTCAGCTCGGTACCCTTCTTGACTGCCTCTCCCGGTTCGGTCTCCTTGTACTTCAGGACAATATTGCCAGAAGGATTGATCGGGCACTGCGCTACCGATGTGTCAAGAAGAGGTTCCGGAGCCATGTCGTTGTCCTCCATGCGGCGGTTGGAGACCTCGAAAAGAACGAGGTTGGCGATAAGCTCATGTAGCAAAATCTGGGGATGGAAAACACGGCCATAGCTAGAACACGAGGCCATTAGCTTTGACAAAACGTGATCGCTGCTTACTTACCCGTCAGGCAAAAGATTCGGCACATCCTCAGTAGCCCCCTCTTTAGCTGCAGCCTGGAGACCCTGGATCTCAGAATCATCTTCAATCTTGTGCTCCTGCCTGAAAGTCACATCTGGTGCGACGAACTCAGCTGCTCGGGCCATTGTGTTCATGTCACCGGAGAATGAACCGTTCTGGTGCTCTATAGTACTCCGCTTCCACGGCCTATTACCCCATGGGTCAAAAGTATCGAGCTCATAGAACATCAACTCCGGTCTAGGATAGTTAGTCTGCGGAAAGACTGAAACTTCCAGAGTGTTAAAGCTCACCTTGTATTGCTATCCACCACCGACTCGTCAACGCCGTCTTCGCAGTATCGGCCTTTGAAGTGGCCGACATACTCATCGTAGTTGATGAATGTCACCTTGTCGCCTGCTCTCTTGACAGCGGCTTCCTAAAAGCCAAGTTAGATCACTGAGGTCCTTCAATGTATGTATCTTTGCACCTACAATCTTGTCGTTGATGAGATCAACCAGCCTGTTCATCTCTCTTCGGCGCAACTCTTCAAGACGAGCGGCAGGCTGCCAAATGTTGTATGATTTCTTTGAAGCAATTGTCAGAAGAACTCGTAAACTGCTACGGTTTACTTACAAATATCCAGGTTGACCATGACACTTTGTCGCAAGCAGACCCATAGTCAGTGCTCCAAAATTTGGCATACCTACAGCTGAGATTAGCGGAAGGGCGATGATATTTTATCGAGCACTATCATACCCTGTATAGTATATCATGCCGCTACATAGAGAAAAAGCATCAGTAGATATCCGGTAAACATACCAGGACAAGACTTACTCTGACGAGAGTTTCTTCTTGGTAGCCTCGATCATCGAGTCGATTCTTTTGGAGAACTCATCGGTGTTGATGATGTTCTTGGAGTATTGGAGCTGACCTAGACAGCCGCGAGACGCAGCATCCCAGTCCCATCCCTTGGCCCATGGCTCACCTTTCAGCTCTGCAACTTTACCTACAGTAGAGTGCTGGTCGTTCAAAGCAAACCATTGATAGACACATTGATTCAGGATGTTAACAAGCTCAGCATCGTTGCCACCTGGAACATTGTTAGTGGATGTTGCCACCTCTAATGATTACTTATAAGTCTTACCGGCAGACAAGAGAATAATCTGCTGATCGGAGTCTATCGAAGGGAGCTGATCTTCAATCACGTTCTTGATGACCGCACCAGAGCAAGACTTGAACTGGAACTTCCTGTTGGCTGCGTCGCCTAGTCTCTCATCTTGATTGATGAGATATGGGTAAGAATGGTCATATCGCCGGCAGTTCTCATCTGTGACGCGTTAAATCTCGTTGCAACAACCCAACATGGGAAACTAACCGCCTTCGCCGTGTAAGCCGTCTCCAGCTCCAATGCCTGCTGAGTATGAGTCACCCACAGCTGCAAGCTTTTTGATGAACGTCAAGTCATCTGGATTGAAGAAATCGGTTGTTTCTCTGCCGAAGATATTGTTCATGGACATAGATCCATAGTCAACAAGAGAGGGACGTGCTACTGCTGAGCCAGCAGCAGCGAAAAGTGCCAAAGCATAGCGTAGACGCTGCATGACGATGCGATTTACAAGCAAATAGAACGTTTTACTCTCTTACGGTAAATACAGACACTTGGCGATTTTCTTATGTGTGCCAATCGAACTATTGTTAGCAAGCCGGTAGTCAGCCTTGCAGGGTTTGTCATTTTCCTCCTCTTGGCCCCCAGTTCCCGTTTCAAGATCTGCACTTCGCCCAGGCCACTGAGCATGGCCCCCACAGTCCTGCGTGATTTAGCCATCACCTCATGATCCAATTTGGCCGAAAAGCTCAGTCCGGATTTGACCCACGTGGTGACATGTAAATGAATTTTACATGGGAGAACCAACAGATGAGGGATAAAATTAGTCGGTTATTTCCTAACTCGAAAGGATCATCATGCATGACTCGCAGCACGGCCCGTTAATTATAGAAAAGCCACTGTCGAAATGGTAAGTCGAGCCAACAACAGTGTTTCACGATCCCTTGTTAGCGTCTTGTTGTTGGTTCTAGCAATAAGCTCGTATCAACATCCACATTACATGGTAGGCTAGTTGAGCTCTGATTGGACGCACAGCCAACTGGGTTTCCATGTATTTATCACAGCGCGTAGTTAACTTGTAACCGAGTTGGTAATTGGGGGCTGTACTCTCACTTCGGCGAGTAATGATGGGCAAATGCGTCCGGAATATCAGTTTCGGCAGTTTTTCATGGGATCAAGGTATGGGCCTTTAATTTTAGAAAATGTTATTGTGCTACGATCGTCATGTCTGCCTCCTGACTTATCCGCTGGCGGAAAGGCGCAGGCATGGTTCTGTGCTATTCGTTGATAATTTGAGAGGTTGCAGTCCTTGGGATCCTGAATGGTGTCCAAGCCATACTATATGTCTCGTGTCTTCTATTTGTGTTGGATATCTCTAGGGCTCCATCTCGTTAAATTCTATACACTGTTCTGAACTTACGTTCAACTGCTAGCACCATGGCACCACTTCTTGGTACATTCTGCCTTTCTTTATTGTTCATACTTCTGCTCTTCAGTCAATTCCTCGATGCTATCGACCTCAGCGTTAAGCATCCGCCACAAGGAGCACTCAAAGTCCGGCTCGACTATGGTCTTGCCACTCAGCCCATTCCGGGCGTGTCAGAAAGCAGGAGGAAAGAAAATCAGCATCGATATCTCTTTTCCTCTTATCTCGTCTTCAATCAACCTGTATCATCCATCACAGATGGTCAGTTGAGGCAGATGGCTCAGGTTGCACATGGAGAGATGGAAAAGGATATGCAACAATACAAACCTACATCCTTCTCAAAGGGGAGTACTAAGCCAGTGTATCTCCCTTCGGTTATGACTATCGTGGCTTTTGGGAACGAGATTATCTTGTCTTCATCTCAGAAGGGACTTGATGGCTTCCTTAACCAGTGGCCCCAGAGTCCGGTTAAACTGGCTCTTGATCGCTGTAGTGCTTTGTGGCGAGATCACGTTATCAATGACCCGGAGAGCACTGCAGACCCTGCCGCGAGGCATACAAATAAGGCCAAGTGTGGTGAAGTCAATGCATTCCATCAGTACTATATGACACACACGACTTCTATTCCAGAGGTTAATCCAAAAGTCCGAGTCACAACTGTTGTCAAAGGAAAGCAAGGCTACACTATCTTGGCCCCTTGTGGCACCGACAACAACGGAGAGGACGAAAAGGTCGGTACAAGAAGATTGCAGTACGTGTGAGATAATCGATTTGCTAATGAGATATCAGGAATTCTGGGGTTGTAACTTACTGGTACGCGACCAAGACGTGCATTATATTGGAAAAGAAGAGAAGGCTGCCCCATTTTCGCTTCGTAAGATTGCTGGAGGGGTGCAGAAGAAAGGCCAGATCCAGATGTGTACTAGGAATAACATTATTTGGGATGAGTAGGCACTTGATCTCATATTGTCTCTATTCTGGTGGATTCGATCACATATGATTTTCAATGAGAGCTTCAACATCAAGGTTCATGTTATTCGCCATGACACTGAAAAGCATATAAAAGGCTGAACTGAACAAGTTCTCATCAGGAGAAACAAGCTATAACATTAAACAATTTCACTTTCTTCTCTTATCATAGCTCAATGCCAATCCAAACCATTTCTCAAGGGCTTTCATCTTATTCTCGCAAATGTCTGACAACCCACCAACATACAATGACCCTGGTAAGCAAACGCTTTCCAGTGATTTCACATGCGATAAAGCGCCGCTCTTGAGTTCGCTTGCAAAGCCTTCAACCATCAGTTCATCTGCATCCTCGTCATAGTCATCATCCTCAGACCACATGAAAAAACCGTCCAACGCCAAGTGTTCAACGTTTGGCGGAACTGCAGCCCCGATGAGACCAGGGCCGGTAGAATATCCTTTCCTTCCAGTGAGAAACGTCCAGGGTATATGAAGAGTCTTTAGCTTGTGCATCTCACGGAGTCGAGAGATTGACCCTTGGAACGTGACGTCTGGCGGCTCGTACATGCCATGCGACAGTGCCGGGAAGCTCTCTGCGGTGATATCAAGCTCCTCAAGTGAGTCTTTGGTCTCAAGAAGGGCTTTAGATAATGCGTCCAACATCACAGCATGCTTGCTGACCACTTTGTCGAGGTCTGGACGGTACATCCAGTTGTATTGTAGCTTCTTCAGGTTCATCGTTGCTGATAAAACTGGCGCCAGACGGCTTTCTCGTAGCCGAAAGATCTCAAGGGATTCTAGCGACGTTGGCTTTGGGGGTGAAGAGGAGGGCCAAGTGAAGTTGATGGGGTTGTCAATAGATACGGAGAGAGTCTCAATATTGGGCAGGTAGAACAAAGCCAGGGCATCTGCTGTATTACTTGGATCAAGATGGCCCTCTTCGTCGAACATTGGCGCAAGTGATACGCGCTTCAACGAAGTAAAAGAAAGTAAACTTGCTTTTGATGCATGTTCAGGCTTTTCACATAGAGCAGCTCGAAGCATATGCCCAAGGAAACTCGTGTCATTAGTCCAATTGGAGGAAAGACAAAGTCGTTCCAGGTTTGGTAGTAGAGAAACGAGAACCGCGACCGAAGCTTCAGGAGATCCACATTGGACCTTTCTACACCACTGCTCGGCGACAGCCTCTGAAACGCCTGTTTTCCCTATGGCCGCAGAGAGTTGGTCGGCGGGAAGCCCTGGGATGACAGGTGGAGGATCAGGAGTCTCTTCTGTCCAATCTGAGCGATACGAGCCAATTTCATCGATGTAGCCAAAGCCTTCAAAGTCGGCATGGCGTATCAAAGGGCACAAGTCCTGCCTTTCTAGCAGTGTTCGGAGTAGCTGGAGTAATTGAGTGATAGGCGGGTGGAACTCCCTGGCCCATTGAAATTTGACGGAGGAATAAACCACAGGCTCGTTGAGGCTATGCAGGGCACGACAGGTCAATGAGAGCCTGGCCAGATCGCTTGGGGGAATGAAATCAGCGATGTGGAGCTGCACCTCCTGGGGGCAGTCGAGAAATGATATGGGCGCCATTTTTACAGTCAGAGCTCTGGTAATATTTCACACACGACTAAGGTGAAGGAGGAGGATTCAGGCTCTTATGTTGTTGGTTCGACGTGAAACCACTCAACAAGTTTCAGCCCAGATTACAGTGATCGGCACCGCCATGTTAGTGGGGCTTCCAGCACACCCTGGTCCCTGAAGATCCTACCCTGAAACGAGTTACGCGCTGAGAAAATCTTTTTCTAGGCAACGACCCAGTAGCAATTCTGTAGACTCGCGTCAATTTAGGTGAAATTAATGTGTCTAGCACTATGACCACATGATAACTTAGGGACCATCAATTTTACTTCCCAAGCCCCTCTTTTAGACAAGCCTTGAGATCTCCATCAACGCGACCGAAATACTCTGTAAAGAATTAGCAAATAACTACTTAGCACTTGTACAGTTTCGTAAAACTCACCAACCACTTGATCCTTCATTTTGTCGGGAATATCGCTCAACGTCGGAAGAATATTATGCAAGAACTGCTCCTTTCCCTTTGGTTCTTTGCAGATAATCTTCCACAGCGCTCTGGGCTGCTCAAAGTCCTTATCGGTGATGGAAGTAGCGAAAGCTGTGACATGGCCAGACCAATCCTCGTGGGTAGGAACTTGGACACGCTTGCTCATACTGACTGGACGAAGCTCTGAGCCGACATAATCAGGATCGCCTCCGTAGTTACCGTTGATGGTGCCTGGGCCGTCGCGGACGTATGGGGCGTAGACCTTGTTGATGGGCTTGTTGCAGGGGAGTTGGAAGTAATTGGGCCCGACTCTGCGAATTGTTAGCCGCTGTGAGTGAATTGGTGGTTGAGTTTAACTACCTGTAGCGATGAGCATCTGGGTAGCTAAACATTCTTGCTTGCAGTACTTTTCTCGAGTTAGTCTCTGGATCTAAACGTCGAGGGGGTCTATATACCAGGATCCGCTGATGGTCCAATGCCAGGAACCATGTTTGAAGGCGAGAAGCACGCCTGCTCCAAGTCTTGGAAGTAGTTGTTGAGCTATGACAACATGTCAGCACTTGAGAACCTCAAGCATCATGAAAACTCACATTCTTGGTAAGAGTCATTCTACCGACAAGCCTGAGAGGATACTTCTCAAAAGGCCAAGTATAAGTGTCATCAAAAACATCAATCGGCGCATCCTTGACCTCATCAGGTTGCATGACCTGGATGTAGACACCCCAGGAAGGGAAATCTCCTTTCTCAATGGCTTTGAAGAGATCTTTGACATGATAGTCTGGCTCTGAGCCCGCTAGTCGCTGAGCAGTGTCTGCATCCATTGTCTTGATTCCATCATCAGGGCGGAAGTGCCATTTGACGTAGACATAGCTACCATCCTAGGTGGCGTCAGCTTGGTTTGTCGAACTCGATGCTGGACTTACAGCTTTGTTGAGAGTATAGGTGTGAACACTAAAGCCATTGATGTTTCTCAACGAGGCAGGAATACCACGCTGTCCAAAGAGGTGCATCAGAGCATGAATACCCTCAGGGTTATTCAGATGAAAGTCCCAGAACATGGTGTTGTCTGGAACATTCGTCTGGGGATGTCTCTTGTGACTGCGATTCATGGACGGAAACTTGATCGGGTCACGGATGAAGAACACGGGCAGATCGTTGAAAACAAAGTCCTGGATGCCCTCTTCAGTGTAGAATTTGGTAGCCCAGCCACGAACATCGCGTACAGTATCGCTGGAGCCTTTCTCTCCGCCGACGGTTGAGATTCGTGTAAGTACTTTCGTCTTCTTGCCGATGCCCGTGAGGAAGTCTGCGTCGGTGAGATGGGAGATATCTTCGAGGACTTCGAATTCGCCAAAGGCTCCAGCGGCCTTTGCATGTACGCTCCTAGGTCTGCTGTCAGTCAATGGCCCTGGTTTGGACAGAAAGCCAAGTACCTCTCTGGAATACGTTCACGAGCAAAGTGAGCGAGTACTTCAATGGTTTGCGTGTCGCTCAAGACAATGAGGCCGCCATTGCTTTTTCCATAGCGAATTTGCTGGACCGATCCGGGATTTTCGCTTGGTTGCCCTAGATAATAATGTCAGGCACATAAATTGGACGCATTGGATCGCGTGTACCATTGGCAAGAGTCGACATGGGATTGTTCTGAGACTGATTCTGTGAGCCTTTAACGGGGATTACAAGCTGGAGCTTACTTACCATGGTTAATTTGATGATATTTTGTCGCTGCAATTGATCGCACTACGAATCAAACAACCTCCTTACAGACGCAGCACAGCACATCTTATCTCCCCCGTCCTCCATCACCTCCATCCTCAATCTTACACGGAAAGCTCGGAAGCTCCTGAATTGAGTTGACCCCGCACTCGTACAGCAACCACTTTGTCATGATGATTTGTGATGCATCCCAACTCTGTCAGCTCTTGATAATAACCCCACTTTGACCGCTCAACCACCAACCATTCAAGACAACAGCATTAGAAAATAGTGTCACCGCTCTGGGAATTGACGGTAGATCGGCCCTATGGCTTAAACTGAATGCTTCACCTGCATAACACGGCTTATCGAGCCAATGATCAAGTTGTGGCTGTTTTTGGGTACACTACTGTCTGCGTCGTCATTGGTCTAGTAGTCTTACTCGATCTAGATCGTTTTGAGCAGATCGTAGGGTTACAAGCTTATGCGACGCCCGCATGCTGAACCCTCTGCCTTCGTATGGCCCAAGTTAACTTAAACCCAAAGCTCGCCGTCTTTCCTCTCTTTTACTCAAATACACCAAAAATCTAATTTCATTGTTGCTTCTCAACCATGAAGACTACCAATCGCCCTGATGAATGGAAGATCGAGCAAGGTCTCTCCGGCGCGGTCCTACCTGTACTGGACCAAACCGGACCAAAGACCATAGCTCTGGATCCTCAGGTCTTTGGGGACCTCACCAAAGATGAAGAAGCCATCAAGTCGGTCGGTGATCGTGAGAAGCTCTTCACTCGTGAACGCAAGGGTTGGGTTGGGTAAGACTCTTCTCAAGTGTGCTATGCCAAGCTAACCAGTGAAGCTTCGTTGAGTGGGAGAATTACCCTGACAAGAAAGCTGCTGCGCACAAGCTCTTGACGTCCCAGACTTTTCCTCCCAACCCTGAGTTTCAGCTTGGTCCTATCCCGGGAACCAACCCTGTTCTTCCTGGTACGCACTGGATGATGTGGCATCATGCCATTGGAGGTGAACTCACCAGCGTGCCTGAAGATTCGTGGGCTACTGTCCTCAAAGAGAAGCACCCTGACATGCTGCATCTCTTGCAATTCCCTTACAATGGCGAGCCACCCAAGCGCTTAGTCACTGATAAGGAGTTTACTCCCAATTCCCTTCACTTCGTGAGAAACCACGGTGGAATCCCCATCATCAACAAAGAAGACTTTAGCTTCCTCATGGATGGTCTCGTCGCAAATCCCAAGTCCTTCACCCTAGATGAACTCATGGACGAGTCAAAGTTTCCTCGTATGACCAAGAACGTCACAATCCAGTGCTCTGGAACTCGTCGTATTGAGCAGATCCTCAAATACCCCGGCCAAGGTGATGAAGTCCCCCAGGCACCTTGGGCCGAAGGAGCAATTGGCACTGCCAACTACGTTGGTATCAGCCTCAAGAAGGTTATCAAGGCTTGTGGTGGCTTGATCGATGGCGCTAAGCACTTGGAGTTCTACGGTGCTGATACCTACTTCAAGGACGACAAGGCGATGAACTATCTCGTCAGTGTCCCTTGGTCCAAGGTCAAAGCCAATGAAGTCATGCTAGCCTGGGAAATGAACGGTGAAGAACTCCCCAAGATCCATGGATATCCTCTTCGAATCGTGGTGTTTGGCTACATCGGCGCACGCAGCGTCAAGTGGCTATACCGCATCAAGGCTATCAAAGAGCCGTCACGCGCACCTGTCCAAAGCCAGGAATATCTTTACTTCCCTCAGCAAGTCGGCAAGCACAACTTCAAACTCACCGATGGTATCCAGATCCAGGAGATGCCTGTCAGCTCTGCCATCATGTCACCGTGGACAAAGCAAGTTGTCATCCACAACGGCACAATTCGTTGCAAAGGCTGGGCCTACTCTGGTGGCGGACGTTGGCCTGAGCGTGTTGAACTCTCCAACGATGGTGGCTTCAACTGGTACACCGTTCCACTTGAAAAACTCTCCAAGAAGCGTAAGTGGACCTGGCGTACTTGGGAGTTTGAGCTGCCATGTGACGTCGAGGGTTGGATTGAGATTGTTTGTCGCTGCTGGGATAACTCTCTCAATACCCAGCCGCCTGATGTCCGAACAGCTTGGAATTGGGGCCTTCACGTCACTAGCTCGTGCCACAGGATCTCTATTTATAGTGTGAACAAAACGAAGGAGAGAACTAAGGCCCGTTTGGATGAGTTTGAGAAGAAGGGTATTCCATTTGGTCCGATCACTGTTCCATTGGCATTCCCTTCTCAGAGTTGGGATGATTACGACAAGTTCTGGAAGGAGCATGATCCTCGTGATGCGTACGATGAGTAACAGGGAAGAGGATATAATAGGTCACGGAACTGCAGCAAACAAGAATGCCAGCTCGAGAATTCAGATAATTGATTGTAACGTTTATCAAAGCAACCCTTCAAGTAGCCAGGTCTTGTTTTGTAAGACACTTAAGCACTCTTCTTCCTAACAAGAAGCAAGACACCAGTCATGTCACCTGTAAGCATCTCCTTTCCTTTCTCCACGCCTGCTTCACTGAGGATCTTTTCAATCCTTCTTCTGATTTGACGAACAACGTCATTCTCCGTCCCGACTGCTTCAGGATGGGCTTCACGCCATCTGGTAACAGGACTAGCGGTTCCAAGAACCATCTCCACCATATCTAAACTCACTGGTGGCGAATGCTCAAAGAACATGGTCTCGGACTCTGGACCAGTACACCATTCTTTGCGGATGAATGACTCTTGGTCAAACACGGAAACAGGCTGATCAAGACTCCAAGGCAACGGCAGGTCGCGATACAGATCACGGCCCATGAGATTACCCGGCAGCATATAGTCTTGAACCAAGTTATCAAGGTCGTCGATAACTTCCTGCACGGCTTCATGAGCTGGCATTGACGGATCAACTCGAACACCAGCAGCTGTCCACAGAGCTACAGTACCTCCAGGCTTGAGGGTCTTGGCAGCTTGCTTCCAAAAGCGCGGCATGTCAAACCAATGGGCACAAGTGGCTGCAGTGATTACATCGACGCTGCCTTCAGAAATAGGGTTGGCAAGTTCAGATCCCAGTGACTCAGCTGAGGAAACCTCGAACTTGACATTTTCGAGTGTGGTGATAGATCGCGCAGTGCTAATCATTCCCTCGGAGGGGTCAAGACCATAGGCAGTCTTGAAGTGAGGGGCAAGGCTGCGAGTTGCTGTTCCTGGTCCGCAGCCAACATCGATAAGGGTATCAAACTGGCCAGAACCCTCTTTGTGGAAGTTTATAACTGTCTCGTATAGCTTGGGATTGTAGTTCCGACGATGTTGAGCGTAAGTAGCACCTTGCTGGGCGCTATACGCCCGGAAGGTCGGGTCAGATGGTTGTTGTGTCTGGCTCATGATGAAGAATGATATGGGTTCAGAGATTGTTGGGAAGATTGGTGTCGAAACCAGTTATTTATTGCAGAGAGCTTTATTAAAGGCGGTTTACATACCAAGAGGTGAATCATCTAGTCCTAGTCCGTACGGTCAATTATATAGATGCCGTATCCGATGAGTCGGCGGCTCAAATGCCCCGTGCTTACGCGTGCCGGAATCTCAACATCCAATAACGTATCAGTAAATGCAAAGTCAGCAAGATCAGCTTCTCAACGAATATGACGAGTGGTTGATTGCACTAAAAATGGAGTCATTCAAGAGGCAGTCGTCGAAATGCATACCTAATTAGGCAAAGCGACTTTGGGCTCTTTATCTTCGGAGTCTGTAACTCGCCTAAATACCTTTTTGACTGAGAGCATATACGCCTACTCCTACCAGGTCATCCCCAATCAAATCGAATCTTTTATGCGCAATACGCTTCCTGAAGCTCTCTGTCGCCGGGTGACCCATGTTCAGTTCGCCAGACTTTTGCAGCCTGTTCTCAGTCCACAAGAGGCGAGAATTAGTTGAGAGGAAAGATATTTGCCCCTAGAACATGCAAGTCTATAACACTTCTTGGGGTCAGTTTACTACTACGTACTAGATCGCGCACATATGCTGACCTACCTGACTGAGCCTTCCATGATATATAGAACACCCGAAGCTGAGTAATGTAAGTTAGAAAGATGCAATCTGCCGACCCTCAAAAGTACTTAAAAGCATCATTCTTCCATGAAACGTGAGAAATCTCGTTATTTTACCAAACGACCATGGGCCTGAAAGACCAGAGCCTCGCGGATAAGTTGGCATGCCAAATTAAGCGTTTCAGGACTTCTGCAATCATACTAGCTTTCTCCGTGGTGTGATTCAAATCCATTATACTAGTAATGGCTCCTGACTGATAACCAAGCCTTCTGCAAATACTCGAGCGATGTAACGGAAGCTACATGTCTGGTCTTTTATGCAACGATTCGTCAGACATCGTGGGTTTATGTGCAATTTATGGTTTAGTTGGATGTGTTGTTTGCAGTTGAGACTCGTCACTAAGAGTAAATATCACCACCCAGAGCTTAGTCTTCTTAAGTTAATAGACTTACATTATTCTGGCCACTCAATACCCTTGGATCGAATCCGGAATCTTTATATCAATCGACCATCAGTCAATACGCTACGTAGTGAAGATAGCAGCTACAATTGGCCGGGATAAAAGCCTCTCGCCGGTCCCTATTCGCACATAACGTAGCCTGGTACAAGCAGGCGGCCTTTACAGTGGCCACTTCTTAGTTTCTATCAATATTGATGCAACACAAGAAGTAGTCATCAATGACTAATTCTTTCAGGGGCCGTCATAGGGTAGCTGACTGTGAAGACCGTACTCTGCCTGTTCATCTTTTGCTCAGGATACAATCCGGGGATTTACTTGTTATAATTTAGCGGGAACTGCATAATTCTGGTTGGTTTTGAATTTTGAAACTATGACAAATGGTACATTGAGCAACTGGGGCGTGATAACGCCATCTTGAAGTTCTATGAGATGGAATTGTAAAAAGCAGAGCCCTGAGGTTCAGCTTGTTATTCGATAGCCACTGATAGCTAAATCAGGTGTTAAGATACCTGTTCATCATGCGATTGCTTATCTACCGAACGAGTCAGCTTCTGGATCGAGTCACTCCCCAAGCCGTTGATGCGATATCGCTGATATGCCGTTGGGAGGCTGGAAGAAGCCCTGAGCTTAGATGGCTTAGACGAAAAAGAATGACGCTTGGCTTCCATTGCGGAGCATGTCCTGATGTACAGGTATTGTCTGCTACTGAGTATTTGTCTGGCAAACCGATGATATTCAGAATCAACAAATCGAACATGCATAGCTATTCGCAGCATCGAAGGAATGTCGGCGAAAATGACATTTTTGCCGAAGCGAGTCTCGCCGAGAATCGGATCGACGCATTTAGAAAAAAGGGGAGCTCATCGGCCCTGTTTCACAGAAGCGTAAGACCGTGCAAATCCCTGCGATTACGATCCAAGGATCGTAAAATCTCGTCCGATAAAGGAAAATTCTTTGCTAGCCTAATCCCTGTTCCCTGTAGTCGATGCACGATTTTGACATCGAACCTTCTGGCCCGGTGGGAACCGAATTGTTTACACCATGAACGACGTGTTGAAAATGACAATTGATGATGATTATTCTAAGTTCTGTGGGATCTTATCTATGAGCGCTGTTACTCTTGATCCCTTTTGTGTCCTTTTGTCTAAACCTGTATCCCGTGGTATCTCTATAGTACAAACCAATCCAATCCATTACTCCCAGCTCTAAATAATGTCTAATGATCATCTGCATCCTCGTCCTTTCCGGGATACATAATATCTCGTACAAAAACAGCTCTCATATTAAATGAGAAGACGATGAGAAATGTGATGACAAGAATAATAGTCATACCGCTCGCAGCCCAGAGAATGCCTTCGCACTTGAACTCGTTGCCAATGGAGATAGTAGCAAGCGTGAAGCCAGTATTGGGGAAGACCATGGGCCACCAACCAAGATGGAAGAACTTTGGTGGGGATGCGACCACTGCGACGACAGCGATAAGGAACCACCACATGCTCAGTGCCCAGAGGAATACTGCGCAGAGCAGAGCTACTGTGCGGACGGTGTCGACGTTCAGAGCCAGGTTGTCAGCTCCAGAGATGGTCTTGGGGAGTGCATTAGCCATTCCAATAAGGGCCAAGGCTGTGAATGCTGGCGGGCCGACATTCATGAAGAGGCCGGTTCGGTGTTCTCGATTGGGAAGACCAGATTGCATGAGTCGACCGATCATGTGAGCGTACATCATCATGGAGACACAGAAGCCCAGGCCTTGACACGTCAGGCCAGCGAAGATGATTGGAAGAGGGTTGAGGTGGCTCTGAGTGTCCAAGATGACAGTTGCAACGGTACCTGCCAACATGACTGGGAAGATAGGCAGCAACCAACCTGGCATCATTGTTTGCAAGTTGAAGCTATGTCCTGCAAAGAGGTACGAGTACTGCCAGACAGCTAAGATGAATGTGACAACGACGTAGATCCAAAAGATGGTCTCAGTTGCCCAGACATATGAGGCGTCGTCTTTGGGAATGACATATCGCTGGGTGCTGGTGATAAGCGAAGCAATAGCCAGGAAGAAAGTTGGGAAGAGGAATGCCTCTCGATGATGCGTGACGGATTTCGTCAAGTCGCCGGAGTTGAACAAGAAGCGACATATCATGCCAATACAGCAGAGCGTAAAGATAAGGAGATTTATGCTGTAAAGTACAGTACCGATGATTCTCAAACCGGGGAATTGATGGGGTTGGACGTGAATCAGTAGAGCCAAACCGCCTGCACTCATGGGTAGTGTAAACCAAGCCCACGTAAAATGATGCAAGCGTTGTCTGAGGGACAATTGTTGTTGTGAAGGCTCTTCTTCAATACTGTCATCTTGACTACCCTTCTCGAGTTGTGAGGGATCAGTTTTCGCTGCCGATTTCGCTGTATGATGATTCAGAAATGCCTTAGGGTCATGTTCAGCCGGTGGCGAAGGAATAGATAAATCGACCGAATTTCGGCGCGTGGGGGTATTCGAGTCCGTCCAGGGGACTTCAAGATCTCGAAGGCGATCCATTTTGTGTTGATGTTGTAAACGATAGGGGAAATGCTTTAATTAAGCCGTAGCGAATGCTGATGGTGAATCATTGAAGAATGCTCTAATGAAGCAATTCAGAAATGAAAGTAGCGCGGTGCAGTATTTATAGACCCTAAGAAAAGATAACGTTCATGGAGATGCCATTTTTGCAAAGCGCGACTAGTCGGCTCATTGTGGTCCTCGCCTAAAGGGGGGGGCCATTACGAAGATTGCGAATCATGACATGGACCAGAATCTCGTGATGAGACCGTGATGGAAGATTCTAAACCCTGCATAACAGTGGGCCATGGCGCTGGAACTGCCGTGGCATTGAGGCTCATTCCAGGGGGTTACCCACTGTATTTCTAGCGGCCGGGCTCTGACAGCATGGATGGGCTGCCCATTAACGTGACGTTGAGGCTACGCGGATTCTGGCCCGGTGCGCCGGCGCCGGTTCCAAATGGTCGGTGTCATCCTTTGAGTTTGGGACTAGGGGTGAGATAAGGCCGAGCCTCAAGGTGTTGGTTGTCAAGCAGGTTTTGTTCGCCACTAGGGTCTGGACTGTACTGATAAGAATGCTGGTGAGGCCTCTTATGAGTCCATAATCATGAACAACTGTCAATACTGCCTGATATACAATACGAGGCATGGCCTACTTGTCTGACCATACAAAATGCTATTCAGATAACGTTGCAAGGACGCTGTCAGTCTCACCACGGTCAACGTTCAGAGTGGAGTGCTTCAGACCGAAGCTCGGCGGTCATTCCGTTTCGCCGCCCAACGGCCAAGGATTAAACAAACCCAACCCAAGGGTTAAAATTAGCTGCCGGGCACCATCGGGACCATTTTGAGCCTCAAACGCCCAATTACACCATTTCTCTCCCTTAGATATACAGAGATAAAGGTTTCCTGACGATATCAGCCCAATGCCAAGGATGTAGTGGAGTCCCATCAAGCATTTCCTCGATCTAATCAGCGATGGAGCCCAGGCTGATCATTCAGCTGCGTTTCTGCTATCATTCAGGAGGTTTCACTTGCGTTGCTTTGACGTGAAAATTCTTTTCACCCCTTAAAATGCACAAGGGCCCTTGTTGGCAGACGTTGGTATCTTCCTAACCGTTATTCCACGTGCGAAGATTACTCGCGTTCGTGGACGTTATCTTTACGTGCACTGATCAATGCAATCAATGAACGAGTCAAGCTCCCCTTGCACGTCGGACAGAAACGGAGAGGCCCTTGATCCTTATCTTTCGAGCTTCTTGATGTTTAAAGGTTATCCACATAGACCTACTGATAGATGGCTAGGATATATAACTAAGTATATAAATAATTAACCATGAGATAAAAGTACCTTGAATCTTATATATCTTATAAACAGAAGTTTAAATCATTCGAAGGATATATCATGATAAGAGCCATAGGAACTTACATCTTTTAGTTATAAGTAGCTTCTTTCTTATGCTACTTTTCTCTATCAAGAGACCATTACCGCATATTATCCATTTTATCGTAAAGCGTTGTTGACATTGACGCTGGTGAGGTTCGAAATGTTTCAGGCGAGCAAACTTTTGATTGGCCGTAACGTCGGTCCGTTGCAGCTCTAGTATGGGTGCAATTGCACTCGGTAGGGTGCACTCGCACTTAGCAAACACAGTCCAGAATATCCAGGATCCAGAAAGGCTTTTGTGCCGACGGCTGAAATCCAGTTTGCATGCAGTGTGAGAGCCCTAGGGCAAGCACAAGAAATCGTAGGTGGTAGGCGCGTGCGCCGAAACCGTACAATGCAAACAACGATAGCTCTGACTTGTCCGTCCTTTTCTCACCCACAGCTGGCCGCTTATACTTTTGGCCAAGATGGGCGACGCTAGCGATGGGGTCGGCGTCGAAGGCATCCTCAAAGTGGTCAAATCTTTACGCCAGGAGGGCATGGCAGCGTCGTTCTGTTTCGGTACAGACTTGGCGCCACTCTCTGGGAAACAGTGCTGGGTGTACGCTATTGGGTTTCCCGACCAGACAACGTGGGCTATTCGCGTTCCGGTCCATATCAAGAATCTTCCACCAGACATCATCAGCAACACCGTCGAGGAGGAGGCCTCAGTTTTGAAAAGGCTCGAGCGATGTGATTTTTCTTGGTCACCAAGACTGATAGGATATTGTTCAGGGTTCGACAATCCCATTGCATACCCTTACATCGTTTCGACATGGATCCATGGATCGCCATTACAGTGGACGGATGACATCCCATGTTCTCGCGAGAGCCGGGACAGTTTACTCCGTCAGATGGGGGAAATACTTATGCAACTTGCTGAGCGCACCCAATGCCAAGGTATGACCGCGGCTAATTGCCACAATTATCAAACTTTTCTCACACAAGCTCAGGTATTGGGGGCGATGCAGTCACGTTTCTGACAGATATTATCGACCGCAAGCTCAGTCGAGCTCTTCGCGGCGGACTCCCTGACATCAGCCCCCAGAGCTGCCTGCTTCAGAGAGCCTTAGTCCGCAACACATTTGCGTCAACAGCAGATCCAATGGTCTTATCCCACGAGGACCTTGATCCATCAAACATTATAGTTGACGAGCAATGCAACATTCAAGGGCAAGTACTTTTCTATTGGAGAACGCCATGGCGCTGGGCTAATACTTCTGACTAGCATTATCGACTGGGGCTTTGCTAGGGCTCTTCCCTGTCAGTATGCAGTTAGGCTTCCTCGGTTTTTAAGCATCGAGGCATGCTATCCCGACGATCGCTTACCCATTGACATTGCCGGGTTTTCCTCTCGCTTTCTCGAACCATCCACAACGTTGCGCCTAGATCGGCAGGTGTTTACTTCGCATATTACATCCACACTTTCTAAGGCTGACCAGGAAAATGCTCACTCTGTCCGAAGCCTCACTTTGTCTATCTTGTGCGATAGCAATGTGGACTGGCGACAATTCCTTTTCGAGTCCGTCTCTAGCAAGGGTATGCATCGCTGGATGGACGATCGGCAATGGCTTCTTCCAGGCCTAACGAACCCACCGGTGGATCTGGATAGTGTGCCATTGTCAATATGCGACGAGTTGGAAATATTCTTGGGCAAAATGAAAGAGAAGGGGGTGGAATTCAATGACGAAACGTTAAATCATATTCGAGGTATGACACAGGGGGCTTTGCCCAAGAAATAGTCAGTCCCAGAACCTAGCTAGTGCGAAACTACACGTAGTTGAATACAGCAGCTACCACGAATATTCTCTATCCCGATGCATGGTGCGGTTAGGGAAATCTCCGCATCCTCGCTCTCAAGTAACATTGACATGTCCACGGTGATCGTCGGTGTGCTGCCCGCCAGAGAATGAACAAGGACAGATGCACTTGAAGTTCACAAGTGGAGGGGAAAAAAACCAAGCAGCATTTGACATACGATCATCCAAATTTTTTGGATACTATGTCTTCATCAGCTGGATGCTCATTGGATTAGGAATGAGATGAGTTTGCATACATCTTTGTGTGACAGGTTGATATTGGAGCGACCTTGGGTGATCTCGATCCGTCCTTCGAAATCATCACCCGGGTATCGACATAGGCCAAAGAGGTTCTCGGCGTTTTCTCTCGAAAGCAGCTTAGCAAATTGGTCAAGAAAGGCTTGCTGATCTGGATTGTTGAGGTCAAGAGTTGGGCCATCTTCAGATAGGGAGTGATAGAACTCGTATGGGAAGACTTTTCCCGAAGAGAGATACCAGTTATGAGGCCTGATGTTGGTGGCCAATTCGTTGTTCAACCAAGGGACAGAGGTGCCTTTGTATTCTACAAGTCTTTCATTGGCACCGAGTTCGAAATGGCGATGGAGAAGTATGAGTCCGAATGTTCTGTCCATTCCATGATGAACGAAAAGGTCACGAAATGCCGTGTCCAAAAGAGTATTGCCATTGATGGCAGTGAATGCGGCAGCCGCTTCTCCGATAGACGGAAGCTTGTTGTATGAATCCCCGTCGTAAGTGCCAGCCTCCATCTTAGCCGGCGATATTTTGTTTCTTTGGTTTAAACTACTGCGGTCGTCCGAAAGCTCTTTAAGCAAAGGGAAAGCGAAGGGGAAGTGGTTTATTATATACTTCGTCGTCCCATCATTTGCTATTGTTACAGACAAATTCATTCAGCCAGCCACCCATGAATGTATGGGTGGCGAGGATTAAGTCTCTGAATGGTAGTTAATCTCATACTTGGGTGTGTTGCATGTGATCTGATGGTAGATAACCAGATTTGAGTGTTGTTGCACCGAATCAAGTTTCGATGCGCTGCAGCCAAAGGAGACACCCCAAGACGCAACAGTGGTACTTCAAGAAATATGCCCTTGAAGAGGTGCGAGTGCACCCATCAAATGAGGCTCTGAAGTGCGAGTGCACCCTACGACGGACCACGCGTGAGGTGCGGAGTGTTGATTCGCCAAAGACTTGGTAAATAATAACGCAAACGGAACTAATCTGCATGAAATTACAAGGCAAGACGCATGCAATCTTCCTAGAAAGGTAGATAAAGGCAGCCGCATTGTTATCGATTGGCAAGCCAGGTCCCACGTCAGCATACCTGTGCGCTTCTCACACATTGGAAGCACAAGGTAGAGCCTCGCTTATAACTACCTGATGGAGACACCAAAACAGGAAACCATCCCTCAGGTTGAGAAAAGTAACCGTTCAAGTCAAAGCAGAAAAAACTATATTACTTGATACTACTCTAGTAATAGAATTGGCTCAGCATTCTTTGATACTTAGTTTAAGATTGAGTACTAGGCAGCCTACTAGGCAACCTTGTCAGATACATTAAGCCTTGTAGATTAGCAATTGTAATGATAAGTTTTGCAGAAAAATGTCCATTCACTTAAGATACCGTAAACCGGCGCGGTGACGGAAAAACAGTTGTACGGAGTTGATTATGTTTATTCCGATCTTGTGTAACATGCGTCAATGCAACCTCAAAGAATCTTGCGGGGTAACGAGGGGTTAAAGGATGATACCTTTGAGTAAAGGCGTACAGGAATAATGGATCAAGAAAACATTGGCTATCTTGAGATCTTGGGTCTCATGGAATACCACCAAGTAAGAATTTGGCGCGTTTGGTGAAATCTTGCTAACTTCCATCGCTACAAAGTCTCAACTCAACGTTCTTATCCAGAAGCTGAAAACTTTCAAATTCAGCACTTGTTACCGTGGAACGACATTAGACAGCCCGATATGCCAATCTGAGCCGGATAGCTCAGAGGAAGATGTCACCGCACGTATAAAAACATTCAAATGCCCTAAGAAGGGCTGTGGGGCTGCTTTCTCTAGAAAGCAGGAGCTCATTAGACACTATGGTCAACGTATGTCTCTTTTCAGTCTTGTGTTGAGCCTAACTGATCTCTTAATGAAATAGATTGCCCGTGTGACGACATTTGCCCAGGCTGCTCCAAAGGCTTCAAACAGGCGAGCAAGTTTATTAGTCATAAGTGCACCGAAGATGACAACATCCGAGTCAAACACTGTGAATTTCTCCGCAGAGATGTCGAGGCAAAGCTAGAAGCAATGTTGTCGAGAAGAAAATCCGATTCCGAGTGTGCAAAGAGATCAAGGAAACGGAAGAGATCTTCGAAGACTCCACCATCAAGGAAAGTAAAGTCATTATCAATTGAGCAGCTTTCACACACTACAGACCTCGACTCCGATCCGTCCGCTGCGTTACCTCCGCCAGAGACTTTCTAAAAAGATTTCCTCCATCGAATAACGACACTTGGTGCCAATCAGTCAGAGAGCTCTGCTGCTGTTAACATGGGCACTTTCCAACAAGAACCGTTCAATGTACCCATTGACAGTATTTCAGACCCGACAAGCTTTTGGTTACAGCAAGACGTAGTTCTAGACCTTCCCGCCCATTCTTGGTCAGACTTCCGGCTCGAATCTCAGCAGTTTGAGGATAGACTGTATCCAATATAGCATGAGTGACGCTCTGCATGGGCTCTAATTGCTTCGATAGAAATTAAGGAAGATAAATCATATCTAGTAGTGTAGCTTGAGGCAATCTCACAGTTCGCAAGCTATGTACAATTACACGCAAACAATATTGTAGCTTCCATAGGTAATAAAACGGCCATAGCAATATCCTGAATCTATATTGTCAGAGCCAGTAGAACAGGTCCTATCTTTGTAAAGTCCGACTTTTATGCCGCCGACGAAACTCTGATTAGCTTTTGTGATCAGCTACAAAGACACGGGAAATGCCTACCTGCACACCCATTATTGATATAAGATATGTAAACGGAGTTGACCGCCTTGTCCGTGGGAAATGTGTGACATTTGTCGGTATCCTCAGAATAAAGATTGAAATCGCCCATGCTTTCGGCGGCAGTGCATCTATCGTCGCCGAATATCTGAAGATTAGCGATAGATGCTTCGCGAGAAGATATCACTCCAGCAGTGGCCTGTGAGATGAGGGCCATAGCAGAAGCCAGAAAGAGGATAGAGGACTGCATGATTGCTGGTGTTTGAAGGTTTAGTGCAAGCGAGTAGTAAAACAATTATCATATGATGGTAAGAGAAAGTAAAGATAAAGGATGGATGGCAGGCGATATTTATGCTCTTATGAAGGCATCTGAGGTCAGCAAGTAGAGTTAATATTAGTAACCAGACCAAATACATCTACAATCTCAGCTAAGGAGTACTTAAATTCTCTAACAGAGTTAGGCATAATTCAAGTGGTTCTTATCCAATCGCCTCGAGCAAAATCTGAGGTCAGGCTCGTATAGGTGTGTCGATCATTTCGAGTATTGAGCCGTCCTAGCCGTCTTACCCAAAATAACGGTTTACGTCTCACCAGCAATCGCAAGGCAGCTGACAATGGGAATTTAAATTTAGCATTTCATGACATCGAAATACTTCTGATTAGTCACTGCCCTTGTATAGACGATGATCAAAGTGATGTATCATACCGAGCTGTCTACAAGAATCGAAGGACAAGGGCTAGAAATAGATATAGATAATATTGGCGTTGTTCTTGTTGGGCAGTACTTTTGTACTATGCGCTCTATTTGTTAGTATTTGATGGATTCAACTGTCTCTTTTATACTAATAAAGTTTCTTAAAATATTTTGCGGTTTTATATTTTAGGCATTGTAGTATAACATTCAAGTTGTGAGCCAGCTGGGTTGCTTGCAGTTTAGACCGGTCGCTAAGAGCTTATATCACCGCCTGTCTATCCATCAGCTTTTATTGCACAAGTATACTATATTCTGTCATCTTGGTTACTTTAACAATACCGAAATAACCTGTTTATTAATACGTCCCACTAATGATATACCGTTTCTCATACTCAGCCATTTTTGCCTTCTCTGCCCAAATGCTTACCATGAATCTTGAGATAAGTGAGAGACCATGTCGCCCCATCGCATCTTAGCAAAAGGAATACTGCCGCCGGGAGAGGTACTCATACTTGAAGTTACTGGCCGGGATTTATTAGGCTAGGACGAGAACAGTGGACTGTATTGCTAATGTCCAATAATGTTCTCTCTCAAGCCTCCTCGTGCCTTCTTTTTACCCGCACCGGGATCCTGTTTCGGACATTTGCATGATCTCGATGCCTCCATGTCGCAGTTCAGCTTGCTACTTTCTTATTCCAAGAACAGATGCAACTGTCTTGGGAATTATGAGTTCGCAGAGAGCAATAACGAGGCAGCATGGACGCCACGGCGCGTATGATGAGGCCCATTCGGTTCTGATGCATAGAGATCGCCGGGGCGGGATAATGGCCAACATATTCAAGTGTCTGGTTCCCCACTGAGCTGTGGAAGCGGGTAACCAGATGCCAATAGCTGTAGTCAGGAGTTGACATGTCATTTGCGCTGGCGGAAAATCTTGCCCTTCATAAGACAATTCCTACAGAGAGTATAGAGTAGCGTAACACGGCACACAATAACTTTCTAAGACATGGCGCGGGATGGCGCGGGACGGCACGTTTTGAGGCATTCTACTTTTCTTCTTCTGTCCTGGGACTCTAACTGCGCTTCTTCTACCACCTGGGGTTGTTTGACTAAAGGCGACCTCTTAGTATAAGAACTTTCCGGTTGCCTAGGTAGCTGGAACACTCATTACTACCCATCAGACACAGATCAGCAACTTGCACCCAGAGTCTCTCAATACTTCTTTCCACCTGCCTTCTAAGCTCCTCAACAACAACAATGAACAGCTCACCAGAACCGCCACAGCAATCTCAAGGCTTTGCTGCTCTTGCTCCACCAGAGGGTAGCGGAGTTATGCGAGTTGACTCCCTTCCCGAAGTCATGCGTACTGAAGCGGGCTTCTTTTCCCATTTTCTTATAGAGGTCGTTCCAAATGCCATCTATCACCAGACTTGGAAGCAAAAGGACCTCAAAGACCCAGGCTTCCCCCGTGGAGACTATACCCGCAAAAATAAGCCACTCAAAGATGCTATAGCGTACTATGCCAGCACGAGCGTGTATCACGTTGAAGAGAATGGTGGTTGGAAGTCTGGTGGTACTCGGGCCCTTTTCCACTCGACCGATTATTCTTGCAGTTGGATTCGTGGCCCAAACAAGGCTGTACCCCTTGCCTTTCCTCTGGCTGACTACCGGCGCTACCCCCGTCTTGTCATTGACACGACACTGCCGGTTCGAGGATTGTATTTCCCTCAGCTTTTTTCAGAGCCGTATTACAAAGGGCTCTGCCGAGTGTCACAGGTGCTTTTCTATAAGCACGATGCTATCTATCTCCCTTTTACATCTGGGAGCTTTCAGAACGATGCACAATGGTACCAATCAATGGCCCTTATTAAGGGGGAACGTCACACCATGTCGGGTGACAAGGGCCTGCACTATTTCAAGGACAAATGCCTGGATATACGCATCGCCGAGCTAATGATCGCTCTCTCTATCGACATGAGAGATATGAATCCTATTGAATTCCCTCTTGGGATTTCAATCACGGGGGGTGAGCAACAGAAATTTTATGAGCACCCTGCATTTCAATACATGAACAGCCTGGGTGCCAGCTCAGTTGGGGGACATGGTGGTCCTCCATATCACCAGATTTCCCGTAACGATTTCGGTCCTTATCATGTCTGGATGGATGCTCATATCTCTAAGAACGAGGGGATAGAATACGCGTTCAAGCCTGCTGATGAAAACACTCTACTGAACATCGTCAAGACTCTTGTTGGATCGGCACTAAACTTGATACCTTTCGTGGGGCCGTTAGCCAGTATATCCTGGTCTCTGATTTTTGATGCCATAACTGATCCAGATAAGCTGAGAGAACTTGGGAACCTCACCGGTGTTGAGACGGATATACTCAAGATGCAGCTCAAAGAGATTGCTAAGCTTGTCAAGGGCTTGAAGCATAAAAAGGGTCATTGGGACGTGGGGGACGATGACGACATACTGAGGGACTTGGAGAAGAAGGCCATAGAAGAAGCATTGGCCGAAGAGGATCGGGAGGCCAATGAACACGCCCTGCTAGTAGACAAGCCTACTGGAGCGATTGTATATGCGATGAGTCAGAGCGCTTAAGTGGCGTTCTGTTGAGTTCAGCGTTGTTAGCTAGTAGGCGAGCGCATTAATTTCAATCATCATGATATTGACTCACAAATCCAGCAAGGCACATAGCGAAGGACAAGAAATCTTCTATATTGAATCCACTTCTCAGTACATTACGCCGGTATTACCCTCGTCATATCCACCCTCCATCTAATTTTCTCGGTACTTGGAGATCGACAGCATCTCCGCCAAGAAGCCTGGATGACGATCCTTCCGGTAACTCTTACGGCAGTCGAGGCTGTGTTAAACGAGCCCATATCTCTTCTGAAACATGACAGATTATACGCTGGTTAAATTTTCATTGGACAAGGTAAGGCAATGTTATGGCATAGCGAAACAGCAGTATATAATTCGCTGGTTAGTTTCACATAACCCAGTATTACAGTCCAAAATTCTGTAATAGATTTGCATTTAATAATAGCGACGCCATGGGCTGGCAAACTATTTCATAATAAAAACTTAACCTTTGAGCAGCGCAATATTCTTTAGCTGGGAATGATATGTCACATGCATTCTGGAATGAGATTATCACAACGGCAGAGTCAAGGGCTTGACAGCATCAATATCTCGAGAACCTTCTATACAGTACCCGCAACGATAGGCGCGGCGTGCTGCTGCAGGACAGAATAGCTACATGTATCTGCCCAAAGTTCAATCACTCCACAGAAGCCAAGTGCCGAGCCCACGAGAAAACTGATATTTCAAGAGTTTACAGCATCCGTGTGACTGCCCAACGTTATGTAACAATTCTACCTAACATGCCAACACACAGTCTTTTGCAAATGATATCATCCCACCTGATGCTAAGGCTGCAAGTGAACTGACCTAATTTCAGCGAGTTGTCCAAGTGCTAGAAACAGACCGCAACCCTTGTCAAACAGGCGGGACACTCGGCCTCTTCCGCTGAAACAAACACCTGGTTGTCGGACCGATAAGATGACACATAAATCAGAAGCTCTGATATTAAAGAATTATTACAGAAGATTTAAAAGGCTAAGCAAGTACCTTAGTACATTCATTATTGCCGAGCTAGCTAGCGTGTTCTTTAAGCTTGTTCCATTTTAATAATTAGAACGTTTGAGAGTCTCTTGTTTGGTACTTCAAGTCCCACGGTCCGCTGAAAATATCCAGAATGACATTCGACATCCACGGAGTCATTTCATCTGTCACTTTGGCTGGAAGTGTTACTTCATTCTTTGCAACTACCAGTGTGCTTATTTCATTCGTTATCTATCGCCACCATATCGATACCTTTCGGCACATGCTTATTCTCGAGTTGATGCTTTTCGGTGTGCAATACGTCCTCCTTATTGTCTTTCTTAACTAATAACTATTCAACAGAGTTTGCAAACAATTTGAATAACTCTACATCTGGCATCTGGCATCTCAAGAACGGCGAACTCAGTATTGGAAGACTTTGTACTGTCAATGGCTTCATAGGTCAGTTCTCAGCACAGGGAGTTGACCTTTCAATACTGGCCGTCGCTGTCGTTACTCTGTTTACTGTAACGCGGCGTATCTATATGCCTGCGGTGTCTATGACAAAGAGAGTATGCATTTGCCTTTCTATTTGCATCCTTCCTCTCGCTACAAGCATCATACCAACATTTATGGGTCAGATGCAACCAGTAGGTGGCAACTGGTGCTGGATAGCAACGAATCGCTCCGACCTACGATATACCATGGCACATGGCTGGCGTATCTTTGTCATATTCAGTATAGTTACTATTTACATCTATATCTGGGTCTATCTAAGAAGAACACTTGGTTCTAAAGCTGATGAGACCCGTCAGCTACGACAGAATGCCCCAGCAAGCCGTAAATCCACCTGTCTTCCACTACAGAACCCGAGGAGAAACGGGGTTCGTGTCACAGACCACGAAGAATTTGAGCTTGATCCCCTTGAGCTTGTGCAGCCGAACACAACAGCGTCCCAGTCTGCAATGTTTCTTGAAGAAAGCCATCCGCCTCCTTCACCCAAGGAGAATAGATTCAGGGAGATAAATCTGGAGTTTGGAGAAAGAACACAACCTGGCCCGAGTGAGGCCCAGGGAGGATTCATGCGCCATCGGCCGACAGCATCAAAATCTGGAGCAGATCTTTCCCCACTAGAAGTTACTGGCAGCCCATCTACTGAAGCACATATGCCAAGGCAATCACAACACAGCCAAATCAGTGCCCTGCAAACCAACGCAAGTGAGTTCCACATGCGTCCAAGCAACGACCAAGTTGAACTCGAGATTAAACGAATGCTCTTACTTAATGCATACCCATTTATGTATGTTCTTCTCTGGGCACCAGGGCTGATCAATCGACTTATGGAAGCATCTGGAAACCCCAACTCAAAAACAATCAACGTTGCGCTCCAAGCTCCAACACAGTTTATCGGACTTGCGAATGCCTTGACTTATGGATTCAATCATTATCTTAGAGATAGGCTGAATGATCTATATTTCAGACCCGTGATTGCAAGGATAAAGGGTCGAATTGGACTTGACTAAGTTATCAACAATGCAACTTCCAATAGCATGCAAGACCACTGGCAACACTGAGGATAGACACATATTGAAAGATGCCTGGAGATTCTGTTTTTCGACTATTGATAATATACTTATTTACTTCTTACTTTGTTGTATACAGTGTTTCACAGGCCTCGTATTCTATAATTGTTTACTCGCCTGCCAGGACAAGGTAGTAATGTATTATTACTTAGGCTCTTATTTTATAACATTCTAATTATATGACATTCAGGAGTTTGGCCCATGCATTACTCATAGCCAGCACGGTCTGCCATTCCTCTAGTCAATCGTGATGGGGTATCGATGTTGCGATGAAGAACGCGAAAGGATTTTGTGTTTTCGAGGGTGACATATGGCGCAAAGGTTGTGACCTCTTAGGCAGGAACAGTCATGCCCTCGTTGGCCTTGTAGCCCTCAGCAGGAGCCGATGTGTGAGCCTCACGGTGCTCGGCCTCCTTGTCCTGCTGGATGAGATCGCAGCAACCACAGCAGCATGCAGTGGCGAGGTCGACGAGGCAGCTGCCCTGGAGGTTGTACTTCTCACGGAGGTTGGCGCGCTGCAGAGCGAGAGGGATCCAGTGAAGGCCGAAGCAGGTAGAGCCCCAGAAGAGCAGGCACTGTTGACACAAGATGTTAGGAACGATTAGGTGTAGGAGCATGGAGGACATACAGAGGTGTTGATGGGCTCGTATCCTTCAAGGTTACCGTTCTTTCGGAGACGGTGATGGGTCTTGCCAAAGGTCACGCAAGGAACGCAGCAGGTGATAGCGCAAAGGTCGATGGGGCTGAAGCAGCCGAAGAAACTGTTCTGCCAAGGCTGGGAAGACTCGGGGGACTTGGAGTTGACATGCTCGCTGGGACGGGCGAGGACGTCGTTGAAGCGGTCCTTCCACTCGTTCAGATCGTTGTGGTCAATAGGACCATTGTTATGGGCGTTTGTCTGAGCTGGAGTAGACATATTGATGGTAGGAAAGTGATGAAAGAGTGACGAGAAATGTTTTGTCGTGTAGAAGAAGAAGATGGGAAACGGTGAAGGAGGGTGATGAACAAGACCATGTGAAACAGAAGGCGGCCCTCACATACTTATCACTTGCTTCCCATTCCATACCTTACCCCAGCTCCCCCACCATCACATTTTCACAACGGCCCAAAAGTGGCTGCAATCCTGAAAAATGCCTGATAATGCTAGCGTGCATCAAGGCGTTCTGATCACCATTCTGGCAGATTACAGCTTTGACACGGGGCGTGTGACAGCCAATGAGAAACAGCGGCCGGAGCAATCATGCGGAGAGGTTGTTCAGCCCTGTGGTAAGCTGGAAACATTTGATTCGGCAGTTGGGCTGGTGGAGGCGCCACCAATTTGGGTCTGAAATTGATCGTTGGGAGCTAATGCACGGTGCTACAAGCCTTTGGAGCTCAGGGCGCTGGTTGTTTTGTGACGGAGAGATAAGAAGCTCCTTTTCATTACGGAGATGTAACCCATTCACTTGCTTCTCTACTTGGCAGTGTCAGCGATAGAGTGAGACTTCTTTTGGGGGCCTGTAGGTACGTACGTACAGCTCCCCAGGCTCTGAGCGCAAAACGAATGCCAGTTCATTCCAGATATCGGATCATGTTTCCTCGGCACTTATAGCCTTGGCCAAAAGCCGATGATAAAACGAAAGAATTAAATGAAATTTGGTCCACTCACCTGACACACACTACAGAGCGAGCGCTCTTATTCCGCTGCGGCTGAGAGTCGGCAATTGCCTAATGCGGTCTGAGCACTGTCGCTCAATTACTGCAAATCGCTTGGACTCAAAAGTAAGGCCAAGTGACTCATCGCTGTCAAGTTCTTGGCCGTAAAAGCTTTTCTCTTCTGTGCCTGGTTCGCTTATTGATTCTGTTAATGGATAAGTCGGAGGCCGTTGATAGTTCAAGGCAAGGGATGAGGTTTCATGGGGATGGGATGCCTGACAAGGCGGAATCTCCACTGCGGGGAGGGGGATGCCTATCATTCTATTCTGGAAAGCCGATAAGATTTGAAAGATAACGGGTTTGGCTTCTTATCGTCTATCAATCTATTTATATCGCTTCATTTCTGGAGCAACACAAATAATCGGAAGGCCTTGAGCAAATTCACGACCAAAGAAAGATTATACCTGATAATTTGCAGGTCACTAGATGCAAAATTTCACAATTACAAACAGCATATATACCTACCCCATAGACATGTTCACGTCAAAGAAGCGATAAAATGTTGTAAGTTAAACTTTCTATAGTCGATTCTCAAAGCGAGTACCTATACAGTATTGTCTCCATGAGAGCACCTCGAGTCATCTAAGGCATGTTGATACCTCCGTCAACGGGAATAACCTGCCCGGTAATAAAGCTTGAGGCAGGGCTAGCGATAAAAGAGATTACATCGGCAATCTCCTTAGGCTCACCCTCCCTAGCAATAGACTGGTGAGATCTCAGTATAGAACCAATGGGGTTACCCTCCATGCTCATATCAGTGGCAACAGGTCCAGGAGAAACCACATTAATAGTGATCCCCTTACTAGCAAGTTCTCCCGCCATAGCAGTTGACATAAAGTGCAAAGCAGCCTTGGACGAGCCATACACCGTCAGTGGTGTAATACCCAGCTTTCCAGCGATGCTACCGATGTTGATGATACGTCCCCCGCTAGGCATGTGAGGAAGCGCTGCCTGGATGAGAAGGAAAGGCCCCCGGACGTTGGCATGGAACATCTTATCCCAAGACTCAGTCTCGATGGCTGCAATCTCGGGGTGTCCAAATGCGATACCTGCGTTGTTGATGACGATATCGATGGTCTTGGTGTTGAGGCCCTCTAGAGCTGCGCGCACGAGATCGGTGCCGAAAGATTCAGAGGATGCATCTGCTTTGGCGGCGATGGCTTGGACGCCGAGTTCCTTGATCTGAGCAACGACCTTCTCGGCGGGTTCAGCGCTGGTTGCGTAGTGAACAACGATCTAGAAACAATAAGTAAGTTGACTTGAGAATGAGAATAGAGTGGTAACCCACGTTTGCTCCATGCCTGGCGAGGGTCAAAGCAGTGGCGGCACCGATGCCGTTGAGCTTGGAGGAACCAGTGACGATGGCAGTCTTGCCGGCGAGGTACTTTTCAGAGCTCATAGTGAGTACTTTAGGTTTTTATTAAGTGATTGAAGTAGTATAATGTTGTAGAGGTGATGAAGTTGTTGGAATGAATTGTGATGATGATAAAGTCTCTTGTCCTGGCAATTGATCGCTTCTTATAATTGTGAACAAACTCCTATTCCGTCTAATATTGTAACGATATGATCCCTCCCCTCTGTCAATTATCAAGCATCCGAATCCAATTCTGTACCCGAAGCACTAATTGGTACGTTTATACGTCATATCCCTAGAATCCAACACAAATTCACGATCTCCAAATCCTCTCGCACTAAAATCCGTAATCTATCCGACCACCTGCAGCAGCTCAAACTCCCCACCATTCCCAAAAGGGAGTTTGCTCAGCCTGCTAGGGCTGAAGACATTGGTCGACGGAGGAATTGAATAACGCGACCGAGTTGCGCGTCCACTCAGAGTCTGAAGACCCCTGCCCCCAAGGGGATCCATCAGCTATTACTAACGCACTCTCTACGATGCCGAGTGCCGAGTTACAAAGCGACGTGCGCTAGTGGCTTAGAAATTGCTACGACCTGCGATAGGGATTGGTGAGATTGATATCTGTGGGGCTTTAGATGACTGAGCCTTTTTACCTCTGGGGGATTGTTGTTTTGTTGGCGTGCTGGTTATTGCGTCAGTGGTGATATGGTGCTTGGAATGTGCTTTGGTGCATTTGTAAATGCGGCGTGGGTGGATTGGCTGAACAATGTTAACGTTACTGGTATCAGCGTGAGATGCAGATTGGATTATGATTCGAGGAGGCAACATACTCTGCTGGCATGCGTCCATGTATATAACATCAGTAAATTGCTGCTTCTCGTATATCAACCATTTTAGATACAGCTTCAAGAGCCTGCATTGCCAAACAATCAACCACTCCCTTAACATCAACGTCATCACAATGCCTTCAGTAATTATCTTCGGTGCCTCTGGCTTCGTGGGTGGTATGCCAACAAATCCTCTACCTTCTGTACCATGTTTATTAACCCAACATTCTCAGTTCCTTACACAAAAGCCCTCAAGCAAGCCCATCCAGACTGGTCCATCACAGCCTACGTCCGCAGCCCTCAATCCGAGTCTCAGCTCAACGCAGACCGTGTCGTGGTCGGTGACTTCTCCGACTTTGAAAAGGTCAAGGCCGCCAGCGCAGAGCACGACATCGCCGTCAATGCTGGAAACTCCTTTACCGCTGATCCAGTCGCTGCTATCATCGCTGGTCAAAAGTCCCGCGGTACCAAGGGTAACGTGATTCACATCAGCGGCGGAGGAAACTTTATCGACTTTGGAACTTCAGGAAGCTTCAACCCTGAGAGTAAGGTTTGGAATGATGCGAATGAAGATGATATCAAGGCTATTCATAAGGAGATGTTTAATGGGCAGTCTGATACGCTTGTTCTTGAAGCTGGGAATGGGGATGATTCTATTGACACTTACATCGTCTGCCCATCTGTCGTTTACGGTGGTGCGAGTATTTCTTCGCCATTCCTGGGCGTGGGATACAAGCTTATCACTGGAAACGCCAAGCCTCTGGGTTACGTCCCCTACGTCGGCGAGGGAACAGCCGTCTTGAGCACAGTACGTACTTCTCTTCCATATCCGTTACCTGCGCTGACTCCTCCAGTGCCACATTCTAGATCTCATCGACTTCCTCGTCAAGATCTCCGACGTTGCAGCCCAAGGCCCCGCACAGGGTTCGCCATACAGTCGTTTCTATATGCTGGAAACTAGCCGAGTTGCATGGAAGGATCTGGCTACTGAGCTTGCCAAGATGATGCATGCGCGAGGTATCTTCTCGAGCCCTGCGCCCAAGAGTGTTGAGTTCGAACAG